GATAGCTAAACAAGCTGCTTTTTTTACTTTAGTTATGAGAGGCTACTCCCCCCCCCCCCCCACTTCTCTGCTGGGTGAAGGAAGATGACAGACAACAACTCTGCAAACTAAAGCATATTTACGCACACCTTTTTGCTATGTCGATTAATGTGCGTTAATGGAAGAACAAAAAAAAAAAAAAACTAAAACGTGTCAGCGAGTACTAGTTAGCCCTGAAGCTTCCTGGTCTGTTTCTCCCGGTTATCATACCGTCAGAATGTCAGAATGAAGCTTTGGATGAAATAACGAATGTTGCAGACATGGTTTGCTTTGGTTACGTTGCACATGCACACGCACGTGTGTTTGTCAGTATAAATATATGTCTCAAGACTGGAACTCCATCCACTGACTCAAGTTGACATCAAACGGGAAGTCAGGACTGCGCACCTTGAACTTTGGACTGATGGTCTGAGGCTTGTAGCTCACATTGAGGATGGGCACGTCACCTTGTCAACACAAACGCACAGGTTAAAAACCGGGCGGGCAGACGTCACCCCACGTGACATGCGCGACACACAGTTTGTCACCTCCGCCATCCGGTTTGAGTCCCCCAGCCAACATCCTGATGAAGGTGGTTTTTCCTGTGCCTGCACATACACGCACATGCGACAAATCATGCTCACAAGCGCTTGTGGTTGCGTCACGGCGGTTGTGGCGTGCGTGGCGGCGTACCGTTCTCCCCCAGCATGACCATGATCTCCGAGTCTGTGAATTCTCCTCCCTTGATCTCCAGGGTGAACTCGCCCATGGTCTTGGCCATGTTGGGATACTATCGAGACAAAAGCACGGAGTACATTTGAAAACGCAAACAAATGAGTTGTGAAATGCTTTTTAGAGCCAGCGAGAAAGTTGGCACCGACCTGGTAGTGCCGAAGCCGCTTGACTTCCTCCTCGTTGGCCGTCTCCGCCACTTTGAACACCAGGGAGGTCTCGCGGAAGCGCAGGTTCTCCGTCGGAACGTAACCGTCCAGGAAGATGTTGATGCCTGAAGGGGGAGCGTGACAACAACATGTGGCATAAGTGGTGCGGTGTTTTCCAACTCTGCTTGGGAGGAGCCAAAAAAGCCGGGCGGGCGTTTACCCTCTCGCACGCTGAAGGGCATGGTGACCACTCCGTAGGCGCTCGGCACGCCGTACAGGCAGCAGATGAAGTCGGATAAGTAATCCAAGACACTCAAGTCGTGCTCCACCACGATGATGTATCTGCACGCACACACACATGCTGATTTCTGCCCCCTTGACTTGCCGGTCAGTAAGCTCCATTTCCCCCTCATTAGAACATGAAATGCCATTCATCTGTTCCGGGCCCCCAAAATGCGGCGACATTTTTTTGGTTGCGTGTTTTTCAATCACTGATTGCTGTGGACATTTCTATTGGTCGACTGGGACGCAAGCTCCAATCCAATATTGCGCTCGTGACAATTACACGTCACTCAAGACGACTCAAGTGTCTGTCCGTCATACATTGGCGAAGCGCGCATACCTGTCTGGCGTGATGAGCGAGCGGATGGTGATGGCGGCCTTCAGCCTCTGTTTGACATCCAGATAGCTGGACGGCTCATCAAACATGAAACTGCCGGAAAGCGCACGTGTGAGTACGGCGTCGAGGGCGTCGCAGCGGCGGCTCTCGTTTCTTACATGTCGGCTCTCTGGATGCAGACGACGGCGCAGGCGAACCTCTGCAACTCTCCTCCCGACAGGTCCTCCACGTTCCTCTCACGCAGATGACTCAGATCTTCCCGGCAACAAGACAACTAATCACAATGTGCCTTTTCAGCTCCCGGACGGTGGACCGTTCGGGGCGGGGGGACTCATACCGAGCTGCTGGCAAACCAGGTCCTGTGTGTCCATGTCATCTTTTCTGCTCAGGATGGCGCCAACCGAACCCTGCAGAGACCAAGTGACAGCTGCAACTAGAAGCGAACCATGCCGTGCCAGACCGGGCGCCGGTCGGCCGCCCTTTACCTTGACCGTCTTGGGGATCTGGTCCACGTACTGTGGCTTGACGATGGCGCGGAGGTCGTCCTCCAGGATTTTGGTGAAGTAGTTCTGCAACTCCGAGCCACGAAAGTAAGTCAGGATCTCTTGCCAGTCCGGAGGATTCTGGAGTGTGAGGGGATAGATTCACTACATGTCTGTATGAGCATGTGTAAGTGTAGTGCTGAGTAAACCGCAGCAAGAAAATCAACAAAGGGTTCTGGAGAAATTGACAGTTTTGTTTGCGGGAGGGGGCGAAGTCATTTTTCTGTGTGACACCCTGATTTAAAAAAATGAAAATAATCGCTTTTGAAATAGTCAAAGAGTACACTGTATTCTTAAGATAGCTCCTGGACCTTTGATTTCATCTGCTACTTTGAGAAGCCCTTCTCTGATTGGTTCATAACATTTTGTTTAAAATATCCACTGATAAGCTCGAATGGGCCAAAATTCCAAATAGTTTTTAAAGTCGATGCATTAAAAATAACCGTGACCCCCCCCCCCCAAAAAAAAAAAAAACTTCATTTAAGTGGAACATTACTTGTGAGAAGCAGCAGCAGCAGACTACTTCATGATGGAATTCAGTAATCAATTGTTTTTGCATGAAGTTATTTCTTATAGCAGATTTTGAAGTCCTAAGTCCATGTTTTTTGGAAATTTGCACAAAGATGGTGACCACTTATCACATTACGACTTATGGCTAATGTATAGTAACCGAATTTGGAAAAACAATGAGACAAAATGAAATTCAAAACCAAAACACATGAAAATTTGATTGCATTGCGTGCGTTTGTGAGAGACACAACACGAGAACTCACATCAAACTTGCCCAGGTTGGGTTTCTGTTTACCCGCCAGGATCTTGAGCGCCGTGGACTTGCCAATACCGTTGGTCCCCACCAGCCCCAGAACTTCTCCCGGTCTCGGAATGGGCAGCCTGCGCACAAACAATGGTCGGTTCCAACTTCAGTAACCTTGCCGAATGGAGGCCCAGCTTTCCACGTACCGGTGCAGTTTGAAGGAATTGGCGCAGTATCTGTGTGTGGTTTCCTTCTCCAAGTTACTGGGCAGGTTAACAATGGACAGCGCACCAAACGGACATTTCTGCAACGACACCGCCGCGTCACTCGGAGGAGATCGGAGAGGGACCGAGTTCTCGTACCTTGATGCAGATGCCGCAGCCGATGCAAAGCGACTCCGAGATCCACACGATCTTACTTTGCGGGGTGACCTCGATACACAGCTTACCTGCGGAGTGACATCAGCTTGTTACATCCTCGCCGGGACCCCCGTCACTTTCCCGCTTACTCACCCATGCGGACCACCGGGCAGCTTTTCTTGCACTCTTGCCGGCATTTCTTGGGTTTGCATTTGTCGTGGTTGACAATGGCGATTCTGGTGTTTTTATCAGCCATGGTGGGCTGCTGCTATGATGGAGGCCAGGACCCGCCGAGCTGAGGACAAAGCGATGGCGCACGTGAGTCAATTCGGAGATTCAATGAGATGTTGCTCTTTAAGCGAAGCGGTCACCGCTGGACACGCAAAGCATGCCGCAAACAAACACGTTAAAATTCAGAGTGAGTGGAAGCAGAGTCTCCTGCAAGACTACAAAAGATATCATTCTAAGGTGTCCTCAGTTGTTTCTTCTCAACAACTGGGGTACATCAACCTTTGGGGAGTGCAAAATGATTCAAAGAAAATTATGCTCTACTATTGTAAAAGGTGCAGAACCGCGTAATGTACGACATACATTAAAACAAATAGAATCTTCGATCAAAATCACGCAGCCCGGTGATCCAGTGGTTAGCGCGTCGACCTCACAGTGCAGAGGTCGTGGGTTTGATCTCCGGCCTTTCTGTGTGGAGTTTGCATATTCTCCCCGTGCCTGCGTAGGGGTTTCTCCGTGTACTCCGGTTTCCTCCCACATTCCAAAAACATGCATGGTAGGCTGATTGAACACTCTAAATTGTCCCTAGGTGTGAATGTGAGCGAGGATGGTTGTTCGTCTCTGTGTGCCCTGCAATTGGCTGGCAACCGGTTCAGGGTGTCCCCCGCCTACTGCCCGAAAACAGCTGGGATAGGCTCCAGCATGCCTCCTTGTGAGGATAAAGCGTATCAGAAAATGGATGGACCCCAATTACAGATGTGAAGAGGGCCTGCTTGACACATTAAAAATGAAAAGTGTCCCAATGAGACGCCCAAATCGTCCGATGGAGTGAGGCACACTTTGCTCGTGGACATGCGCCACAGTTGAACAGGTTCGACTCGTACAGCGCGCATCGCTACATCGCCAACAAAAATGCGGTACTGTGAGCACAGATCGTGTACTTGAACGGGGCAACACAGACTGGAGAAAGTGAACATCTACATGGACGTGTCATACAGCGTAGTGTAGTGTGCTTGTTGTCGCCTTAGCATTTAGCATGCTGGTGCGGCCTTCGCTTGTTATCTTTGACAGCCACTCGCTCGCCACCCAACTAAGTGGCCCCTGTCCAAATTCCCTGCTTCAGGTTCCTATGCCACGGTGGGAAAGACGCCGACTCACCCCACTTCGTTCCAACGGATCCTAATTCAGACGAAGAAAAGAAGAACGAGCAACGAGAATATAAAATTTCAGCAGAAAGTTCTACCGAGCAACGTGTTCCCTTCTTCGGTGCCGGCCGGAAAGATGGCGGCCCTGCGCACATAGCGCGCGACGGTCTCGTCGAAGACGTCACAGGAAAGCGACTGCAATCGCAATTTATAAATACAGTACAGTACTGTACATATATAATATTAACAATAATGTTCCACTTTTAGAACTGAGTGGTATCGTTTTTTTATGGACGACTTTGTTTTTTAATTGTGTATTTCAGGCATTGGTCTGCAGGGCAAATTGAAATCTATAATTTACAAATGTATATTCTGCTTGTGCGGGGAGACAAATAAAATAATTGAAATTTGTATGTCATGTATCAATGTCCAATAATTTAACTGCAGGTCAACATTTGTTTCTTCTAAATCACTTTATTCCCAAAATGTTCAAGCAAATAATGTCTCATTTCATAATTGTGTCATTAAAAAAAGATACATCTTGGAATCTCTGTCTTAAAATACAGGCAATACGATGTTGGAAAAACGAAAATAAATCCCTGCACTGTAACACTAAAATGTGAAGAAGGGAAAAGCAGTTCACAGCTCATCATCAGCAACAAAGTCTCATTCATACACAAAGACAGCAGCACATGAATCTTTTCTAAAATCGCACACATGCATACTGGTCATTTCCATTGGTATGTTCCGTTTCTCAACTCGTCCCGTACCTCCACGGACATGACGTACACAGTGACCAACCTTAGAGGCTTCTGCTCAAAATGATATTGAAGGTATTGCAGTTACACAAAAAAGTGTCATGACGGCAGGTGCAGGTGAAGAAGCTGCACATCATTACTGTACTGGGTTTGTGTAACTCCCTTTACATCACGGCAGAACTACGAGAGACCTGTTCTGTCACCGAAGACAAACAACAACAACAACAAAAACATGTGCCATCCATGTACAGTAGTTTAAAATGAGAGGAGATAAGAAACAATTTAAGTTACTATTATGGAAACAAAAGTGCAAAGCACGAACAAATTTCAACATTTGGAACAAACATACCATATTTCGATAATAAGAAAAAAAGAGAAAAATTCAACCCTGAGTCTCGTCAGAGTAACGACAGCCTCTGACGCTTGACATCTTACGACGACTGTCAGCGGGGAAAACACGCTCCACAAAAACACGGTGCTATTTTATTTTTTTTCAATCTTGCAGTGTGACGCAGTGGAATGGAAAGGTGCGCGCGTGTCATGACAGAACAGTGAAGACGAGTGAGCGACTAGCGGCGGTTGGTTTGAGAAGTACCATGCAGCAGATGGCCACCCCCCTCTCACTTCCAGTAGATTGGCAGCTGCCTTCAAAGTGGACGTCTCATCACGAGTAGATGGTGATGACTTCGCTTCCTCCACCACGGACCAGCAGTACGCGCTCCAAACCCTCTGTTAGAACCTCCAGGAACTCCATGTCTGCTCAGTGGGTCAAGGATATGCAAAGGCATTTATGCCAACAACTAACATGACAACATTCATGCCAACACCAAAACTAACTGAACATAAATTAAACCACCAAAGGGGTCCCATCCATACATGAGCCAGATTAGGAGTAAGGATACAGTTCTCATCTCCCTCCGGGTTCTTAGGCGGCCCCGGCATGTTGAGGAGGACGACTCGGGCATCGTGGGATTTATTGACGATGACCTCGTTGAGCTTGACGGCCGTGTGCATCCTCCTCACGTTGGAATGATCACTGAAGGAAAAGCCATTGAAAAACGAGAGAATATAAATTCTGAGGAATTCTGAAGAGCGAACCTCCAAATTAAGTGCTGTGGATTTTATTCACTTGTTAAAATGAAGAATGTGAGACTATATTTGATCAAGAAATGTGTCAAAATAACTCCTCCTTTGGGAAGAATAACTATGACATTTTGCTAAAATGGGATTAATTGGAATATGGAAAAAGAGTTCCAAATTGTGCCTGGAAAGAGCTGAACATTTTCAAGATGGATTGGTTTGAAACGGACAAGAAACGCGGAAGATGAAAATGTCAAATGATTCCTTCAGACTGGGACTTTTGCCGAGGACGTGTGAATACTGACGGCCGGATGCTGAGCATGTCCCTGAAGCCCTCGGGCGTGGAGCATCCAGAGTGCGCGGCCCGGTACTGCGACGCCTTCTCTTTGGTCCAGGTCATTTGAACACGGCGATGGCGCTCGGACGAGGAGCGGTCACCGGCCGCCGCTCGGTCCCGCTCACCGCCGTCTGTATCGTCGTCCTCGTCCGAGCCAATGCTGGTCAGTCTCAACATGGAGTTGCGGTCCTTGACCAGCTGAGCCTGGTTCGCGGGCCGCAAGAAAAAGAGATAAGGTCAGATCTTTGTCACCGATGGACCTCTCTTCCAAAATCTGTCATCTTGCTACGTTTCTCTTTGTTCCTATCGGCCTTGGCATCGGCTCCCGCACATCGACGCACAACCCGTGCTGACTGGCTAGGACAACTCCAGCACATCCTAGTCTAGCGAGCACACTTCGGAGCGACGGCGAGGGCCTTTGGTAGTACTGTTCGGTCAGAACCAACGGGGCTTCAACGTGGAAAGCTGCTCAAGCAGGCCTTCCATACTGCGTACCGGTACACCTATATTCTCAGTAGTAAGACAATTCAGCGTGCTTATAGAACCACGATGGGCCTGATTTATCAAGACAGCCAAATACTGTTGTGTTGTCAGAGTTGATATCGCCTGATTTTTGACTCCTTGACTGTGCCTGGCTCCAAGTAAGCCCTGATACCATTCAAAATTTGATCGCTCAAAACATATGTCGCAATCATTTTTGTTTCTGACATTTCAAAAATGTGCAAAACCCTCCAGTGGCATTTCTATCAGCTTTGATAAGATGACAACGTGCGTGATAAATTCATCCATATGCCAAACCCCCTCCAGGCAACGCGCAAAATCAACTGGGCTGCAATTCAGCGGGTTTGGCAGACGCAACACTGGCTGCGCCTGGTTAGTAGATCAGCTTCAATCAAGTTTGTGCCCATTATCACATGTGCAAACCTTTAGTAAATCCGGTCTTATGTCTTACTAGTAGCGTTTCCACAACTGTATGACAGTGCACACGTGTACAATAGTTATGGTACTCTGGTAAAAACGGTATGTTACTAGTGGGGCTAAACTACCCTAATTGACAACTGTGTGCTGCTCCTACTACTCCTGCTAGAGACATTATGCACCTCTAGCACTTTACAAATAGTTCGCAGATGTCAACTACTGTACAGTTTTGCATCCGTTATAACATGCAGCCGTTCGAGTGTGCCCCAGTCATTCTACTAGTGCACTGTAATGCTAAACTCTGGAAGGCAGTAGTTGAAAATAACATTTCCCCTAAGACATAGCTGTTTGACAGAGAACCCAATGCAGGGACCTGAAAGCGGCTATCAAAGCTATGAAATAAACGCCCAGACAGCTCGCCATACTCCCGAAGAAGCCATCTAGTTGGACTAGCTAATAGCTGGCTACTCACGTCATCAAAACTCCAGCGCACCCGCTGAGGAAATCCAGCAGCGAGAAGGAAGCCAGCATTTTGAACAACTCAGAAGTCGAGAGGGAAGGGCGAGATATTCCAGGCACGTAGCCGCGCGACTTTACCTCTCGCTCGCGGTCCGATTTGGAGAGACGCATTTGGCGGAGCATCTGGGACCTCTGCTCCATCATCAGGGTCCTCTCGTAAGTGTACGCACTGATGTCACTATCGTGCTGAGTGGGCAAAAAGATGCGTTATTCGGTGTCCTCCGACCTCAAAGAACAGCGGGGGTGCGAGGGGGTGCTTACCATCTCGACAACTTCCACTTCAGCCTCGATGCGTAAATGATAGAGGAAGGTAGCCAGGTCCTTCTTCATCTGAATGGAATTGTCCTCCATCTGGGCTACGGTGAAGATGCGCATCCCGCACTTGCGCCACACCTGTTCTAGGCCAGGTTATTAGAGTTTAAAAAACAAACAAACACTAACATTGAAAAATTGGGGGAAAAAAATCAAAAGGGAAGAAACTAGAACATTATAAACTATTATAATAGTGGTCATTTTGAGGCATCTACTGTCAAAAGAGAAAAGAAGAAAGTGAGTGTCCTGGACCTTGTGCTGGCGCAGCAGGAAGGGCAGCAACATCAGCATCCCGCCGTCGTGCACGATCCACCACACGTCTATGTAACCGTCGGCGTACGGCTCGCTGTTGCTGGGGAACAGGGAGATGTTTTTGGGCACCAGCAGGGCCAGGTGAGCGGCCGTGGTGACGCGCACCGTGTCTGGAAAGGGGGACAGGGGATGTCTTCAGCTGCTTATTCAAAAGGGAGTGGCGGGACATAAGGTGGTACCAATTTGCTGTTGCTATATTTGAAACAACCACATAACTCTGCCTTAAAATCAGCTCGTGTACATGATTGTAAATGTCATAGACGGGCTAAGAAATGTCATGGGTAAGCAGGAGCTATATTACAATGGCTATACAGGGTGAAAGAGAGAGAGAGAGAGAGAGAGAGAGAGAGAGAGAGAGAGAGAGAGAGAGAGAGAGAAAGAGAGGCATGTACTGTTTATTCACGGAACCAATAAACGTCTGTCTGAAGGTACCAGTGTACTTTATAGCAGAATCTCTTCTTTAAAACAAGTACTGTATATGCACTTCTCCTTCAGCAGAGAGCCGAGTGAGAATAATATCGCCACTTGTGCGGAACGGAGATGAGTGAGAAGCCGCAAGGGTGGGGACTTACGGATGAAGGTCTTCCACGATTGCGGATCTTCGCTCTGCCTCCAGGCATGAGGCCATCCCATCACCACGGTGTTGGGCTTCATCCCACCCAGGCCACTGGACTGGATCATGTGGCTGATGCCTTCGCGCGCCTTCTGCGCAACGATGCACTGGTAGAAGCCCTTGACTCGTTCCTTATCCATCAGGAGCTTCAGGGTCTGACACGCACATTAATGAATTCTATTTCTTGGGAGTCAAGAAATCAAACACGGACTGATGTGAACTCACCTGTTCCGCCGCCAGTGCCTCTCCGTAGCTATGCAGGAAGTTTCCGGGAACCACCGTGCCCACGATGGTCAGGCCTTTTCCCGCCTTCAGCTGGCTGGCAAAAGTCAGCAGGCGAGGAGACTTGACGTGCGCGTCTTCATCCAGTTTGAGCAAAACCAAAAGCTGAGGCCTGCGGGAGCCAGGTCTTAAAAGGGAGCTCGAATCTTCCTCCTCGTATCCTCACCTCATGGGAGACTCCCCTACCTCCAGTTCTTGGTGTGCGGTGGGCCTTCTTCCAACCTCAAGAGGGCATAACGGGCGGCACTGAGTGAGAGCCCGCGGATCCCATCTCCCCACTCTTTCTCGGCTCTGAATCACACATAGGCCACAGTGTATACACTCAGGGGCCAGTTCATTAGGGTCGCTTGTGCAAACTATACAATACAGTGGTACCAACGAAAACAGTGCAGTACAGTAAATCTCCCTCAAAGTCAGGTTTGCGTCCCACAGTTCTTTTTTTTTTTTTGGACCGTTCATTATTCACATTCTCAATCCTGTCTATTCTGCATGTAATAATATTCTTGACCACTAGATGGTGGAAAAAACTCTGAGAACGATGTGAATTTCGGAGAAGAAAGAAAACCCAGAAGTTGTCAGTACAGCCTCAGTTTTGTTGAAAATGATTTAATGTCCATCCACCCATCCATTCATTTTCTAATCCACTTATCCTCACAAGGGCCGTGGACATGCTGGAGCCTATCCCAGCTGTCTTCAGGCACTGGGCGGGGTACACCCTGAACTGGTTGACAGCCAATCGCAGGGCACACACAGACGAACAAGTAAACACACTAACAGTCACACCTATGGCCAATTTAGAGTGTTCCATTAACCTGCCAGGCATGTTTTTGGAATGTGGGAGGAAAGCGGAGTACACGGAGAAGACCTAGACAGGTATAGGGAGAACATGCAAACTCCACACAGGAATGAAAAAACTGAGCGTTTTGGTGTGCCTTTGTGGGCGGCGTAGCCTAATGAATGTTGCCCATCAACACGTTAAGTGCAGTGTTCAGCGTATCCAAAAAATCTTGTAACTTGAGGCACTCGTATGTCAAGGTACCACTGTAAAGTCAAGGTAACGCTGAACGGCACATGCCATCGCCATGGCAACATACCCGTGGTACTCGATGTACTTGTAGATCATGCCTGCAATCACTATGGCAACGATTGCATAGTACCAGGAGGAGATGAACATGAGCGCCAGGCAGATGGTCATCCCCAAAAATGACAAAGTCCTTGACACACACACGCACACACACACACACACGCACACACACACACACACACACAAGCACAAACACCGTGAGTGTGTGAGAGACCAAGTCCAATTGCAGCGGCGGTGGTGGTGGCAGCGGCGGACACACCAGTGGTAATAGGAGAAGCGCGGCCTCCAGTTGGGTGTCCTCAGGAGGGTCTGCAGAGCGCAGGCCAGATTGACAAACAGGTAGCACATCAAGAAGAACCTGGATAGAGTAGGTGTTTGACAGCTCTGGTGACCAATGACGTGCAAAGAGAGAGGCCGGGGAGTCTCACATGGTCAGGATGGGAGCCACCAGGTCCAGAGACGCGATGAGGATGCCCAGCTCAGCAATGAGGGCCGTCAGCAACAGAGCCCAGGTGGGCTCGCCGTTGGCTTTGCCGTGACCAAACACCTGACGCACACCAGCAAACGTGCGTCAGCGCACTGCCTTACATGCGTGACATCATGCCGAAATGTCCTATGGTGTCAGCTCCAACCCGAAGGAAGGGGATAATGTTGTCCTTGGCGATGGCCTGCAGAAGCCTTGGAGCACCCGTCAACGACTGGAGGCCCGCGCCGCACGTGGAGAAGAAGGAGCCCACCACAATCACCCAAGGGGTGGGCCAGGCTAATGTTCCCACCACCAAATTCCCTTGGATTGAGTCTCCAAACCTGTGGGAAGTGACAAAGTTCTACAACATGTCTCTTACACAGGGAGACACGTCACGAGCGGAACTGACTTGTCTCTGAGGACCACGCCGTCAATGCAGGCACCAAATAAAAGAATGCTGCTTAGGTCTGGGTGGAATGAACTCAGGAAAACATGGCCATCAAACCTGCATAGCTCATCTCATACATTATAAGTTATTACTCTCGCTTTGTTTTAGCATTAGCATTAGCATCTATGTTGCAGTGCAATCACTCTTTAAAATTAAGCAAAAGCTTGAACACAAACTGTGCAACGACCCAGTTATATAGTCTTTCTCCTCTGTGAATAATGACTAATATTAGTGCCGTACTGATAAGATGAGAGGAGTTGCGACGTCTCAACAATCAGTACAGTATATCCGTCTTTTTATACCGCCCCCCAGTAGACAAGGCTGAGATACCAGGAATGGCAGCATGACGGCTTTTCAGTGTGATGAAAACTGTTAAAACAGACATTGCAAATTTTTTTTTGGGGGGGTGGGGAGACTGGAATAAATTAATGGTGATTTAATTTATTTCAAATAGGAAGAGACGTGACTTTTTTGCATCCTGAGCGTGGTCAAAGAATTCATCTCTCAAGGCACCACTGCATTGCTCTCTTAGAAGGATACAGACAAAGGAGGTGGTGAGGATGGCCAGGATGGTCCCGATGGGGATTGAACGCTGGGCGTCTTTTAGGTCCCCTGACCGATTGGAACCGGCCATGATTCCTGAGGAAGACAAGGAACAAGCTTTAGGAAAATACCTGTTCAACTCTTTAGTCGGTATGGGCGGGTATCATTAAAGCTATCGATAAGCCAGGCCTTTTCTCTGGCTTCAGTGATTTCTCACCTCACAAATGCTTGAGTGGAAGCCATCATAGTTGCAATGCATGAAAATGAGAAAGTATTTACCGGTGACGGAGGGGAAGAAGATTCCCACCAGCAGGGTGAAGGAGGTGGTGATGTCAGCAAAGACGTAAGGCTGCTGTGTGGACGCCGAGCGGGGTCCCTGGGGGGAGCTCAAGGAGCTTTTCACCACCACGTCTCCTTTGCTGAGGTACGAGCTCCACAGGTTCTCTGCGACGCAAAGTAGAAACGTCAGCCCCGCAGCGGGCGAACAGCTGGCAACGTGGGTGGCGTTACCGGCGATGATGCCACTGGCCAGACCGGGGATGCCTTCGATTTGGGAGAAGTTGTTAGCGGCAAAGTAGTCGTCACAGGAGGAGTTGAGCTCGGCGCTCTGACAGAAGCGGCTCCACAGGTATGTGGTCTTCTCCATCGGAATGGGGCTGGGACTGGGGACCAACTCGAGTGTTGGGAGCGCCGTGGTGTTGACGTCCGCTGGGGAGCAGGGCGAAACCTTTGTCAACTTTGCAGGTTCCTGAGCCGCCGTGCACGTGCAGACAAAATGCACCTCCAGCAAGGGTCTCGTTGGCCAGCTCACTCTCGGCCGAAAGCAGGACGGTTTTAGCACACTGGTTGTCGACGAGATCATGGCCGTTGATGGTTCGGTTTCCTAGCATACAAACCCTGCAAAGATAACGCAATATTTTAGTGGGAAGCTCCTTTTAGCATGACACCCACCTGTTCCCAGTTAGCCAGTTCACTTGTGGGATGTTCTATCCAGGTGTTTGATGCGCTTTCGTCAACTTTCTCAGTCTGTTTGGCCACCTATCCTGGAACCCTTTCGGAATGTGTTGCAGCTATAAAATCCCAAGTTAATGATTATTTGCTAAAAACAATAAAAGTTTTTGAGTTTGAACGCTGAATATCTTGTCTTTGTGGCGTGTTCAATTAAATGCAGGTTGAACATGATTTGCAAATCATTGCTTTTAATTCACATTCAACACAATATCCCAAATTCATTGGAAGAGCCAAACTTCAGTTTTTTTTTTGTTCCGGTTCCCTCCCGCAAATTCCCGTGGAAAGTCTACGAATTAAAAAATTCAGGCAATTTTGCATTGCCTCGTGTCACAAATGTAAAGCATCAAAAGGAAGCAATGTGCCAGCGATGGGAAGAGCGCACATACGTGAAGTTGGGCGGCTTGAAAGCGGAGACCAGCGCCCCCACATAGATGGAGACAATGGAGATGATGACGCAGGCCAGGAAGACGGAGGCCAGCTTGTTGACGTACTTGACGCCCACAAAGACCAGCAAGGACATGAGGAGGAGGCAGACGGAGCCGTAGACGCGCATGTTGTTCAACATGGCCGCACCCTCGCCCTCCAGCCCCTTGGCAGTAAAGATGGCTGCCTCAGGCGCGATGTACATCTGGAGGCGGAGAATAGGGAGCGTGTGGCCTGCGAGCGCGCAACTGCAAGTGGCAAAGACATACAAAGACAGACAACCCACCAGCAGGATCTCGACGGCTCCGAGGATGTACATGGCGCCGGCAAAGGTGGTACCCAGGTAGAAGCACAGACCAACTGCCCCCCCAAATTCCGGACCCAGAGAGCGGCTGATCATGAAGTAGGAACCACCGGCTGGAGGAGGAAAAAGTAAGGTGAAGAAATAATATGCAGGCGCACCCAAACCGAATCGTACAAAAACCAAAGCAGTATTTCTGACAGAAAATAATATAAATCCAATTAATCCGTTCCAGAACCCCACCAGTATTAACAAAAAAATACATTCTGTAGAAAATAACTAGTGTGAAGTGCAGTGTGAAGTAAATGACTAACAAAGTGGATAAATGAACGTTTAATGTCACTTTGATCTTCACTAAAGACCCTTGATGGCGTGCGTGTAGAAGACAGGAGGAGAGAGGGAGCTATTTTCAAACGTAATTATGAGTTCTCTCGAATTTGATCTTGTCGCTTGTATCAGTTTCGCCACATTTTCTTTGGCCCCTGGGTGGCTTATGTAGCAGTCACAAATTATTTTGTGCTTGTTGACTGAATTCAATTACGAAAGAAGCCACCTTATAGTGTGGTGAAACTGTGTTTTTCTATGGTGTGCCTTTATTTTGAAGCTTGCGCCTCAGATGATTCTGGGAAATGAATGGCAGAGTCACGCAGGGTTTTTTTTTTGTTGTTTTTGTCTTGGGATTTTTTGAGCAGATGTACAATAACGTGGACAAAATTTAGACAAAACGATTTGACGAAAACCGAATCCCAACGAAAACTAGGAAATAACGAAAATCGAATTCCCACTGTATCAGTTTGGCTCCATTTTGTGGCACTTTGGAGCCGAGGAACTACAGTATGTTGAATTCAGTTGCGGCATTTCATTTTACAAAAGTAGTGGTTCGCTGCCATCTTGTGCCATTGAGGCAATTCAAAATCTTTATTGTGCAGGAGGCAAATTGGGGGGAAGGGGTGGGTCATAGTGATACCTGGAACGACTCCGTTGGTGGCGATGGCGCTCATTGATATGGTGGTCAGCATCGTCTGGAGGGGTAACAAAGAGGCGAGGGTGAGACGGGCGCGTTGGCCGCTTTACACCCCTTGACGGCACTCGGCGGCACTCACGCAGCAGCAGCATATGAAGACGATACAGAGACCCTGCAACACGCCGGCGGTCCCCACCACCCAGGTCAAACGTAGGAACAAGATGACGCCAAAGATGTTCTGCAGACACGGCAGGTAGACGCCCATGAAGGTCCCCATGCGCGGCGTCTGCGGAGGGCCAGAGGACACCAAATAAACTCTCACATTACAATTCGGCAAACTAATTTACAACATAACAACAATCTGATCTCCTGGTGGTGGCTCCTTATCAGCAAGATGCCAGTGAGAGGTCAACCTGACATCAGCTGCTCTCACACAAAAGACTAATAAATGCCAACCTGCTTTGGGCGCGTGACAGCTCGACGGTTATGAAGTCACTGCGTCCACTACGCTAGTATCAAGTCAAGACATCAGGCCAAGCTTGAACAAGTACTCCCTCTCCCTGTCAAAGACATTTGCTCCCCACCGTCCTCGAATCCCCACTCTCCCAACCAGCAAACCCAATTACAGTCAAACCTCGGTTTTCGTCCATAATCCGTTCCAGAAGGCTGTTTGAAAACCGAATTGTTCGAAAACCGAAACCACGCTCTTTTTAAAATAAAAATGTTTATTGAACATGTCTGCTCACAATGGAAAGCGACACGAGGAAGCGTCACTTCCTCGTCTACCTGAGGAAGCGTCACTTCCTCGTGTAAGGAAGGCGAGAGGAGTCAAATGGTGCATTCAAATGTGCTCAGTTTGTTCGAGAATCGAAATTTGTTCGTCATCCGAGGCATAAAAAACTTTTTGGTCGAAAACCGAATTGGTCGAGAACCGAGACGTTCGAAAACCGAGGTTTGACTGTACATTCAGACATCTTCAGTGCCATGCAGAGAACCGGAACGTACAGAACTCCAATCGGCTTCTACTTGCTAGTGTTCTATAATGTGAGTTAAAAAACAAAACAAAACAAAAAAAAAAACATCTCACCAAGGCATGAGAAACTCTTTGCAATAAGATATCTTAGCAACGCTGCAACCATCGTGTTCCGCCCATCCGCGAGGCCATGAAGACTTGAGCGAAAAGCTAACGGAATGTTTTCCTTTGGCATGACATTTACAGTTCATTTTCCCAATCAAAAGTTTGTTCATCAGCCACCACTGGACGGCGAGGGAGGAGCTTCAGATTTTTGATTTTTTTTTTGGTCTCCGTTTTCTTCAATATTTCTCAACATTTCCCTACCTTGGCCTTCTTCTTCTCACTGTTGCTCTCGGCCTCCTCGTGCTCCTTGGCGCCCTGCATCAGGTTGGTATAGTTGGCCAGCCGACTGAGCAGAGATGACACTTTGGGCCGAGTGTCCATTTCCTCCTGCGAGGAACGAGAAGACGTTCAAGACTCGTGGAGTTGGGACCTCACGTTATTTGCACAAACCTCAAACAAGGCCAAGTTCCTGTCGTAGAAGTCGTCGTCATCCACGCCGTGGCTGTTGTTGATGTACACGCTGGACAGTTTGGAATTTCCATGCCCTGCCAAGACAGAGCACGGCAGAGGTGAACGCACCGTGAGCAAGAAGCTGGCGTTTTGCTCAAGTGACGGCCGCTGGGCTGCGGCTGCCCTCTATCGTGGCGACCATAATCCCCGCACAGAAGTGTAGAAAGTAAACGAAAAGGTTCACCTCCTGCAACATGGTTGAACGCGCACGTGCAATCAAAACCCATTAGTGGATACCTGTTCCTCACCCGATTTTGAGTTGTTTTTTTTTTCCTGAGCTGACAATAATAATAACCGCATAACGGTTTTGTCACTGACTTGAGAGCTTTTTCTGTCTCTCAAGGCGTAACTGGGGAAGAGGATCAAAGGGGGGGGTGTCAACTGACAAGTGTCTTCCAGCTGAGGTCAGCACACCTGCGTGGGATTTATCTGGCATCACTGCAGGGGAGGGGCGCGAAGGGGTGGGAGGCCGTGCAGTGCTGCCTCGCGCCGCGCTACTCCGAGGTCTTGGTTCTCGACTGAGCCACTCACTTGGGGACACTTGAAACGCAGTTGGGATTAAGCAGCTCAATTCCTACTTATGGAAGCTTATTAAATATGAACAGTGTGGGGCGGCCTTGTCACTATGGACTTGCACAAGTTGTTCTTTCAAGCACGGAAGTGAAAGCGTCAGCTGACCGCGGCCGGTTTTGCTGACTCTTGGCTCAAATGCTGAGTCAGGGAAGCAAATAGAGTTTGTTAGGCCAGCTGTTTGCAAAACAAAAGCCCAACTTCTCCCTTTGCCTACAAGGGAATTTATATCGACTGTACTTTTAAAAATCAGCTGTGCCTGATGTTCCAATGTTCACCCGAGCTCTGATCATATGTACAGTAAATGGCGGCCATGGCTAAGTGGTTGTGAACGCCGCCTGCCATCGAACCTCGAGCAAGGTGCCAAAGCCCTAAACTTAAAGAAAGTCATTTCTGGAAAAGGCACAATGGGCAAAGAAAGGAAAAGGGTACTCGTAGAATATTATTTGAATATTGAATTGTAGGCAAAGTGGCTAAAATGACAATTTAGTCAGCGTCAGATATTTGCATGGGCCACCAGCCGCCAGACTTGCCAGGGGATGAGTATTGCGCATCATGTTACACTTAGTGACGGTTAGTAAATCCTGACGGCGCAATTGACATATCTGCTAAAATCCAGATTAAATTCCAGATTAGTAGGCCAGTTCACACTTGGGGATTTATTCTCTGCGCACGCTGCTCACCTTGCTCCATGTTACCGTGGTCCGGCGTATCCGTGCCGCCTCCTCCCGCCGGCGCCGTTCCTCCTCCCGACGTGTCGCTGGGGGGCTCGCTTCGACTGATGCTTTCCCGGGAGCCGAAGCGCACGTGGTTGCCGGAGCGGGAGCTGATTTCGGGCGACGTGTCCGACAGCCCGGGGTGGTCCTCCGCCTTGGTGGGCGTTACGGTGAACCGCACGGACGTCATGGCGAAGCACTCAGGGGGGTGGGGGTGGGGAGTGGAAAGTGGGGAAGGGGTTTCAGGAATACCGGGGCGAGGAAAGGGAGGGTGGCTGGTAGGCTCACAGGCTAGCGAGCGTGGCTGAACCCAACTGAGTTTAGCTGACGCTTGCAGGTGAGGTAACAACTGGCGGGATAATGACTTCTTTTCCGTTCGCCCTTCTCCATCGAGGCGACATGACTGGCCAGCGGCAAGCGTAAATGACCCAAGGGGTCAGGTGGATGTGAATTGCGCTTTCCTTTGGGGCTGTCACCATTCAATATTTTGAAAATCGATTATTCCATTGATTAATTGAACAATCAGATGAAACTCTATTTTCTCCCGATTATTGTTTCTTAACTGATGATGGTCGTTTATTTGGTATTGTTAAATGATTAAACTAAGTTCAATAAACAATTATGCACCATCACTGGGGAGGGGGGCAAGTGACGCTGTATTCTTCCTTTTTAATTATTCCTTCTTGAAAGTGAGAGCCACTTCTTGGTTATTGAAGGAAGGCCGACTAGCTCGAAATACACTTCTGAGGGCTTCTTCAGGTTCAGCTCCATGCCAATGACAGGTTAATCACAGGAAGACTGCAAATCATTATTTTTATTTCCACAACAGATTAAAATGAGCGTCTCCTTTTTTTATAAAACTGATTTCGATTCACTTACTGCTTTGGTCCATAACTACCCAGAAAAGGTGGAAAATTGTTTATCACTACTTTTCAAAGTAAAAGCAGATGTTTGCAAATCTCTCTTTTTTTTATTCACCACACAAGATAATCTGTTTGCTTTCTTGGAAGACTCCACAAATCAGACAATATTTACTGAGAGGAGTCTGAAAATCTGAGGATTTGGACAATTTTAAATGACACAATGGCTCGAAATGATTCATCAATAAATTAAATAGTTGTTGATAATTGATTGGTTGGCGATTGATAGATTAAAAGTGACACCCCTATTTTGCTTCAAACCAAAGTGGTGCGGGTGTATCTTTTTGGTTTCTGCTGGGGACAAGGGCAAGGTTTAGGGTCAAGGATTGGAGGTGTTGGAGCAGTAGAAACAGAACACAGGGAAGACAGAAAGCAAGGATGAGGAAAAAAAACTCAGCAGAGATACTACATAGTGGTTAACAACCCTGCCGAAATAAATTAAAAATATTAAAAAAGCCATGACAACGAGGCACTCTGAAGTGGCCACGCCTGCTCAAAGCCCCAGCCCACGTGCTAGCTTTTTTTCAGTTATTTTTACCCACCTCCTTGCTTTTCCACCTTTCTGTTTGAAGAGCGAGTACTCACACCTGATAACGAGGCGTTCTAAAGCGGCCACTGCAGCTGACTATGCGAAGAGAAGATGTATATTCAGGGTGTAGGCGTAGCTGTCTGGCTAACTTCACATCACAACTGCTTTGCTGCAGCGAATGAAGGCACTAAGTTCCCTTCCAGTGGAGGAGCGGTGAATCGTGAAAGACGCCCAATTGTGTCACTGGGTATTGTGTTAGCCACACCCTCCCCCCAAAAAATGGAACACTGAAATGGTCAAGGACAGGGTCTCCATAAGTGAGTACCGTACTACATAGTTCTCAGTCTTTGCAGGTGGTGCCAATAAGTATCAACAAACATATAATATCGGAACCAAAACTCTGAATTCATTTTATTGGGTCTTTAACGAATGACATTATTTCCCATCTCTGAACAGGTTCAAGCACATCTACCAATGACTCACCGAGGTACAGTATCGACACAAAGCATGTCAAAGAATAACCAGGGTCAACTTGGAGATGGACAAAAAAAAAAAAAAGCGGCTCCAACCGGTTGGACCAGTCGCTGCTGGCTGCCTTGTTTCAATACGCGGCGTTCCCAAACGGGAGACGGCACCTGGATAACTTTTCCCCGTCTGTCATTTTTTCTTTTGTCTTGTTTTTTGCATTTTACCCCGAGGGCCAAAATCCTAGCAGATGCATTCATTTTGACTGCTCCTAATGTAAATACATTGCTTAACATCAATGAAAATTGAACTCAAATAAAAAAAATATTTCTCAGTGAATCAAAGTACATGATGCCACAATTTAAATGATTGGACTCACGCTCGTTTTTATTTTCATCTAAAACGTAGCTTGGCGCCACTCATTTTTGGTCACATGACTTTGAATTGGTATGTGCGCTTTGTAAAATTTCATGGCCCACATTCTGTTACAATAACTGTACTCATTTATAATGTAGCCTTAATTCAATTGTCAAGTACATGAAGCGATGAGGAGGAGCAATCATCGGTGTGGATGTGACACTACGTTTACTACCGTGAAATGCAAAATGTATAAAACGTAAGACGCCAGTGCGTGTTTCATAAAAGCCACATTGAGAATTACCTATTAACCAATGTGTCCGAAATGGTCTAATTAATGAATAACGCAAAAGAAGCCCAACCAAAACCTCGCCACGCTCGAGATAATAATCCTGCCTTGAACTGGATTGAAAAACAATCAATAAGGCATTACATCAAAGCAATGAAAAATGAGCGTTGGTCGAAAATGTCGCAACAGCTGCTCGCGCGTCTCTGTGGCGACAGAAAGGATTGCGGTGGTTTATGGGGATGCGGACATTTCAAACCGGCTGCAACCAGCTTTGAGTTACCAGAGAGTACTCATTCACGTTTTGCGTTTTCGTTTCCCAGCTTGGTGTTTTTCGCCGGCAATAAGCGTCAAATAGCGAGGATAATATCGCAAGGGACGCCGGCTCGCTGGACTGTCAGGTTCAAGCCAGCAGCATGCTAACGTTTGCCACCTAACTAGCCCATGCCGCGCGGAACTGTCAGCTGTCAACCGCCGTGACACACAACACAAGGAGGGCCTAAAGCTCGTACCTGGCTCGGGTGATGTCGACACTCCGTCTCCACCGAGGTGTTCCGAGATCGGACATCTGTGGAAACAAGGGGGATGCCTCTCGAAATGTTTCTCGGCTCCTTATTGTCCGGTCGAGAATGCGAAACCGTGAGGTATGTCCCTTCCCGCTCTCAGTCCCATCCGCAACCTCGCGCATGCGCAGTGGCAAAAATGACAAGACAAAGCTGTTGTAAAATTTTTATTTGGATTCAAAGCCCCTTTTTGATCTCCCAACACTAGGAAGAAGAAATAATTTTTTTAAAACGTAAATTAAATAGAACGAACAATTGACTGTTAAACGTGTGAGCAAAGAACACAAATGACATTTCCCTATAAAGAAAGAGATTCATATAAAAATATATTTACAGGACTTTTTTGTACAGGTTGCCTTTTTAAAAATATTCACAGATAAAACAAGAACATTTGTGTTAAAGGCACAATCGTGAACATGCACACAAAAATGCAATAATACAATGTTTAGTTAGAATTACTTTGATAAAGTGTCTCTTTTCGCTGAAGTAAAACAAAGCTGCAGCTAAATTTTTGTGTATATGAAGCATCATATCACTTTTTTGTTCCCATTAAACATGATTCCGTTGTTGTTGACCAGCAATGGACGTGCCGCCCGGCCGGGCTGCAGGTGCTCGCTCATCACTTTCTGATAGGTCGGGTGGCTCATCAACGCTCGCACAAGGTCATCTGAGAAGCCAGAAGCAAAATACCCCAAAATCAATAACAAGCTATGAACTAAGACAACAAAACTCACTTGAGGGGAAAAAATGCAGCATAGCTTGATCTTTTTTTGTTGTTTTTAGTAGAAGTAGGTCCACGCGGTTTTTGCCACCTCTGGTCATAATAAAATTACCTTGACTTAACTGGCCACCACTGGAAACCTCAGAGTAGAGCTGTGCAGTGTGATGCTGACGTAAACCCAGCAGCGCCCCCATCAGGCCAGATAGTTCATCGGCACTCAAACTTCCTTTCCCCTCTTCGTCAAACAACTGAAAGGTCAAAGGCAATTGATCACAGTGAACACCTGTTTATGGCATGTATTCTACAGTACGTTGGATATCAATGTTGTCAAGTAGTTACATTGAAGGCCGTGCGCAGGAGTGACTGGATGTCAACGAGTCCAGAGAGAGCGGCCATATTCAGATAGATTCGTCTCAGGTCCACTACTTTTTCCTGAAAACCACCAGACAGAGCAAGCTAACGGACATCACGCCACAGAGATGACGCCACAACAGACATCCTCGGAGTACCTTGGAGTAGAGCCGGCAGACTGTCGCCGCTGTCTGCCGGTCGGCGAGTCCCAGAAGGGAAGAGAGTTCTTCGACTCCGACCAGAGCGGATCGTGACTGACACTTGTCAATCATTCTGTCCAACGCGGCTTCCATTTCACTTGCTTGCAGGCTGATGCACACAAATTACGGGTGGTTGTTGACAAACGTGACAAAATGTTCTAAATAGACGCTCTCATACCCGGCCTTGCGCAGCAAAGTCAGCGCTTCCCTGCCGGGCGACGGCAGCGGGAGCGAGAGATGGCCCACTCTTTGGACGGGCACGCCACCCTCCATCACGTAGTCCGTAGCCGGGACACCCAGTGCTCTAAAACGCAGCGCCAGAAAATGTTTGACTTTCCATGTGCACTCTTTACGCTGTCAAAATGGCACCAAATGGACAACAAATACAGTGCAGAGTATAAAAAGGCACCAAGCAGCATTTCCCCTCCCGCTGTTTTTACAATTGTCTTTAATTTGAAATAATTCAGTGATTCTAATTTAAACCCCCAAAACCAAACAGAAAATGCACAGGTTATATACAATATATTTTTAATCGACATCTTTGAATTGATCATAAAGATCATTATTTTTAACCTGTGAGCAACTTTGTGTGCAAAGTGGCAGGAGATGGTTGATTTTAACTATGTCAAGAACTTTTTGAGTTTGGGAATATTTGGTAGGAAAAAGCACTTTTTTTCCCCAAGTCAAGTTTTAAACAATGAACATGCTTTGTTACAGTTCAATTTGCAAGCAGGAAACATGTTAGCTATCCAGATACAACTAATGATAGAAGCGTGAATCAGGCCAATGGAGACAGCAAACTGAGTAGTTTCGTTAAAAAATAAATCGCATTTCCCGATATTGCCTCATGGGTGAGCCGGCTCTATCACAGCAATCTCTAAATCACCGATTCCCAACCTCTGTGCCGTGTAACGCAGTCCAAATGAAACGAATGCACTGAAATGTTTTGAAAATGATCATCTATCTATTTTGAATAATTACTTTGCCATCAGCTTCTGCACATTGTCAGCGTACAGGTTGGGATCGTTCCTCTCCTCCGGCGAGGGATTGTAGACGGGCAGGAACTGAAGCACAACATTTTGTTAAATTAAACAGCACACTGACACACACCCACACCCACACCCACACCCACACCCACACACACACACACAAACCTCCACAGTCATGTTGGTGTATAGTTGCGACGTAGTATGCCACAGTGCTTCCACCCTGTTAGACGGACGAAAAACATCAGCATCTGCACAAAAAACAAAACCCGAATGGCACCACAAGCCCGGCGAGAACTCACCATGTTGACCCTTTGTACGTCCAGCGAACCGTGTCCTGAAGCACAAAACCGTATTGGAAGAGACCATTCAAAACAACACGAATAACACGTTCACTTCAGTAGTAGTGCAGACTGATGATGCGCCATTTTTTCATCCAATCAGATTTGAACCTCGTTGTGTTGCTATTTCAATCCGATCTGCCCACGGCTTTCATAATGAGTCATGCTTGCCCTCGCAAATTCAGTTATATCAGGAAGGGGACGGTTTCTTCAATCGCATTTCAAATTCGCTTGGCCGTCGATGACGTCAAAAATAAAAATTATTTCTTCAGATTGGTTGGCCAGAGCAAAAACCTCAACTCACAAAACATATCTTGCACACATTAGAACAGCAAATAATTCAGATTTTCTAGGGAGTGTCAAGCATAGTCCGCCACCATCCGAATATTTGTGTCGCTAAATAAGATATGCAAAATAGACAGAACATGTCAAGCTCATGCCACCGCGAAAAGACTCCAACGAAACATTTTTTCAATCCCTTCAATTAAAAGCCAGCATTGTTGTTATTTTTGATGCAGCATGTGTGTGATTGAGGCGAAGAGCCAAGTCTCTACTCACCAATTTGTTGGGGTAGCGCAACAAAACTGGTTGGACTGGGACTCCGCATAGAAAAGCACCTGCCGGCAAGCAAGAAAGGAGAAACTCCTCAAAAGGAGAGAAACAAAATGACTGAATGACTTCGGCAAACACTACGCCCTTTTTCCCTCCTCATGCCAATCATTCCAGAAGAAAGCCTCGAGCGCCGCATCAAGGACTGGATCGTTGCGACTGACTGTCTCGAGCCGCTCACGTCAACTCTACTCACCGGGTTTGAACTTGATCAGAGCGCTGCCGTTTGTGGTGGTGCCCTCGGGGAACATCAGCGTCTGGCCGAGAGTCACATGGGGGAAAAACACACACGCGCCCAAGAGACTTTTATCAGCGGTCACTGGTTTGAATATTTGTGGCGTCTTACCTGAGGCCAGTATCCGTTGGAGGTGATTCTCTCTGTGAGTTGAGCAACGGCCTTCTTCCTGGAATCCGGGTCGCTCCTGCTCACCAGCACCGACTGGTTGAACTCCAGGAGCGCTAACACAAAAGCAGTTCAACACGCATAAAGATGATGGAAAAAGTCTACACACCCCTGGTCACATGACAGGTTTTTGTGATGATTAAGATTTAAACCAAGTTCATTCATTTCCAAACTTTTGACGCCATAAATTTGAACTCTAACTTCGTCAATTGTTTTTTTTTTTTTTGTTGTTGTTTTTTAAACTACCGCTTGAGAGAAGAGTTCATTTCCCCCGCCTCAATTTGATCCGACTCACCTCCGATGACAGGCAGGCTGGTGTTCTCCGAGCGGGACACTACGGTGGGCAACTGGGTGGTACACAAAACTAACATGTCCAGAAAGGTGCTATGGGGAGCCACCACCAACACGGGGGCATCCTTCAAGTCAGCCCGCCGACCTTTGACCCGGACCCACACGAACCCCAAGGAGAAGAAGACGGCCCGGCTCAGAAACCAGACCATGGGATGGAAAAGCCAGCGGCGCCAGCCCTTCACGGGTCGGGCGCGATCTTCCGCAGACAGGCCTGCCAGGCGTAAGCGGGCCAGAGGCCACATAAGGAGGAAGAACAAGATCACCAGGACCAGCCGAACCGGGAACAAGAAGCTTCCGAGGATCAGACCCTTGGGAGAGAACAAGCCCCGTGGCAGTTTAGAACTCCAATCCACATTTTGTGGTCCATTGACAGACTAAGAACATGTCAATATTTGCACATGAAATATGACAGTAAACAAATAGCTTTACTCCAACATGGCAGCCATGTTATCCACGTGAAGATGTCGAACATGCACCACCGCGTTGCCAAAACACCCAACAAGCATTTTCGGTCATGTGTGGAAAAAGTTGACGAAAAGTGCTTACCCGAATCCTTTGGAAGCGGCTCATCGTCACCTCGTGAAAGAACGGATTCGTGGACCCATGAGGGGACAGGTGGACGCGACGCTCCAACTTCTCCATGGTGACGATAGCAACCCCCCCACCAAAAAAAGGCTCCGGGCCTAACGTGAAGATGAGGAGTTGCCGAAGTGAGCACGACAAAATTCAAGTCAACACAAGCTGAAGCTCAAGAGAACTTGTCAAACAAGCGAAAGGAACATACTGACAGGAGCACGTGTGGAGAGTAACTCGGTATGTAGGTGTGTGCGCGCACACACGCTGCTGGAAAGGTGACTAATAAGCGGACGCGGTGTGTGACATCACGACACGCCACTTTCCTGCCACACGGATGGTCGGACCGGTCTGAGGGATTTATTTGGGGGCTCGCCAAATCCGGTTCCTGCAAATATTATGATTGTTAATGTTAGCCATCAAAAAAAAAAAAAAATGGGAGTTGTAAAAAAAAAAAATATCGAATTTACTAAGCTAGATAGCGTCCTTAAAATCCACCTTGAGGGTTATTTAACTAGTGAATCATCACCACGTTAGTGTAACCGATTTAATCGACAATTTATGTCGTTAACTTTTCGGCTAACACTGAAATCAGTGATAATGTTCCTGGCAAGAGCGTCTTGGTGTCAGTTATGCGCACTCGGTGGCGCCGTGAAAAATGTTGAAACTTTGGTCGTATTATTGTGTTGTGTTGTATATTATTTTGGTAATTTTATGTTAAATGGGCTGTAATATACTTTGTTACATCTGCAGGTGTTGTGAAAGCTCTTTAAATATGAAGACTGAAAAAAATGCGTAATTTTCTTCACAGCATGCCAAAGTGTTTTGCTTACTGCTAACCTCAACCTGAACCAAGTCCGCACATGAGCAATAAAATGGAATCGTCAAACATGAGAAGTTTACTGCGCCAGGGAGCCTATTAACATAAAAAATACATTTATGGATCCAGTAACTTTCGATTTCTACTTTTCAAAATAAAGCCTTTGCACATTTTACATCTTTTAAGACTTTATTAGTCAATTGGATGTTGTTTAAGTCATTTGCCTTGTTTCCGGTACCTCTGTTCAGTTACATCATGGAACAATTTCCTTTACATTTTATTTTATTTAAGACTGTTTGTGCACATTAGATATTTTTTATAAGTGTAAAGCATTTTTTGTAGTTCTTGCTGTTTATTTTTTAAACCAAAACACATCTCTGCTTTCACTCTTCTCAATTCATGTGACTGTAAACAAGGACAAGTCTTTTGAAATCAAGGATTTATTTCAAGAGGGCAAATCAGTATAAATTAAAGAGTTTAGTGACACATTGCTGGCTGATGGAGTAAGAGGAAGCAGATGAAGAGAAATAACTCCTGTCAGAACATAGGCATACTAAAAAAAAAAAAAAAATTCTTGGTGTCAGGTGAGGCAAGACATTCCATGAAACATGCAGAGGAAACACACATGCACACACACACACACACACACACACACACACACACACAAACACGCACACACAGACTGATAAACAACATCTCTGTCCAAAAAGAAACAAGGCAAAAACAAAGTAAGACATTCCCAAAAATGCTGGCCGCTGACAGCGCATCGAAGGCTCCCTCCGGCGCCGGGGTCGCAATGGCTGCCGCAACAGATGCCGGACATAGTTGCCTGACGAGTGTGTGCGGCACCCGCTTCATAACACCATCCCTCCGCCCATCATTTCCATCCTCTGTGAGAACACACGTTTTCGTCAATGTCATTACTCATCCAATCTAGATGATGAAATGCAGACACGTGAGTGGCTTTTTTGTTGCATTTTGTAGCATTCCAGCTCAGCGGACCATTCAAATAAAGGTATCCCCATATGACCCTTTGAAATGTAATAAGTGCGTCTGTTAAGCTACCTGAGGAGGCTCAATGAAAGCAAGCCAATCGGACGAGTGTGTGGGTAGCAGCCCCATCGATTGACACTTGTAGACGGCCAACGCCGAGCCCAGCAGGTTACCCACCAGGTAGACCAGTCCCTGAAGCCACTGTTGACTGGAGCTCTCCAACAGCTTAAAAGCTGCTCAAGACACAAGAGGAAGACAAGGAGAGAATGAGGGGCTAAATTGCGCCCCCTTGAGGAGAGGCCGCCATGTTCCGTGAGGAGACACACTCACTGGCTGACATAGACATCAGAGCCTGAATGGGCCTCCAAGCCATCATGCACACCATCATGATGGGGAAGATGGAGATGGTGTTCCCCGACATGTACATGATGAACAGGTTCATGGGGATCTGTTTGAGAGGGCCTAGGGCGACATCCCAGCATCGCTGGCAAGAGAAGAGGAAGAGCAGTCAACAATCCACCAACAGGAGAAAAAACAAAACAAAAAAAAAACAAAAAAAACATACAGCCTCTTCATACAAACTCACCTTCTCCACCAGATTCTTGTCCGTTTCCTGGATGCTGGTGTCGGGAACAGGCTTCTCTGAATAGCCAATGGGATAAACGACATCTCCCTGGCCGGCCTGGCGGTCACTACGACACCTGGAGCAAAGCAGCACCGCTGTCGTCTCAACTAAGTCAAACTAAATAGTGTTTATCACAAAGTTATAAAAACAATTCTACATTCATGTCAATAACATATTTCATCCTTTAACAAGGGGCTTGACAACAGATGAAAAGTGTCTGTAAAGGGGTGCCACAAGTGTATGCTTCAGAACCACTATTTTTCCTGAACGAGTTCAGGACTGGTGTCAGGAACAGTTTTCGGTAATTTATCAGTGTATAGATTTCAATTTTTTCAGTTGATCTAGTGCTGTGAAACCTACAATTTGATTTCTGTGTAATCCAAAGCACTCTTGCTAAACTTAAAACTGGTTACATTCAAGCAAGCTGAAACTCCGCAAATCAAATAAGAACAACAACTCTTAACGAAACTGCTTTGAAAAGTGTTTTCCTATTAGAATTGTTTGGGTATCTGGATTGATGACAACTTGTCTCTTAAAACACACAGAACAACTTTTTTTGTAGCTTTTTTGTACAAAATTAAACAATTTCTTTCTCTATATTGAATACCTCACCTGAACTAAATATTGACAGTGCAAGCTACATTTTTATGGATTTTGGACTATCAAGATACCATTTATATGCATGCTCGCTCCACTACATTAAAACGACACAGTTTATGCTGGGAATAGATTACTAGCCATAGGTTCATGACCCGTCACTGTCACTTGTGTCAGAATATTATCTGGACCTTCTTGGCCCTGAGAGAAGAGCAACACTGTTTACAACACTGTTTACTCACAAATACTTACTTCAAATACATTATAATTACATCTCGTTTACATTTACCTAGTGTTGCCTAAACTCAGTTCCAGAGCCCACTTCATCCTCCTGGAACCGGCTCCTCCTCGAGTGGACAAAATTCCCCCTCCTTGTCCCCCTGGAGATGCCATGGCAGCTGGATAGACCGCGATATAGGCCTCCTGCAGATAAAAAGAGACACTCAAACATAAATGATCATTTACATTTTGAATGAATAAAAATACAAAGTATTTGAAGTTCCATGTTTTGTCAACTATACTTCCACGGCTTTTACTGACGTTTTCGAGTTTCGTCGTGGTATTCGCACGTTATGCAGATACAGGACAGAATTCAAGTCGGAATTTTCTTATCCTGTTTTCTCACTGGTTCTGCCTAATTCAAAGGCCGTATTTTGAGTTAGTTCACTACTTTTAACGACTTTTGCCACCCCGGAACTTGGCGTGACGTCATGGTAAAAGGTCACCTGCATTATTTCATTTAGTGGCGACATTTAAACATTACTCGACAGAGCAGATGATTTTTTTTATCGTTTTGCAACACTCGCCAGATCCGTTGAATTATTTTTTTCATCATCTTGCTTGTGTCAAGAGTGACGCTGTAGCCTCAATTAGCAACTGATGCTAGCACGCCACCTTGAAAAAGCCAAAACGAGCATGTCCCCGCGAAAGAAGCTGCGGTAAATTACAACAATCCGACTTTGTGAACAAACGAGCCTTTCAATTCCATTGAATTCTCTGTTTACCTTTTAAAATGTCCAATGCGAGGCTAGCGATTATTTCAGGACGATGACAGGAGACCACTCTTCTTCGCTGCTTCCGTCGTCGAATTGACAAGTTTATTACGCAAGGACTCACGGTGCCCCCTTGTGGCTTCTCAGAAATACTGCATTGTCCACATCAAAGGAGTTAAATTAATTTAGCTTTTATTACACATTTGATCCTTTGTTATTGCCGCCAGTTAATAAGTCAACCCATGAACAATTCAAGTTTGGACATCATGGCTATCTTAGTGCAAACATTTAAGACAGTGAAACATGGCGTCACACATCATAAAATGGCAGTGCAATTGTCATTGTAACACGTTAACGGGTTGTTGTCATCAGTCTCGTGAAAGACTTGAGCATTGGTTGTTGGAGGAGGTGTACTTGTCACTTGTACAGGCTGAGTTCGGGGCTGTGGTACAAACACATGTAAGAGTCACACAGGAGCCGGCGAGCACGCTCCGGGAGGGTGGCGGGATCCACCCTGCTCAGCTCCTCCTCCGACAGGCTGAGGTAGCACCCCACCTCGGGACACGGCCTCACCAAGGGGACGTTGAAGCCATTCTCACCTCCTGGACAAAAATCTGTTCGGTTAATTCGACTGATGGGGCTTTTTGACGGGAATAAACGCCGCGTCTGTCTCTCACCTTGGCGGTCGGCCATGCTGTCAAAGAAGAGCCAATCGGAGGGCAGAGGCCCGTGTTTGACGAAGCTGACGTAGTGGCTGGTCTCGATGCACGTCACGGCAAACAGAAGCATCTGCCGGCGAGTGCTGTCGAGGGGGGCACTCCACGTCCCCTCGGGGACGATCATCTCCAGCGGGCAGTGAGATGTCCGCCTCCTGTGACTATGAACCTGATGGGAAAGACGAGCTTTGATTCCTGAGATGCCTTACAGTCAAGCGGCCTGGCTTCGGGGCTGAGCCCACGTACCTGAGTGTTGCAGGTGTTGCAGTACTGTTTGAGGTGTCCCGGTGTGATGTCTCGGTCTTCGTAACATTCTGCGCACTCCCACTGGGCTAAAGCCTGACAGATGCTGCACTGCCTCAAAGCTAAACAAATGCGCGTGCGCGGAGACAACATCCACATTACATGCTAACAAAAGGGAGCATGATGCCATAAAAATATAACAATGGGATCAAACATTAGGCCTGCAAAATTAATATAATTTTTAAAGAAATAGTTTCCATGCGAATGAATGGGAACAAACCAGGAATTGCCAAAATTGAATGTTGACTCTCAACAGGAAACTTTATTTTAGTTGGGGAAATCTACAGTATGTTCAAATATGGTCAATTTAATAGTTTTGACAAATTGCTGTGTGGGAGCCGCGAGGCAAATGCCACCTCAAGATTGAACGTCTGGATATTTTTGAGACAATAACAAATGAAAATCGTTTTCATTATATACATTTGAGTGCGCCTGTTTATTTAAAAACGGATCGGCGTCATGCTTCAGTGCATAAGTAATTGGTCAACCATGAAAGTAAATGCATTCAGATTCATTTCCACCGAGTAAAGCCATTTTTGAGCGTGATTTGAGGGCGGAGTGTTATGTCGTTAAACAACAGTATATGAACGCAATATTGATCACATTTGAACTGGAATACTGTGGTGTATGACTTTTTTTTTACATTTCCGGAATAGTTTCAAATATGGAACGTTTCAAAAATTCCCCAGTTGAACTTCCCATGGAAATTGACTGGAAACTTTGGTATCCTTTTCAACCCTACTGAACATTGGCATCAATTGTCAGTTACTGTCATCCAGCAGGTCTGTGATATCCAGGCTGAGGGTGGGCAAGATGATGTCAAACATCTTGAAGTCCTTCCCAAAGCGGGGCATGAGCAGAAGGAGGCAGGACGGAGCCTGGGGCGGGGTGGGGGGGGTGGGCGCTGTCAGAAAAAAACAAAAAAAAAAAAAACGCGGCTGTAATGAATTGTTGAGGAAGGCTGAGGGGGCGGGGGGGGGGGGGGGGGGGGGGGGGGTCAAATACAATAGAAGGATTTTACCAGACACAACGGCCATGCCGTACCTCCGCTTACCTCGGCTAACTTGAGTCCGGCGTGGAGGAAGGAGGACTCCAGCAAGGTTTGGACGCTGGCCACCCTCATGGGGCTGAACAGCGGCGAGGGCAGCAAAACGGAAGCGTCAGCGGGGGAGGGCGAACGAGGAACGTGAGGCGGGAAGAGCTGGTATAAGTGACACTCCTGCGGCTTTTGAGACAACGATCTAGAAGGGCAGAAAGACACATACGTCATTCATCCCATGAACACATTAAAATTGTCACAGCAGCAATAAATAAGATGTTGCTTGGTGGTATATGGTAAGACTATAATAATAATAAATGGGGAAAGAAAAATCAGTCGGAAGAGAGAAGCGTGGAGGTGTGGCGCCACCTGATCCTGAGGAGCGGCTCGACGCGGAGGAGCAGGAAGAGCTTGTTGAGGAACTCCTCCGGGTCTGCGCAGACATGAAAGGCAGAGCGGTGTGGCGGCATTCCTCGTGCACAAACAGGAAGTGCACGGCGCTCTTGCTCATTTACCTTTCTCCTGGCTGGTGAAGCCTGCGTCTTGGTTGGCCGCCTCCAATAGTCGCCTCAAGGCCATGGTCTTGCTAGCGCACACGTAGCCGTACCTGCAAAACCGACAGGCCTTATGGAAAATGTCAGCGTTCATACTGTTTAACAATTTACCTCATGGAACATCTTGACTGAATTGAAACTATGACGGGAGCGAAAAAGGCTCAGTCAAGCACTTTCGTCGCTTTTCTCAAGCACCCTTCCTCGGTCAGAGGTCGGACCGGGTTTGAGTGACAGGCAGACCTGCGCAGGGGGTTGACGATCTCGCAGCGCAGCAGGTCTTGAGCTTGACCTGAGCTCGGGTCCGCTTCCGTGTCGTCCGAGGGCCAGAACAGCAGCCAGTCTGCCGAGCTGCAACAGGAGAAGAGGCTGCGGACGGCGAGATGGAGTGAGATCAAGTGCCATAATAGAGGCTTCTGTGAAGGCGGGATCTTAGTCAGCAAGGCACCTGAACAGCGTGGCGTCCAGGTAGCAGGAGTTGAGGTGGCCCTGGATGCCTTTCTTCCAGCCCTGGTACAGTTCCTTGGCCTCGTCCCCGTCGGCGGGGAGAGTGTCATCCTCCACGCGCTCGCTGTGCCACTCAGCGAAAGCTGTCCGCCAGAGCCAAAACTCAACTCAACTGCTGCACCCCCCCACGCGGCAAAAAGTGCACAACGCAACTTGTTCACCTATGGAGTTGCAGCGCTCCACTTGATTGACACGAGCTTCGGGGGCGGGGAATCTGGAATCTCGCCGACAGTTAGCGATCTTGACGAAGAGCCCCTTGTTAGGTGGGCAGTGGAAGTGGCGCTCGCCAAGGTACGTGCCGTCGGATGCTGTCGACACCTCCTGCTCCTGCGTGGGCAAATGTAAGCGGCACTTAACTGCGCAATCATGTCAATACATTTTTCCCTTACGTACACTGTTGTCAACTTGCATAAATAAAAGTTTTCTCAATCTGAAACAAGCACCCGGCTGCAGGAGGAAGAGGACGGGGTCAATTTACCAGCTCGATGCCTGCCACTGGCTCGTGAACTCCCTCGATGTGTCCAATCCAGCGGATCACACCGTAAAGCGGTGGGTTGTTGACTTCCACCATGGAGCCCACCTCCAGGTTTTCTACGTCGTCCACGAACACACCCTGGTCCGTATCCGGCGAGCCAGGTGGCGAGGGTGGGGCTTGAGTGCCGTTGGTGTGCTGCGCCACTGCCAGGTCGGCGGGTTTGGGTGGCGGCTGCGGCGGCGGGGGCGGGGGCAGAGGCAGGTGATCGTAGAACGGCTTCGGCGGCGGTGGAGGAGGAACGGGTTTGGGGGGTTTTATGGTGGGTGGCAACAGAGCCACTTTGGAGGCAGAGGTGGGCGTCAACGCAGGGGCCGGTTTGGTGGCAGGTGGCGAGGTCTTTAAGATGGATCTGAGTACCTGGGGGGCAGGGATGGCGTGATGCTTGGACTCAGGGATGGCGTGATGCTTGGACTCAGGGATGGCGTGATGCTTGGACTCAGGGATGGCGTGATGCTTGGACTCAGGGATGGCGTGATGCTTGGACTCAGGGATGGCGTGATGCTTGGACTCTGCAGGTGATAACAAGTGTAAGGCATCATTTGCAAACAATTCATGAACAAACAAACACTGCTTAGAGGGCGATGTCTTCTCTCAAAATGAGACTTGATTCAATGAGAACAAATCACTCATGGTTATAGTGCACTGGTGTGACACTCAAGGGGCCAGATCTGGAATCACTTCATTTCATTGAAAAGCATCCAAATAGAATTCCTCTACCTGGGGACACCTTAGAGACGGGCAGCAGTTTTCCATAGAGGGCAGAAGGAATTTGGCAGAGCTTCTCTCCTCTGTAATGGCCGTCCCAGTTGCCCGTAGGAGTGTCCTGAAACATGAAATGGTCAATGATTCACATTCTGCCCACCGTTAAAGCATCCCTGGAATGAAGGAAGTGACTAACCAGCAAGACGCCCACGTAAATCGATGATGAGGGCTGACGGGGCAGCGGACCACAGAAGCGCACCTCTCCGCTTACGGGTGAGCCCTCCAAGGAGATGGTAACCCGCTGACCCATACTGTACGGCAGGGGCCACGCAGTGCCGCGAACCGGATGTTGAGTTCCGGTAGTTGCCTCCTCAGCCGATCCACTGGACGACTGAGACTGAGTAGGAACGGTGGTCAGAGGCACATGGACGTGATGTGCGGCACCGCCGCCGGGCAGGTTCACGTGTGCGGGGCGATTGTTGCTGTGATGGTTGTGGACGGTACTGCGGCGGACAGGGCGCTTCCTTTCTTGGTCGTCTGCTTCGTTGCCGCTGGACCAGTGTCTGACCTTGATGTGGCTGACCGGAAGGAAGACGGCACAGCCGTCAGGGCACGTGAAGAGACCACCGCCGGTGCCCTTGCCTTTGCCCGCCGCGGAGCCCTGCGGCCGAGGAGTGCCGATTGAACCACCTGATCAATAGAAGAATAAGCAGAAGTGACTTTACCTTGAGTTGCACCCCAAAATACTGAGGTCTGCTCCCTGGCGTCAGCGGCCCGACGTATTTGAGTTCGGCCTCAGCAAGCTCGTCCACTTGCTCCATTCGGACCCACAAGGGCGTACCAGCGGGTAATTTGGCCAACTCGTGCAGCTTCTCACGAGTGCCTGAAAAAAAAAAAAACAGCACAACAAAGGCTCCTGTTGAATCGTTCTATTGTCCGTTCATTACTTACGTAGTAATTCGAGGCGAGCCTCTTGGGCCACAGGCTCCAATAGGCCAACACAGTCCGTTGGGACTTCAACCAGAACCCTTTTGTCCAATTGTACAATGATGTCAAGTTCCAGCATCTGAGGAGAAACCAAGATGGGGACACACCTATTTGACACAATCACACCCTAAGTACTACTGAGGAAGAAAGTCGTTATGCGTGAAGGTATTTGAAAATGGTGTTCATTGTTACCTTGACATATAGAAAGTCGACTGTGCTCCTACTCGATTGTCTGTCCGAGCACATGGACCCCCGCGGCAGCACGATGGTACCTTCCGAATGGCCCTGGACATGCTGTTCGGCCGACAGCAAGAATATTTTCGGGGGTCGTAATTTCCTTCTGTGGTCATGGGCTCCTGACATATTTGGTTACTCTCACCTGGTCGACAGAAAAAGAAAAGCTTTAGCTTTTTTAAAAATTATTAACAGTGAGAACCAAACACAGTAACGTCGCGCAAAAAGGTTCAGGTTAACATTGTGCCAATTAACTTTCAGATTTCGTTGAAGCTTGCTTGGGACAAGTAATATATAACCAACACATTATTAATTTGAACAGAGTCGGACTATGTTTTCATTTTTGGATAAAAAGCCTTTTCGGCAAAACTTACCAACTCAAATGTCAATCAGTCAGAAGTCAGGAACTCTCACAACAAACCAAACGGTAAAGCCGGAAGCACAAAGACTGACAGCAGTGCCAACCAATTAAAAGACGGAAAAGTTCCACAACCAATCAGGTAAAACGTGGGCGTTTCTATGACGGCTTTCTTTGTAACACTTCCTTAAAATACAAGCACATTGTGTAAAATATTGGCAAGCAACTGGCATTCACACTCACCGATATTTATTTCATTGAAATAAACATAAGTAATAGTTTATTTCACCTTGAAATGAAGCGGCATTTTAAATGAGTTCCTATTCATTTATGAAATCGATGCTATGGAACAAACTCCTCCAAGGTATATTTGCATGTCAGATGCATTTTTTTTCATTTCAATTTTATTAGTATATAAATAGTATTTCCACATTCTGTACAACATCCAGCTCTAAAAATAAACACAAAAATATACATAATTTAACGGTATTTAAAAATATATATTACAACTTTTTGCATTGCAATATTAGTTTTTTAGCGACTTCAACATTTCTTCGGAGGGCTGCCTACAGTAATGTATGAAAAACGTTCCTGAAAAACAATAGTTAAATAAAAGTGCAAGTATTTTAACAGATAATAACATTGGTATAAGTTGGTCACTTTGTACAAAATCACTTGAGCACAATTTACTGCAATTAAAAGTACATAGAAATTGGGAGCATTAAAAAAAATAAGTAAGTGGTTGGAATTTTGATTGCTTTCAACTATTATAATTGAATTCATGTAGATGACTTCAATGGTCTGCAGTTGGACCCTCGTTAGTAAAGTTAGCATGGCCATCACGCAACATGAGTGATAAGTGTGAATCACCAAATAAAATGCTCAAATTGTGAATAATATTAGAGTCTTAACTTAAAAATTCCATGAAAGTACATTTGTTAAATACAGTTTAGTTGTATTTAACTTTTAAGTACAATACATTTGGCACTCTGTGAGTCAAATGTTTGTTGAGCCTGTACTATTGTTGTAAGTAGTTTGATAACCACTGACGTGGACCATTCCATTGTCAACAAAAAATGTCCATCTAATTCAGTAAACTATCATGGATCTCATTTGGAAAAAGAAAAGTATCCATATGTAAATACAGACACACGGGCATGATCATTCAACTAATCAGGATCATATTTAGTGTCTCATCCCAAGACTGAGGCAACCCATGGTGCATCGTGACAGAAGTCGGGCGGGCAGCAGGGCTAGACAGCGACATCATCGCAACAGCCAGCGCAATGCGGCGGCGGGCTTCTTGCAAAAGTCTCTCTTTCAAACCGCACTGACTACAAACTGCGGCCGTCAGACGTGCGGAGATGAGTGCTCTGTATTGACAAAGTACGTGGTCAGCTCCCCTTTCCCCTTGACGTTGATGACTCCTCGGAGTGTGATACCGTAGCCCACGCTCTGGACCGCCTGGGCCGTCTCCTCTGTCACCTGGACGCAGAGAAAGAAGTGGGCGTGGTCAAGCGGGGAAGGAGGGAAGTTAGTGACGATGGACTGACCTGGATCCTGTCCAACACTCCCGTGCTGTCCATCCTGCTGGCCACGTTGACCGAGTTCCCCCAGATGTCGTACTGCGGTTTATGAGCACCGATGACTCCAGCAATGACGGGGCCCTGGTTTATTCCTGCAAATGAACACTGAATGGTCAATTCTTTCATTGAAGAACCAAAACATGAATGGTAACTATTACTCACGCCCTCTGAGCCAACCCACTGAAGAAATTGACATGCCAAGGTCAATTGCAAGCACCACACGGTGAGAAAACGGGCTCACCTATCCGCAGTTTAAAGCTGTTGAAGGAGTGCGTGTTGATGAGCTCCAGATTGCTCATTAAAGCGATGGCAAACTCCACCATGGAGCGCACGTGACTGTAGGACATGTCACATTTCTGCAGAGGGACCAAGAAATCTTGTTTCAAGCGAATCATTTCAATGTGAGCGTAGAGTGAGCCCCCGCAGAATTGCTGATTTTTTGAGCAACTTTTTTTTTTCAACTGTATAACTACGGGTCAGACGGAATTCAGACTTGTGCGCCTTCAGTGTAGTACCATGTTGGGTCACAACATGCCAGGCAGCACTGAGTACTACTGGATGGAGATGCAGTGTAATTCAGAAAAGAGAAGAAACTCCAGGACTGTACTGTTTAAACATATATGTTGAATTCTCCTGTGTTTGTTAAAGTTGCATGTTTGAAGCTTTATACATCTATGCTAATTTCTAGTAGCCAAATTACGATGTTACAGGCATTACAGTATATTTTAGCATCAAGCTAGCCTTCGTAGAGTACATAATTTAGTCGAACATTTTTGTGTTTTAATATATAATTATAAATTCTCTTTTGTTTTATGTGTCGGTTAAATGATTTTTTTTTCCTATCCCTGTAAGAGGGATTCACTGTAAAATCTTAGTCGGAAATGGAGTCAGAGTTTGTGATGAATATACCTTTCTCTCATCCCATGACTGCGTCAGCCCCGCGGCTGCCATGTACGTACTGCCGATGGTCTTGATCTTCTCCACTGAAGAGAACTTTGGCTTGGATAAAAGCTGAGCAAGAGAGTGAAAACGCGAGACGGTGAGGCAAGAAGTCTGGCCCTTCTGCTTAGGTAAAACCTTCAGATGCTACTAATCCCTCACACCTCGTCAAAGTCGGCAATGATCTCGTTGAGGAAACGTAAACACTCCAGACCATCTCTAGTGGCGCTGCTCTCGCTGTAAAACTCCTTAAACTGAGGCACGGAGGCGAACATGATGCACACGCACTCGTACGACTGGCTGTATAGGTCCTGAAACCAAAGAGAGGCCATCAAATTTCAGCAGCATGTCACTCTGATTGAAATATAGCGCCAGTTCAGAACAGAAATGATCACAACGCCATTTTTCGAATCACGATAGAGAGGTTGAGCCACCGGGGGGAGGTAGGAGAGAACAATGGGCATAACAACAGCTGTTACAATTCTCAAGAAGGCTACAACGTTACACCCTTCCCCCAAAACAAAACATCACCTGATTGCGGACAGTTTTGCCCATGAAGAAGGAAGCCACGTGAAGGGGCAGAACGTTCTGGAGCAGAAGCTTATTGACATTCTCCACAGTCTCCATCTCCTCTTGTTCCAACTTGAAACAGTGTTCCAACAGGAAGTCTACGCGGCAGCCCAGCTCATCCTGACAAGGTTGATTGATTGATTAAACGTTTTACTTTGAACACATGGTGTGAGAAAAAAAAAAAAAAAACCCTGGATCTTTTACTAATGCGGTGGTTCAATTTTAATCTGTCACGAATTCCAATATGTACTGCACACCCCTGTTCAATCTCATTTAAATGGGAATCAGCACACAACTGCCACCACTTGAAAAGCCACTGGTGAACCCCAAATAAAGTTCAGCTGTTCTAGTAGGCTGATATGTTTGCTGTCATACAGTACACCCTAACAATGATAAAGATAATAATAATGGAGATTTTGACCAAATACTGCGTGCAACATATTTTTCAGATATTCTTAAATGCTAGTTGTAGACATTTTTGTTGAGCCATAAATCATGCTTCCCTTCCCTATTCCCAGACAGATTTCGAAAGTTTTCTGGTAACTTGTTGCTTTTGACCTTAGACTATGTGTGAATTATGTTAGATTTGATTGAATTAGAGTGAATTGGTGTGTTCCAGAAATCCTAATTTATGAACGGTCCTGATTGCGTTCCATGTAGGGCGGAACACAAGTCTTCGTGTATTGCATAAACGTATGCACGTACCTGTCTGGCCAGGATGATGCAGACAATATAAAAGATGACCAGCCAAACGCCAGACATGATCTGAGGGTCCTTCAGCACACCGGGCCTGGGAAGAGTGCACAGATTGAAAAGAGTCAGAGCCCGTCTTCCGGGGCAAACGCACCTGCGGACCCCTTCGGCATCAAACAAAAGCCACTCGCTCACTTGGTGGTGGTGTTGTACAGCAGGTCGATGAGGCAGGACGAGCGGTTGGCGTATACGTGGAGGAAGAGGGCCAAGTAAACCACCACGGCCAGCGTGAGGAGCAGCGCCTTTATCGACAAACATATCCTGACGAAGACGATGACTCCCAGCATGGCCACCAGGCAGCAGTACAGGTAGTACTGGAAGGATAAATGCAAAGACATTTGAGTGCATATTCTATATCTCTTCTAATGCCCCTAATTGTCAGTGTACTCTCAATAGTCAAAACTAGTGAGGATAAAAAGTGTGGAGGATTCTGTGCAATCGAATAAATTCTCAAATGGCTTGCCGTATATGTACATCAAAAGGAAGCTACATATGATCATTGCGAACTCACAGGCACAGTGTAGAGTTTGAGATCCTCCAGCGCCCTCCTGTCGCTGATATCGGTGCAGTTGTTTCCTGGGATGAAGACCTGAGGAGGTACAATGAAGGAAGGAAGGAATAGCTAAATGTGCGAACGCTGCGTCCATCTCTTATACACAAGGCAGTTGAAGTGACGAGAGAAAGGGACTGACTGTTTTTAAACAAGACCTCAAATAATAGAAGCGGTCAGAATATGATTAACACAACATGTATTTTGTCATGATAATGTGCATTTTCATTCATTTCTATTGCACGCTGTGTTTCTTTTTAACAACACACAAATGGGCTAGAACGAATTCATTCGATATCCCTTCATTTTAAAGTGAATCATTGCTCTGGTTCTCAAACAGAGTCTCGGAATGAATCAAGTTCACGAAAAGCGATTCCGCTGCATATTTTAAAAGAAGGGTAAAAGGCTCACAAAGTTGAGGATGGCCATCAGCAGTGTGATGAGTAAACTCAGGCACACGATAAACAGCCGCAGCGCCGCCCTGGTGGACATCCTACGACACAGTCCTGACATCCAATGAATGCGGGGCCGTGTCTTGGAATGACATTTCTTCAGACAAAAAAAAAAAAAAATTAAAAAATATATATCTTCAATACCCGTTGACTTATTTTATTGGTGAGTTTGGCTAAGCATACCTGCAAGTAGCCACAGAACGCGATGGACAAAAGAAGTACCAGCACAGGAAAGGTGGCGCTGTAGGAAACGGCCAATTGAAAGTTCCTGTTAAGGATACAAACACATTTGTTAAATGAATGTATTAAGTACGAATGGATTTGGAATATTAATGTTTCCCATCAACTAAAAAGTATAAATTTGAGAAAATGTTCCTACTTCCTGAGGTTTATTATCTAACAAGTGAATCATCTCAACACTTTTACGGTAATTGAGGAGAACATTAATCAGGATAAAGAATATTTGTCGCATTCTTAGTGAGTTGATCTAAGCTCAAATGCGCAGCCACGAACCTTGTGCATTATGTTGCATGCTAAAATACTAGCTACAGTTGCACAAAGGGTTGTAGACTTTTTTTTTTAATTTAATGCCTTATGTGTTTGATACAAAAAAAGTTTAATTTTAAATTTATACTTCTTTGAAATTGTCCCACCGAAGATGTTTCTAGAATCTAGATAATGTGATAAGAAGATAAGAAATAAAAACTGTTGATTATGTAAAAAAGGAAACTCATTGGTTATTCCCTATTAAATATAAATGTAAAAATAGTTCATGCGAATGCACGATTATCCGATAGAATAATAACAATTTGGGTGCCACTCACTTCTCAGAAACGAGCATTTGGACAGCAAAAAGGGTGACAAAGACCAAAGCGAGGCAGCTCATGGACTGGTGTAAGCCCTTCACCTCTGACAGGCGAAACTGTAACACACACACACACACACACACACACACACACACACACACACACACACACACACGCGCGCGCACACACACACGCACGCACACACACAAACAAGATGTAACACAAAAGCACCACAGTGGCTGGCTCACTTCCTGCTGGGCAAGTGACATCACCTGCTTCTCCAAGCGTATGTCATTAAACAGCAGCGTGAAACAGTTAAGTCTTTTGGCCCTCCACCTGGGGAAACACACACACACACACACACACACACACACACACACACACACACACACACACACACACACACAGACGCGCACGCAGATCAGACAGAAAGTCAACGAAAGATGAGAAAAATAATCAAACTTACCCTGCAATGTCCATCGTGTCCAGCGAACCCCTCACACGGTTATCTACAAACAAACTGAGACAAAAAGCACAAATTCCATCTATGGTATTCATATGTAGTTAGGGCTACTTCAAAATTGGCCTGTCAAAGTTATAGTGCATTTTAGGTTCATTCTAAAACATTTTGGCCACTTTTAGTGAGTAGTGCATTTGACTGCATTGACATTTTTAGGCTGTGTAATTTTGCCGGTGTAATCAGCTTGAACATTAAAACCTCAATGGAGCATACCAGGATGGGTTGTTCTGAAAAGGTGGTCTTTCCTGAAACAGACATTTTCCAGTCAGGACACGTGAGTCTATGCGCGTTTGCAAAGTGTAGCGCATGTAGAGCGTGGTCAACGTACAGCAAATGACTGCTGTTGGTTCGCTGCGACCTCGTTGATCTTCTTGGGGAGCTTGGCGTGATGGTTGCTGAGGTCGGCGAAGGGTCGGATGTTCCGCCACGACTGAAGGTACTGAGACATGCGCATGGACGCCCGCTGCGTGTTCTCAACGGTGGTGAGAAGGTTGGCCTGGAAATGAATGAGCCACGCCGTCACACGCTTGCGTCTCCCCGCCGCAGTATGCCGCAAGAACTCCCACCGTTGTCGATCTTTGGAAAAGGCTGCCGGAGTTGTTGGGGTCCAGAACCAAGAAGGTTTTCCTTCCTTGAAGAAGAGGATCCCGACTCCCGCCGTCGCCGTCCTCCACTTGGTACGCTCCGTTCAAGTGTTGCAGAGTCTCTTCCGTGATGTGAACTCGCCTTGTAGAAAGAAAAAGCACACTTTTGTTGCCTTCCAGAGCGCAAATGCCGAGACGTGATTATCTTCATTTGAATGCGCTCACCCAGGAACGCCTCCGGATTCCATGTGATTGGCGAGCGTCACGTCATGTGACCACACGTCGTACTGCCATTTTTGCAAGCCGATCACACCAGAGAGCACGTTGCCCGTGTGAACGCCGACGCGCATGCTGATCTCCACTCCTGTGGCCTCTCGCAGTTTACTGAGAGCCAAGAAAAGGAGAAGAGTCCGTTTACACGTTGTCAGCTCACTGTCAGCGTATCCCCCATGCTCCTTGCGAGAGTTCTCATTTTGCATCTGTGCCTTTGACAGTTTGTCCCTTTCGCCAAAACGTCTGAAAGCGTATCAACTACTCTACTTTCTGAACTGCCCTCTTAATCCAAACTAAGAAAAAAAAATGCAAAAGAACCAAAATTAACCAAACAACTGCTCGTGACTTGAAAAACCTCGGGCCACTCGTATAATAAGGTGGTATCGGACAGGGGTCCCCAACCTTTTTTGCCTCACGGACCGGTTTAATGTCAGACAATATTTTCAGGGACCAGCCTTTAAAGGACGGATAAATACAACAAAATAATATGATATGACCAGCATGAAAACTGGTATTTTCAAAGCATAACAATAAACACGAATCACGACACGAGGAACGTCCTATCTGGCCGCAACACTCTCTGGTCACTATTGTAATGTTTACACATGCCTTCAAAATAAGAAAAAACGCAAATACAAAGTGCATCACCGCATATTATGCAGACTGGGAATCTCCCGTTGTGATCAATCGGTATTTTAAGTTGGACTCCTGACACTGTCTATTAAATGTAGCCTTCTTTTTCTTGAAAGTCGTAGGCTCCTTCTCTGTCTCCTGGCTGGGCCTTTCCCCCTTCCCAAAGAAACTTTCCAAAGACCTTTGTTTTTTACTCATTTTGCTAGTTCCTGGGTTTCATTTTAGAGGTAACCTATCATGTGACTGAGAAGCGAACCGTCACCTGCGTCAGAAGTGACATATTGTCGACGGATGTAACAGAGGATCCGGTAATTTTTCAAAATAAAACATCTTTCAGATTCCGAAATGAATAAAGCGGAAGTAATGTAAGTTATTTATTCTTTCTGTGCAGCCCGGTACCAAATGACCCACGGACCGGTACCGGTCCGCGGCCCGGGGGTTGGAGACCTCTGGTGTAGGATGTTACGAGATAGTTGTGCAGTAAAGGTCTCGCTAGCAAATGAGCTGACCTGATAGCGGTGCACATGTCCAAGCCCATCTGAACACAGTTGCTGGCGTGCGTGGGGATCGGGTCAGGCAGTCCTGACACGCAGTAGTAGCAGTCGCCCAAAATTTTGATGCGAAGGCATCCGTTCTTCTGCAGACAGCGACAGCATATGCGGTAAATGTGATGGCGTGCTGTCAAACACACACGCATGCACGCGCACACTCGGACCGGACATGTTTACCTTGGCGATGTCGTCAAACCTGCCAAAGAGCTTATTGAGCATAGCAACAAGCTCCTCTGGTGTGCAGCTACTAGCCAGTTTTGTGAAGCCCACAATATCCGCGTACAGAATGCTACACACACACACACACACACACACACACACACACACACACACACACACACACACACACACACACACACACACACACACACACACACGTTGAGCATTGCACAAACGGAAGTCGTGACAGCATTCTGTTTCCCTCCTCACCTGACGTCTTTGTGCTGCCGTATGTACAGACTGTGGAAGTTGTGTCGATTTTCTTTCTCACTCGTGGGCTTAGTAAGCCTCTTAATCACCTCCGTTTTCAGCTCTATGGCGATGTAACGCGGCAACACCGACAACAGCAGACGCTCCTGGAACGAACGGACGACAATTGTTTCCAACAGGTCGCTCAGGAGTCATTGAAAATTGGATCCGATCAAACCTGCTGGTATTTTCTGATTTCCTTCTGGGAGCGGATGGTGCTGAACTTCTCTCTCTTGCGATTGGATTTCCTGAGATCGTTTTCGGTGGTCCACAGGTGGAAGACTCCGATGCAGTTCACACACAAGAACAGGATGCCATTTGCCACCAGCTGTGCACATAAGTCCGACACGAATATCAAAGTGAAAAGCGGGTCAAGTTTAGGGGTGAAAAAATTCCAGGAATATCCAAAGTTGACGGGGATGAACAAAATTTTTGAAAACATTATTTTAAAAATACTTTGAAAGACCTTAATCATACGGATGGGATAAGAGCGTAGTTTTTAACCTGGATTTAAACGCATTATTGGTTTGTGTCTTTATTCAGTATCGGGCGCAGTATAAACGGGTGCGTATTATTCACGGGATTTTATGGCATATATGATAACTTTCCATTCCCACAATTCACATGGAAAGTTTCCAATGTGTCATACAGTAACAGTATCACTTTGGTGCTATCTGGTGACATCTTGGTTTCGATGGTGAAGTGAGTTGAGGAGTTTCATTTCCACATAACTAGTGCCTTTCTGGAACTTTGTGGCAGCAATAGGCCAGGAAAAACATTTTTGGTTTGTTTTGACTGTGTCAATTGCTCACAGACTTTCACACCTGAAGGGAGCTTAGGACAGAGCCCTGCTGGATTTACTGTATTTGAACAAGTCCCCATTTGAAATTCTCAATGACGTTTTTTTTTTCCTTTCTTGGCAACCCTCATCAAGTTGGACGCACCTGCACAGCCAAGTCTGGCGTCTCCGGACTTGTGACCGGGACATAAACACTGATGATGATGATGTGCGAAACGCTGGTCCAAATCCCAACCATGAGAGCCCAGGCCAGTGAGAGAGGGAGCACCGTGTACACGCTCAATGACAGGAAGAGGAAGAAAGCCACCTGAGGAGGCGGAAGTCAGGACAGACGGGTATGAGTATCTTTCAAGACGACTCGGCTCTCGTGACGTCTCCCCACCTGTTCCCACGTTGTGACGGGTCCTCCGGTGAAGATGAATACAATGGCGGTGACGTACAGCGTCCCCCAGACGAAGAGGGCCAGGGCGCCGGCGCAGCGTCTCACGGTGGCCAGCCACGGTAGGCACACCAGCAGGCCGGCGCTCAGACACAGAACCACGCACAACACCGACAGAGCTCCCACGTGAACGTCAAGGTTCTGTGCGCAACATGAAACCCTTGAACGTGATCGCACGCCAACGCTTCTTTTCTAACTTTGTGTCAGCAGCAGAACAGTACGATTGAAGGAAACTTCACAATCTTGCTGTTTAAATATGCAAGGTTGAGTTCGCTTTTGTTAAAGTAGCAGTTGTTTGAAGGTTGAAATTACAGTTGCACCTATGCTAATTCACATGAGCTTGTCTATGGTGTTTCGCACTATATGTTAGCATTGAGCTAGTGGATGTTCGTTTTACTATATGTATTATATCACACACAATGCGGAACTCACCCTTCCCATGGTAGGAATAAGGACGATGATGGCGATACAGAAAGCTAAGGACAGCACCAGTCCAGTCAACATGGCCGGCGTCTCCTCCCCACACTGCAGACAGCCCCTGTGCATGGACCTGTAGCAACAGTTGACGCTTTCTGCGACGCTGCGCTGGGAATGTGTGCTTCCATGTCCTTCTTCATGGTCCGCACTGCTGCTAGTACTCACAACCTCATTTGGTGTGCTAGCGTTTTCCTTTTTCTTGCTAGATTTGGTAGTTTGTTTTTTTTTTGCCCTTTTTTTGGACTGATTTCCTCCCAAAGTGTGTTCAAAGAGGTTGGCAGGAGAAAGAGAGTTGGTATTTTCAAAGGAACTTCCAGTGAGTTCACTTAGGTCGCCACTGAAAGCGGTGCTGGCGGAACCGGGGCTGGAGTGAGTGCTGCCATAGTCCGAGTCAAAGGCGAGGTCCAAGTTTTGAGAGGACGGGTCCACCTCTGGTGCGTCGCTCCCAGACGTCGACAAAAAATCCACCAGCAGAGGCTCGGGTAGGTGGGCAGACGCTTGACTTTGTGAGAGTCCTGATTGGCTAGCCAGTAGTCCTTCGTCATCAGCAGTGTCTGCGATGTGGTCAAGCTCGAGTGCGACGATTCCAGTTTGGGTCACGCCATCAACCCGCAATGCTCCTGCCGCTTCTTGGTCAGGCTCCATCTTCGTCTGGACCCTTTAGCGCTTGTCTTCCGTTGAGGAAGCCTGACAGATGTGCTCCTGTGGAAACACAGCCCAATGATTTTTTTTTTTCAGATCATCATCTCACACTACAAAGAGGGGTGTCCAAAATTCTTCTTCGAGGGGCCACGAACAGAAAAATCAAAGGCTGCAAGGGCCACCCTGACATTCTTCACCTTGAATTTAGCACTGTGAAACGGAATCCATTAGTGTGGGGTAAAGATGCACAAAACAACTGAAGAGAGTTTTAAAAAAAAACCTGACGGATTTGAAAGGAGTTTTGAGTGGCCAGTTGTGCCCCTATCACACTATAATAGATCCTGCAGCAGAATGCCATCTTCACATACAGGGCCAAAACAAGAGCAATCTACACTAAGCTGACCTTGACACAGAACAGAAAGTGGAGCAAACAATCGCGATTCTGAGGCGCGTCTTTTTGAATGATGAATGAGTGGTGGAAAACAAGGAAGCGAGGATGAATTTCTGCTTCTCCTGCCTTGGGCTATGTCAATAGCTAATTTTAGAACAGGTTGCAGGCAGCTAAGAAAGGAGAAGCAGATGTTACCTGGGTGATGGTTTGGGCACCAGTGCTAATGTTTTTTTTGTCCATCTAATTGCGTGTGTGTGTGTAATGTGCGTGTGCATGCGAAACAGACCAGTGTTGAATCCAGAGTGTTCCTTTTTAGTGCTGTTGATCCCCCTCAGTCAGCGCTCGACCATCGATGGCCACCCTGACATTCTTCACCTTGAATCGATGGATGACGTCAAAGTCTTCCTGCCGCAAAAGAGGGTCAACAACAGTGTGACAATGACTCACTCAAACACTCAACTCTATTATTATGCCGTCCTTGGTCGCTTTTCTATTATGCTAAACTCGTTTGTCTGGCTATTTCCTCAGCCAGGCACCGTTCAGGCGTGTACCGGAATGGCATGACAGCGATGCACCTTGACAACAACTTTCCAGTTACCACCTAGTCCAACAATCAAGTGCTGTCATTTTCCTTTGCTAGATTTCTGATCAGCTGATGGCCATTACAAAATGTCAACACCAACAACAACGATATGAACTCATGTGAACTCCACATAATAGAAAAGTTATTTTGTACTGTCTGTACAGTCTGAGGTGTGTCAGAAAGAATCCAGGACGGCTGTCATAAATTTAAATACATTTTGTATGCCGGGCAACCAACAAGCAGATCTACAAAGACAGCCTGTGGCGTGTGGACAATTGTGAACATCTTGACCATGACAACACGCCTTCTTACAACGCCCCGAGCATCTGACACTTCCCGATTATGCTGAAATGACCTTCCTACTCACCTGACCTGGCTTAGTGTGATTCTCTCTTCCTCTTTTCCAAACTCAAGGTGGTCATCAAGGAGACCAGTGTAGAAGAGGTGGACGACGTCAAGATGGGCCAGGACAACTGAGCTGCGGAGGATCTCGGTACAATCCTTCCAGGAGTGCATGAAGGCATGGCAGAGAAAGCTGGAAAAATATATTCCAAAGGATTACTTTCAAGAGGAAAACTTGTAGTTTGTAGTTAAGATTTGAAATATGTCTCCTGCGACACCAGTCCTGGATGACATTTGACTGCTTCGCATTTAAAATGACGATCAAAACACCTGCTATACAAATCGATAAATGATACGACTTCAAGGAATAAACGAATATTTATATTGAATATATCCTAATTATATTTGTCAGCGGCGTCAAGCAGGTTTAGACCACAAATGGAAAATACACGTAAGTAACATCTTCAGACATGTTGTAAAGGAAAATATGACAAGGGATTACATCACCGAGTAAAAAGGTAACAAGTGCAGACCACTGCATCGCGAAACTAATGTGATGTACAACAAAGTACAGTACTTTCAACCTGATGGTGTGAGCGACGTTAACTTTACTTCCAAAGTACTTTACAAGGACAATCCTGACATTCTTGACATTGAACGTGAGCGCGGTAGTGTTAGCTTCTTACCTCGTGACACAAGTTCAATTTAGTCATGTTCCACTTCCAACAGCCTGCCTCCTGGCCAAACACCGACAAAACACATTCACATAATAATCATCTTGAGTTCGCTTTCAAAACGCCGTGAGAACAACCGAGAGGGACCCGGCATGTGTGAGCGAGAATTCCAGTGGCAAATGTATACACGGCTTCTTTCTTCCCGCAGAGCTGGGCGGGCGCGTGGGCGTGCGCGACGCCAAGCTACGGGAGTGCTTTCGGCTACGAGCCGTCGCCTGATCGATGTTCAGCGATCGGAGCGAGCTCTGCGGTGAACACTTCAAGTGGTGGCCTTCTGGGGTTTAGGAGAACGACAATCACGATGCACTTTCAGACGTTTATTGAAGGTGAAATGCATACACTCCCAAAAGGGCATAATGCATGATTCCAACACTGATCTCAGAGTAAGGTAAAAGCCAAACCGACTGACTGCCCTTGTGAGCTTGGTCACATACTGAAATAAACTCGTATGTCAAGGTGTCAAAGTCACCGCAATAATAGAACTGGTACTTCAGCATGTTCATTTTGGGGAAAAGACTTTAGGACACTGCGATTGGCCTGCAACCGGTTCAGGGTGTCCCTCGCCTACTGCCGGAAGATGGCTGGGATAGGCTCCAGCATGCCCCGTAACCCGTGTGAGGATAAAGCGGATCAGAAAATGGATGGATGGATGGATGGACTTTAGGACACTCATGAAAAAAACCCAGCTCTGTGTCATTTATTGTCTCCCTCTAGTGCAGTGGTTCTTAACCTTGCTAGAAATCCCAAACACAACCAGTTCATATGCACATTCACCGAGCCCTTCATTAGTGAAAAATAAAAATGATTTTTTTTCAAGACATAAAAAAAATGCATTTATTAAAAACTGAAAAAAGTAAACACAATAAGTGTAAAATATAAGTTTTTTAATTGTGCACAAAATGAACCAGTCGGTGATGGCCAAGCAGGCGTGTCAGAATTAATTGACATGTTGAGTCGGGGGTGTCTTACCCTCCAAGGTAGAGGCTCCGTCGAACGCCTGAAACTGATTCACCGAACCCAGGTAAAGAACCACTGCTCTAGTGGCATGGCCTTCTGTGCTCACGCTGTCAAACAAGCCATTTTTTTACAAGCTCATCAAACACAGCACTGAAAGACACATTGTGCTTGGTGGGCCTGCACCGTAAACCAACACACTATGGTCTGCCAGCCAGCCTTACAGGTAAATCCAACGATGCTCGCAAAATATATTGCCTATTTTGAAAGTATAAAAGCCACCAAACCGGTCGACAGTGTCAAAACAAAAAGGACGCTTCATCCATGTCAGTAAAGTGCAACATTCACACCTGGTGGAAGCGATGCTGATTAGGAAACCAGTCAAGTCAAATATATTTATATAAACTGAAATCACAAAAAAATTCTCACAGGACTTCACATGCTCACTGTTGACAAATATGAACAACATCCCCTGTTCTTAACTCCCAGGAAGGCAAGGATAAACTCTCTAAAAACCCATCTTGGGAAAAAAATGACAGACCTTGAGAAGAGGCCGCAGATGAGAGAACGCCCTCATCCAGGATGACGAGGATACAATGGATGCCAAGTGGGCAACATTTCACACAATATGGTGCAATACAAACTTCGAATCAAATAAGAATCAACTTAATAAGGTGAAACACTGTATGTACAGATGCCATAGGTGCCGCCTCTAGCGGACACTCCGGTGAACAGCAGATGAAAAAGGGATCGCAGTTGTGTGAATTTGCGAAAAGTGTTCAAGTTCTATTGCTCCAAAAGAAGGGCCGAGAGCACGTTGAGGTCATTCTCTGTCGGGTTGCTCTGCAGAACCAGCATCACCATGTTGTCCTGACCAGGAAACACCTGACAAAGACGCTCTCTCAGGCTTGCCGTGGCCTCCACCGTTCTGCTGGCCAGAGCCGTCTCAGAACCCTGCTTGTCTCTGGGCTTGGGGTGCTCGAGTCCCGCTTCCCTGCTCCCTTCACTTGCTCTATTCAGAGCGCCACCCGGTGTTTGGTCAGGGAAGTTGTGGGCTGGAATTTGTGAGTACTGTGGATTGAAGGAAGCGGAATGTGTGGCTACACCAGCCGGGACGGATGTCCTGGTAGGGAAATGATGGTGAGATAAAAAGTGTCGAATTTATTTCAGAATGATGTGACTTACGTCCCACCTGCAATCCGAACGGAGGAAGTCGTCTAAATGAGGGCCCCCTCTTCCCAGTGGGTCATCTGGAACCATGAAATGATCACCAACAAACGTGTACTGAAGCAGTCTGCGGGGGACACGACAGTCGGAGGCGATTTTTGCATCTTTCATTCATCAACACATATGTTCTTGACATTTTTCAGACTAAGTACCACCTAAAACAAGACTTACCGGTAATTCTCAAAGTACTATTTAATATTGTAAGTCACTGTAGCATGATTTATTTCTAGATTGACTTAACCTTTATTTATCCAGGTAAGGCAAGTGAAAACTGATTTTTATTAGCATAGCCGGTTTAGCAGCCGATAGCACAGTCAAACAAACGGATTCAAAGCAGACTCCAAGACATAGAAAACAAATTGTACAGTGTGACGTAATACATTACATTGCAGCCTAGTAAATGCCCAACTCAACTCAACGGTATTCATCACGCATTTTAAAACAACCACCGCTGTAGACAAAGTGCTGTACATGGAGCATGAATAATTAAAATAAGAATAAACAATAAAATAATAAAGTAGCAGCAAAGGCAGCAGCAAGCTCAAAAACAGTAAAACAAAAAAAAAAATCAAGTCTCATGCTGAGTCAAATGCTGACTAATAGGTTCGAAACAGGCTAAAAGCGTCGGCAGTGATCACGTACGGTATCCCTCATTAACTTTCCGAGTGGTAGTATACATGGTGAGCAATTATAATTAATTTAATGTTCAAGACCATATCATTCTTAAATATTAAACGTGTCAAAAGTTTAGAAAGTGAATTGCATATATCCCCCACTAGAGGGCGCCCGCATAGCACCACCGTTGATTTCCTGTGTTTAAGTACACACGCAAATCTAGTGAGGGGGCGGGGGTCTTGCGGCCTTATATGTTTTAGTGGTCAGTATTTCCATTACCATCACGTCGGAACCAGATGTCGGTTTTGTTTGGAGTGTTTTACCTCTTTTTGATGATGTCCCTCCATGCGATCGACTCATTCAAAAGGTCCTTGAGATTGTCGTTGGTCACGATCACGCCATCGGTCTTTTGTGCAAGTTGCAGCATTAGTCTGCAGGTCAACCGTGCAAGTTTTAGTTTTTGGGGTTTTTTTTTGTGTTGCAATGAGACCAAAAATCTCCAAAGATGATATTTATTACTGCTACCTGTCGTCATACGAGCTGATTCTCGTACCCATTACCTCCCTGGAGGGTGTGAAGGAGAGCAGGCCCAGATTCTGCAGCTCACCTAGATAGTGCCGCTCTGTGGACGTCAAAAAAGAACAATAGGCGAGGTTAAAAGGAAAAGCAATTCCGGGTCACACAAACATGAGTTCAACGAAGGGAACGGGTGTAACAACCTCGGATGCGGGGGTCACTCTTCTGCCGCCACTGGGGCAGCAGAGCACTGATGTGCCGATGACCGCGCTCCCAAAAATGCTGAACAGCCAAAGCAATGCCTCGGCACGAGAAAAACTGCCCCAGCCCGTGACTAAAGAAAGGGTAGAAGATGGGAGGGGAAGAAAACTTTCAATGAGAGGAAAGGGAAAAAATCATGAATATGCTAATTTAACTCTTTCATGCACACTGTAACCTGATAACATGATAAGCTGTCCACTGTAGTAACCGCTGTGCCTGAAAGGGTTAAGACCCGGAAACCTAACTACCGTATTGGCCCGAATATAAGACGGTGTTTTTATCATTGAAATAAGACTAAAAAAGTGGGGGTCATCTTATATTCGGGGTCTAGACATTATAACCATTCACGACGCTAGATGGCGCCAGATATCAATGAAGCGAATGCTGAACTTGACTCCCCAGGCCAAAGTGAACCCCTGCCACAAGGGAATAAAAATAAAAATAGCGGTAAGAAGGAAAAGACAAGAAAATAATAGAACAGATAACAGAAAATGGAGAAACGACAATATGGAGAAAAGTGGGTCGAAGATCGGCCAGGTTAACCGGCAGCTGAGGAGAAGTTATGATGTAATTTATATTTCAAAAACCAGAAGCCATTCATTTACGAATGTGATTGCACTTTGGATTTGAATGAGGCAAAATAACATGCTTTTTCTCTCAAATATATTGTTATAATCATTTGTTTCAGATGTACTGTAATTATTTTCTGTATAAAAATCAATTTAGTGTTCAAAAAGTCTTTTTTCAAAATTGAGTCTTGAAAAAGAGGTGGTCGTTTTATAATCAGGCCCGTCTTATATTCGGGCCAATACAGTACATTTGGGGATAATAGGCTATTATTTTAGCATTATCCTGACTAAAACAAGCACATTTCATGCAATTGAAACCTCTTTTGGAAGATTTGTTCAGCACTTGTCAAAGTGCAGCTTGTGCATTGAAATTAGCTCATTGCCACCACAAAAAAAAACCAAAAAAAAAACAAAACAATCTTAACGATGGCTCCTGTCTCAAAAAGTCATAAGTGAGGCCACTTGCATCTGAAGGCGCCAGTGTCGTTCCAAAATGCGCTCCCCTCCCTCCTCCTACCTCATGGCCACGTTGCTCCCATCAATGACGATGGTCCTCAGCTTAGGGTTCCCCGGTTGGTCTGTTAGCTGGAGTTTAAAGGGTGTCTGCAGACCCTCAAGGAAGCGCTGCTTGCCCGTCACCGCCATCGAGGGGACGCTGGCCCCATTGGAGGATTCTCTGGACCCGGTGGGAGAATGCTGAGCTTGGAGCGTTCCCTTCGAGCAGCTCAGGCTTTGAGGTTTCAGGCACGGGCCGTGAGGGAAAGATGAGGCATACATTGGCCCGGGTGGCCCTTTGGCAGGATCGGGACGTGGGAGCACCAGGACTTCATTCAAATCCGGATTGGAACCAGGTTTTGCTTGGCTTGCTGTTTCTGAAGCACTTGCTCTTCTCTCAGCATCCTTTGTCATTCCAGCTTTCGGACTCTCCTCCTCTAAGACTTCCATTTCACTGCCGGTCTCCTTCTGCAGCTCCAGGAGCAGCAAGTGGCTGGCTCCATGCGGCAACATGCTGCAAGCCTTGGCCACCTTGTGCTCGGTGTAGCCGCAACTCACGGCGGCTCGCTTCAGAACTCCCAACACAAAGTCATCCTCTTCCTTGGATTGTGCGGCGCCAACAGCACCGACCTCGCACGGCACATCTCCTCCTCCTCCTCCTCCCACTGTCTTGTCATCCATCTTATGAAGTGGGTTCCTCTTACTCTGGTGTTCCCCGCCACTGTAGTCCTGCTCTTGCTGAACCAGGTCCAGTATCTGAGAGGCCTCTTTGGGTCCTGTTCGGCCAAGAACCCGTTTAACCACGTCCTCTGTGTACCCCATGGCCGTGAAGAATTTCAACAAAAGCCAGAACTCCTTGTTTCCCGGTTTCAACGTCTCCACCTCAACTTCATCCTGTTCCGTCCGCTCCTTTTCTCTCGCATCATGCTGAGCCTCCATTTGTCCTTCCTCAGCGGCACCGGGCACACCCAAAGTCATCCCAGGCAGGCTACGGTCATGTAATCCTACTCGTTTCATGTTAGGCGCAAGTCCCGAGTCTTTCACCAGGTCCAGCAGGGCTTCCTTCACAGATCGCGGCAGTACGAGGAGATCCAGGATGTGGTGGTCCTCCCATTTCTCCACCAGCGCTTTGAACGCCTGGGGTGAATTACACAACTCACCCGAACCTCGTTCTTCAGCGTCCGAGGACGCGGCCTGCCCCCCCTTATATCTCTCCAACAGGTCAGCGATGAGGGAATAGGCTCGCACCACCGGCTCAGTGAGACCAGATATGAGCAGCAAGCCCGGAGAGCTCACCTGGTTTGAAGTAAAACAACAAAAACATCATCAAAATACTGTCGGAGCCTCAATAGAATCGAGCTAAACAAGCGCTACAACAAAATAAGAAACAGCATAAAACCGTGCTTGATGTTTCTGTGAATTAGCAGTCCAAAATGAATCTGATTTCTAGATTTGAAGAGCGTTAATGACTTGGTGCAAACGAGGTCAGCACGTAAGCAAGACTAACCGCAATCTGTGCTGAAGTGCTCTTGATCATGCAGTCCATGAAGAACCCATTGGCACTGCAAAAGATGCAGTTGAGTGCGGCGGCATAGGACATCTCCTGTTGCACCTCCTGGCTCACAAGTCCCTTCACAAAAATCTGAAAGACGGGCATAGTTGCTGATAAACTGCACCACGAGCCACATGGGCAGAGGAATGGGCGCGTCGAACCTTGGCTGCTTTCACGTCACGGTCTGACCCTTGCAGTCGCAGCCATATCTGCCCGCTGGTACCGGGCGGCATGTTTCTCGTGTTGATGGTGAACGACACTCGGAATATCCTCTCCACGGTTTCCTGCTGGGAGTTCAGAGAACCCCGCAGTGCCTCGGGGCACACAAACTCATCCCCCACCTTGTCTTGTACGTCCATCCCTCGTTTTTACAAGAATGGTGTAAACATGCTGGGGAACATCCCTTTCCTGCAGACAATGTACATGTTATTAAGTAGCTGCCTCGCTAACGCTAACGTTCAGAAGGTCAACCCTCGCACAAAAATCAACGAGGCCCGTTGGAGTTCTCTGTCGAAATGGTTGCAAACATTCAAATGGTGCAGGGAGAAAAAGCAAATAAAAGTGGAAGAACTGACATTGTTTTGTTTTAATGAAACAAATGTAAGCACTCCTGACAAATGTGGATGAACACATCTACCTCAATGCACCAGCCAATAGCAGAAATTGAATAAAGTAGTACATGAATGATCTCTGCCTCGTGAGTCGATATTGCTGTTTTGCTAGCATAAACAAAGAAATTGTAAGTTTGCCTTGAATTGAAGTTATTTTAGTTTAAAATAGTTACGTAATTGATATTTTGCAGGCAATATCTGAATGTGCAAATTCCTATTTCCCTATTATACACTTTTGAGTACAGTACTTACGCAAATGTATCGCATTAGTCTTCCTTGACTGCCATTTCAGACGAGAACCCAGTGTTCGGAAAAAAAATGATATGTGGATGATGGATTTCTTATTTTCAAATTACCAAAAAAAAAACGTGTTTCTTTTCACAAATAGTCTACTCCGTCTCTCTTCACGCATTCATAAGTTTAACTTTCCTGCGCAAGTTTATGATGTAACATTAGAAAACGAGTTCTTGACACTTTTTAGGAAGGTTGAAAACCGCACGGCAACGGCAAAGTGACTTGGCACGAAAAAAAAAGAACGGAGCGAAGGACGTAATGTCAATAAAAGCTGTTCAGTTTTCCTACCTTTTGGTTCTCCCAGGTTTCCGAGTGGCTTCGACGCGCGAGCTTCGTGCTATCACGTCACAACTCCTAACAAAACAACAACCCAACACAACACGGGAGAGCACTGCATACGGCGCACCGAACCAAGAAACACTAACGCAGCGACGAAAGTGAAAGTAGTCGTGGAGAACCAAAAAAAAAAAAAAAAAGCAGCTGCTTATGACGCAGTAGCGACAAGCTAATAAACAGAGAAAAAACAAAACATCTCTATGCTAATAATACGTCACACATCCCAAACACACAAAGCGGTCCTTTACAGGTGAAGGAAATAGCTCTTGAGCAGAGTTTCAGTTTTTCAACAAGGCGTTGAGGGGAATTCCGCTGACGTCACAAACCGAGCTTTTTTTTTTTTATCGTATTTTTAGTTTTAGAAATTAGGTGTTGAGACACGCCTCTCAATTCATTACAGGTCTGAGTGTGAACTTGTGTGCCACTATCAAATGCATAGTGAACCATTGTCAAATGATTTCAACTTTTCCAGAGCTGAACGCAGATTCATAAAAGAATGCTTTGTAAGTGGAATAAAGACCCGCCTCTCTCCCCGCAAATTTTACTGAAATGGTCCTATAATGTGCAAAGTCAAGATAAGATAAGAAAACCTTTATTTGTCTCACACTTGAGAAATTCGTAATTTACAGCAGCAAGATTTGGAGGGAAGAAAGTAGAAAAATAAAGTATTTGCATGAACAAAAAAAAAAACAACAACAAAAAAAAAACTGTGCACAGTACAGAATGCAACATAAAATATAAAATATGGGCCTGTCCAACGGGCTTTTCTGATGACGCTCTAAATGTTTAACTCTCCCTATTGATGTCATGGTGGTTTGTCCCTCAGGGGTGGTCCATAATAGGATGTTGATGTTGTTTGCCTTCGGCAGTTTGTGAAAGGACCTTCCTGTATACCAATCCTCTCTGCTCGTCAGGTCCAGCCTTCCCGTGGAATGAGACATTGTTTGAGGGAAGGAATGTTACTACGTTGTTACAGACAAGACGATAAGTGATGCCTCAAACCCTCTCTCCTGTTTAGAAATGGCTTTTGTAGTTTGGCTTCTTTCCCCTTCCTTCAAACCGGTGATTCTCCCGATCCAGAAATTGGTGGTCAAAGGTTTTTTGATCAGGTCTCTTTGGCTCATATGATAATTTGACTTGAGCTAGGCCGTTATTTTGCTGTGACCTTTTCTTGCTTTCAAATCCATAAAATGTCAAACACGTGAAAAAAAAAAATCCAGATGCCTGAATCTCTGCGTGCGCATGGAGCGAAGCACATTCTTTCATACAGCTGAATCAACGTGGAAATGTTGGCGTACCACTCTTGCCCCGACCTGCCCTTATATAAATATGCAAATTAGTATAAACGGTGCCTGCAGGTTTGATATATCTGAATCTGTGACTGTGGAAAAGTGTGTAGTCTACGTCCATGTCGTCCATGTGTATATGCACGCTTTGTGCACTAGGCCCCTAGTGAGGGGTCCCCACAGAACTTTTCAACATTCCCGCAGCAACCCCGATTTGTATCCGGGTCATGGCACCAATTGAAATTTCTGTGTGAACCCCTCACCAGGTCCTTTTATCTTTCATGCTCGCTCTATTAAATTAACAGTGATTACCAAAAGACTTTATATTCTTAATTGAGCCTCTTTCATGTATGCCGGAAAGACCAAATACATACCTATGGATCCTTTTCTGCTAGATTGCGAAAGAAGGTGTAACCTGTCCAACATTGTTACGAATCTTGCCTTTGCCGCCCACCCACAGGGCAGGACCAATCTGCCTTGCCCATTTGAAAATGTGTGAACGCACACATTATGTTGTTGTTGTTTATACAGTATATGATCTTTGCACCATGTCCAGCACTTTGTATACAGCGGTGGTTGTTTTAAAATTCTCTATAAATACAGTTGAGTCTTAAGTGAAATCAACTAATATGTGCGCCAAGGGAGTCATCGAGAAAGGAAAGCAAGAGCAAGGTGACAGCAAAATAACGGGCTATCTCAAATCACCTATCTAATCATATACGCCAAAAAGGCTTCATCTCACAAAGGAATGTACTGTAAGTCACTTCTTCTTGACATACAAATGAACTGCTGACCAAAGAAGATGCTCGCCGATGTTGCACTATATGCCTGGGCAATGGCGACTTAGCCTCTAAAAGATTTGGGTCACTTCACTCCTGACTGTACTGCATAAAATTGCCTCAGTTCAACCGTTGTGGATTGCCATGACCTGGATGAGAGAGAATTTACACAGCCAAAGGACCAAATACTTTTGTCGCTATGGTACATACGGTCTAAAACTATATTGTACTTACTTTCCACTGCGCTAATTTGCATGTTATCGGCTCTATATAGCACAGAGGAAGCAGAAGCCCAAAGTTATTAAACATGCTGGAGCTCTTCTCTATTATGTTACTTCTTCTTTCACTTGTTGAACATGGTGGCAGTGCAGAGCTGCAAGTTTTGGAAGCAAAAGAGCACCACCATACGACCGGTCAGTGAATTAAGAGCTCAGCTACACTAGAATAATGTATCATGCCATGTAGCATTTCCAATCCTGTCCTCGGGAGAATCAAGAGTAGAAAACTGGTCCTTTATTGGCTTTGCGAGTTGTGTAAAAAGGGGCTCATTCTGCGTCACGTTTGGATGAGAATCAGGTCAGCTCCGCCAGGAGCCCCAGATACTGTTCCGAAAACAAGTGAGGCTTTTTGTTACATCTAAAACATCATCATCTTATAGAATAGAATATGAATCATCTTTATTGGCCAAGTATGTAGAGGACACGACACTAGAATAATGTAGCATGCCATGTAGCATTTCCTATCCTGTGCTCGGGAGAATCGAGAGTAGAAAACTGGTCCTTTATTGGCTTTGCGAGTTGTGTAAAAAGGGGCTCGGTATGCGTCACGTTTGGATGAAAATCAGGTCAGCTCCACCAGGAGCCCCAGATATTGTTCCGAAAACAAGTGAGGCTTTTTGTTGCATCTAAAACATCATCAGCTTATAGAATAGAATCTGAATCATCTTTATTGGCCAAGTATGTAGAGGACACAAGGAATTAGTTTCCGGTAATATAGGCTACACTGGTATTGCAATAACAAGCTCCTACAAAAGACTTTCCGTAATGAAAGGTTGCCATTTTGCCGTAGTACTTTCCAATGACAGCTGTGCGACAATGTGCAGAGTCATGGAGCAGAGATAAAGTGATCAGTGGTGCAATACAATACTATGAATGTTGTGCAGTTGGTGCAGATAAACATTGCGTCATTTTTAAAGTGACCAGTAGCAGTAATTGTAGTGCAGTTTTAGGCGTGCAATTATACAGGAAGTCCTTGAGCGCTTTAAAGTGCCTGGTCCTGTGGATTATTGATCAACAACGGTTGTTCAAGAATGTAGAGAGCCGGAGCTACAACGATCAGTGCACAATACTGTTCCACACGGGTGCGGAAAAATGCATAGAGCCTCTATAGAGTTGAGTTACTGTTTCGGGAGTTAATGGTGAGAGGGAAGAAGCTGTTTGAATGTCTGCTGGTTTGGGTGCACATGGTTCAACAGCATTTATCTGAAGGGAGTACGTAGCTGGAAGAGGTGGTGAGCAGGGTGTTGGGGGTCCAGTAGGTAGCGCTTTAAAGTGCCTGGTCCTGTGGATTATTGATCAACAACGGTTGTTCAAGAATGTAGAGAGCCGGAGCTACAACGATCAGTGCACAATACTGTTCCACACGGGTGTGGAAAAATGCGTAGAGCCTCTATAGAGTTGAGTTACTGTTTCGGGAGTTAATGGTGAGAGGGAAGAAGCTGTTTGAATGTCTGCTGGTTTGGGTGTACATGGTTCAATAGCAGTTATCTGAAGGGAGTACGTAGCTGTAAGAGGTGGTGAGCAGGGTGTTGGGGGTCCAGTAGGCTTTTCCAAGCAATAGCAAGTTTGGCAAGTTTTTGTTTTCATTTTGACGCCTGCTCTCCCCATGCTCGAGCACTGAAAAAACAATTTTAGGCAAAGCCTGAAAGTAAGGAAAAATGTCAAAAATATCCAGAGCTGTGACGTATCCATGTATTTTTATTCGTGTTTTTATTAGCGTTAGCCTTCATTTGGCAATGAAATGTCACATTGCTTCGCAGCATAGCCACGTGCTAACGCAGGTCTCCGCTGAGACCAACAGCTTATGGCGGTCCAGCATGAACCCAGCAGGCTTCTGGCACCGAAGCATTCGCTTTGCCGCTGATCCTCCATCTGCCACCGGATGCTCTGTGAAGAGTCACCGTGTGGACAAAAAAAAAAAAAAAAAAAAAAACACTCACGTGGTTGCTTGCTTCCATGTTTGCACATCATCATGGATAAGTTAACGACAGTTACACTTGATTAAAAAAATGTTTTAAAGACAGTCTACCTTCGCTCAGGACACATCTGTTACAAACCGCAGCCAACTATCTGGCCCAGTGGTTTGGAGGTGACACGTGGAAGTAAAGCACAAGGGAGGCAAGGTGCTTTTTACCAGCTAAAATTTATCTGCCTAATTCAACAATCTGCAGGACAACAAAAACATTCACTGTGTGATACAGTACAGTATATTGAAAGTGAGAGAGATGGCAAGACATTCATATATATACAACAGCTAGCTAGCTCCAGCAAGCTAGCTCAACAGAAATTTTCACTAGTAGCTTGAGCTACATGACAAAGTGAAGACAGATTGATCAGAAAGCGAGCAAACTCAAACGAAAGAAAGAAAAAAAAAACACAGACAAATAGTTTCATGCATTTGAGAAAATACCAAGCCTCGTGTTGCGAGCAAGCCAAGACATTAGGGCTACAATCTTGGGTTAGCCATAAAAGTGCAGAGGAAAAGGAAAAGTCAGGATGATGTTGGGCCATGTGAAACAGCCGACTATCATTAAAGTCTTTCCTTGGTGAACATGATTCTTAGCGATGACAAAGACTTGATCTCTCCACAAACCTTCACCTCGCCACAGTCCTACAAGGGGAAGACCAGAAATCCGGAGAAAGTGGAATACTTCCACCCTCCCATCAGGTTGCCCCTCTCGAGTTTGAGATACGCCTTGTCCCCCCTTTCCATCATCACCAGGCCAGCATTAGTGGCAGCTTCCCTGGTCACATCCTGGTCGCCGGCGAAGGCTGAGATCACTGGCCACCCGTTGACAACCAAACTCACCTTGAGGAAACGAAGTATGGGTAGTGGGACAAACAGTCAAGTTACTGAGTGTCCAGGGGAAGGGGACAGGGGTAAAAAGAAGAAAGAACACACCTGTATTGTCTGCCTAGAAACGGGGTATGGGGAGCGGGAGAAAAAGTCAAGTTACTGAGGGTTGTCGGCAGGGGGATGGGGGAGGGTTAAAAAGAAGAAAGAACACACCTGTATTGTCTGCCTGTTGTAAACTTTGACCACATGAAAGCTGAAACTGTAGACTCCCTTTCTTGGAGCCACAAAGAGACTCCTGGCGGGATCAAAATGGCTACCGACATTCACCAAAATCTGCGAATAATGAAGAGACCTGTTCATTCCTCCACTGCTATGCCCTCCGCCACAACAAAATCCAACCCACCTGGTCGAAGTAGATGGTCATCGTGTGGTTGCTCATCTCCGAGGGTTCATGGTTGGTATTGCGGATGGCGGAGAACGCCACCCTGCCCGTCCCCGACCTCACCGACATGCCCAGGGCGTTTCCCGATGGCTCGGCGGAGGGGGTGGAGTCGCACACCACCAGACATTTGCCCTCCAACACGATTGGCTCCGTGTCATTCTGGCAGCGGACCCCCGGTGGCACCCAGCAGGTGACCAGAAGCAATCCGGCAAAGAAGGGCCAAGGAGGCTGAAACCGCATCATTCTAAGGATTTGTAAATTGGCGCGATCTTCACAGGTGATGATGGGGCTCCGCTACGGGGTCACGGGACATGATGAGGCTCTTCGAGGAACAGCTCTCCCAAGTCTGGGTGGAGCTCTCCTAGCAGCAGACGGGAAGCCCTTTTTTGGGCACACGAGTGGTGAGCGATCCTCTCTTGGGTGGCGAAAGGCTCACACGCCTGCAAAATTTGAAGTGAAATATATTTCATAGCTGAGTCGGTTGAATCCTTTTGGCTATATGTCCAGATCAGAAACAGAAGAAACCTAAAAAATGTAAACTTTTAAGTATTGGATGGTGGCGGCTTGAGACCGCGATCACACCCAGCCTGTTGGCAAGAGTCAATTAACTGAATTAAATGAAAAGGGAATGGCAAAGTGCCATTTGCGAATTGGGGAAAAAAAAAGAACCGTCTACACGTCTTTCTGTTAATCAAAAACCGACAGACATCACATGCGGGAAAACTTACCTTTTGTATGTGCACACAGACAACTTGTCCACTCCAGCTTTGCCTCTGCTATTTCTTATTGCTCATTCCCGGCCAAATTTCCTCTTCTCCGCTGTCCCTCCCCTCCATGTTGGTCCCCACCATCCCCCCCTCACTCCCACCTGCTTCCCTTCCTGCCTTCTCAGACTCTATTGGCTGAGAGGACAACATCGCATTCCAAGCAAAATGATCCATTCTGGCTCAGGATAATGGATATTTTCTCTTTCAGGCTGTGCATGATGTCATCAAAACAAACATATACTATTTTAGTCCATGGTGCAATATGGCATCTTTTGTTGTCCCCCACACTGGGTTATCTATCTCATACACAATCTGTGGTTCATTTTTTTTTTTTTTTTTGGCTTTGCCAAAGTTGGTTTCTTTGTCCAAGTTATTTAATCTGTCTTGAGGTCATTTTCTCATATTCGAGTCAGTGAAAGGTGACCGGAACTGTTTGCTTTGGTCTGCAACTGCGCCGTAATTGATCGCCTAATCATATTAAAAATGGGGCCTTAAAACAGAAGTGCTAAAAATATAAATTCCACAGCGTCTTCCAAGAGCTCACAGTAAAAAAACAGAAATGGCAGCATATCATATTTGCGGAAATATACACGCTGTCCCTGCCATCATAATCCCTTAAAGGGATGCCAGACTTGACTCTGAGTGCACCTGATCCAATCTCAGTCCATCCACATCCCAATCCGAAGGTCTCGTGAGGCCTGTCCCATTTTAGACACCTATCTATCTGGAGTACATAAGACATATTCAAAACAGATGATCATTTTGATTTTTTTTTTTTTTTTAGCAGCAGTTCCACAAAAGCTTGAAAAAAAAAAAAGTCAAGTTGCTGAAAATGTCACATGATCGTAAAGTGGCAACCATGTGACGAGAGTAAATCATGCTCGATGTTATCCGGAGCAACGGCATTCCTCTGCGTCTGAGTACTTAGGTGAGTCACAGGTCGAAACGCATGAACCGTTGGACCCTGAGCGGGCGTGATTCTTCCGGGTGTCGCGCCACCGACGACAGACGTGTGCACGAGCGAGATCATCGCAGTAAGTGTAAACGGACACTTATTGCACTTTGGTTACTCGCCACTGTCTTGTGTTTTCCTGCTGTTTAAATGCGATGTTGCTGTCACTCCTTTTGAATGAGTTACAAGACCGAAACACGAGGAGATGTTTGTGAAAACAAACCAAAAAAAAACTGAAGCTGACTCAACATTTTTTTTTTTTTTTTTTTTTTTATGTAATCAAACTAGAGTAAAATGTCACTGCAGCACACATACAACAGAAATGCATTGACTAGTCCAAACGACATCAGAACGAGTTTTGTAAGAGGAGAAAAACGTGCCGGCAGACAAGGTTTGAATCATTCCTTCGACAGTTTTTCCACGTCAGTTTTGTTTCCCGTTTGAATCGAAAGAGTCACGCAGGCGTGTCATAAGTTTCGAGGACAAAAGAGAGCACGCATAGCCGTGCAAGGTGGAGTCTAGACAAACGACTTCTCGATACAAATGGCAGGACTCGTCTTGGTTGTGTCACAGAAAATGGATTCACCGTGCGGCGGTCCGGCTCAAAAGCAGTTGGAGTGTCCCTTGTGCGAGCAGGTGCTGAATGACCCCGTGACCACGCCCTGCGGACACAACTTCTGCCAGGCCTGCCTCCAGCGCCGGTGGGGCGACGGCAAGGCTTGCCGCTGTCCCGCGTGCGACAAGGCCTTCACAAACCGTCCCGAAATAAGCGTCAACGCCGCCTTCAAGAAGCTGGCTGACACCTTCAAGAGGATGACGCTCGGCCTGTCCTCTTCGCCGCCGCCCCGAGACGGCGAGGTGCCGTGCGACGTGTGCGCCGCCGCCTCCCTGCAGGTGCGCGCCCTCCAGTCCTGCCTGGTGTGCCTCACCTCGTATTGCCACACCCACCTGGAGGCCCACCGCAGCGTTGCCACCTTGATGATGCACCGGTTGATAGCGCCGGCCGCCAATCTACGGGAGCGTCTATGCGGGCAGCACGATCAGCTCTTGGAGATGTTCTGTCGGGATGAGCAGCAGTGCGTTTGCCGCTTCTGCACCGAGAGCCAGCACAAAGGCCACCGCGTCGTTCACATTGACGAGGAGAGCAAGGAGAGGAAGGTAAGGGCATCCTTTTGTTGCCATGGCAATATTTCCACACCAACATGGATACAATATGGACTAAAGTCTTCAGGGTTGGTCTGATCAACTTTGTGGAGATTTTCCTTTTCTGTTCTCAGTGAACAAAGCAGATGAGTTTGCTGTAGGGAAAATAAATCTGACCACACAAATTTGGGGGGAATTTCTGGTGTCGATAAATCATTTCTTCATCTCGGTGACTGCCTTTCATTTTCTCTATCCAATATTTGTAATTGTTAGAACCACCCGGCTGCCGTACGAGTGACCTCACCAGTGTGGACAAACTGTTTTTTTTCAAGAAACTATTTACGCAGACATTCATGTGTGTCGTTTATGCGAGACATGCTGAAACCATTTCAGGTCCAAATGGGGACGACGCAGGCCGACTTTGAGCACAAGATCGAGGAGCGACAGAACAAAGTGGAGGAAATCCAAAATGCTCTCAAACTCAGTAAAGTGCGTCCTAATCCCTGATGAAAATTTCCCCCATCTGGCTGTCACTGAGGCGGCGTCGCCCTGTCCTCCTTAACCAGATAAGTGCGGCAAATGAGAAGACAAAGAGCAAAGACCTCTTCGACCGCCTGATCGCTTTGGCCGAGGAAACGCGAGTGGCGGTCGACGGCGAGGTTGAGCAGAGTCAGAAGGCGGCCGAGCAGAGGGCCAAAGGGCTGGTGGGCGAGCTCCGGCGAGAGATTGCCGAGCTCCAGTCGAGGAACGCAGAGTTGGCGAAGCTCATGGGCACGGACGACCATCTGATCCTCCTCCAGGTGAGCTTGAGGTGTCAATAATTTGTCGCCAGTCATATTCAGTGTGTCCTGTGACCTCTCTGTGTTTATGTGAGGACAGAGGTTTCCTTCGCTAACGTCGGCTCCACCGACTAAAGAATGGGCGGAGATCAGTGTCCACACTGAGCAATGTGTGGGGACGTCGAGAAGAGCCCTGTCAAAAATGGTCGCCGCCCTCAGGAGTGAGCTGGAGGGCCTGCAAACGGACGGTGAGTTGCACCCTTCAAAATATTTCAAAATCTTAAGAGCCGAGCTCATCATCACGGTCGTCTTCCTCACGCCCTCAGATATGAAGCGCATGCAGAGTTACGCAGGTAACGCTTTCGTCACTGTTCTCCTCTCGGGTCATGACTGTTCAGATAAACAGAGCTTCTGGTTCCAACAGTGGACGTGGAGCTGGACCCGGACACCGCCCATCCCAATATTTGTCTCTTGGACAACGGCAAGCGGGTGGGCCGCGCCGAGATGCTGCGAATTGTGCCTGAAAATCCTCAGCGCTTTGACCCGGTGATCTGTGTTTTGGCCAAGAGAGGCTTCTTGTCCGGCAGGTTCTATTTCCAGGTCGCTATCTCTGCTGAGCTACATCAACACCAGCGGGGCTACACTTTTCAGTCTCTTTATTAAATCTTTCTCTCCCATCAGGTGGAGGTGGGGAGTAAGACTTTTTGGGACGTGGGCGTGGTCAAAGAGTCAGTAAATAGGAAAGGCCTGATCACCTCCAAGCCTGAGAATGGCTTCTGGACGATGCGTCTCAGGGGCGGGGACGAGTACCGTGCTTTGGACTCACCGTCTGTCCTTTTGACCTTTGACACGAAGCCGCAGACGGTCGGCGTGTTCACCGATTACGAGGAGGGGACGGTGTCATTTTTCGACGTGGATGCCAGGTCTCACATCTACACATTCGCTGGGTGTGTGTTCTGCGAGAGAGTTTTTCCATTTTTTAGTCCCGGAGTTTGTGATGAGGGAAGGAACGCTGCGCCGATGATCATCACCACTGTAAACAAGTTAACACTGGCCCCTTCACCACAAACTGATGTGGCACTTACTGGCAATGCATGAGCTTTGTCACAACAGTAAAAAACATGTCAGTCTTTGAGTATCTCTCTCTGTCTTTTTTTTTTTTTTTTTAACGAATTTTCTGTCTAAATTTAAATACTTGAATAACTGGCTGGCAAAAAAAAAAAAAAAAAACTCAACGCTGCCTGTGCTCTTGTAAACAAATAGCGAAATCACACCACACTAAATAAATAATTACACAGCACATTTCTTCAGTTCTCATTCAATAAAAATGTGTCAACAACTGTGAAATGACTTTTCGTATATTTTTAGACAAGCAGTACTATTCCTTTGTAATGTCTATTGTTGCGTAACTTCATCTAACAATTACCCTTAAAAAGTGTTTGTGAATACATACCATCAGTGTTGAATCCTTCAACGACAATCGTGAGTAAGACAAAATGGTCAATTGAAAGTTGTCTTCTTTGTGAAACTGTGTTGCTTTAAACAAGCAAGAATAGTGGCCAATTTCGGAGACAGCGCCAACCTATCTCGACTAAGTTGAAAATGGGAGTTGAGTATGTTGAGAATTTTAAAAAAAGGAATAGGCAGGTGAGGTTGGACACAGTGATGCTACGAAAGAGGAGGTCATCATGTGTTTCGGTCGAAAAGGGCCAAAAGGTCATGGGATGTTTCGAAGGTTGTTTGTAAGTCATAGACACAATTTTTGTTTGTGTTAAGTGGTCGTCAGTGGACGTATGTGGGATGTTGTTAGCTTTCTGGGAGGAGGTCGAATGTGCAAGTGTACAGTGAAGGCCATGATTGGGATGACTTGTGACTGTGGGTTTTTAATTCTTTGTTTTATAATTTCTTCTGTTACGCTGCTATTTGCCAGAATATTCCAATAATATTACATTGTTTTGTAGATTACGTTCACAAGATGCACATTTCTCTTGAAACATGAGAAGAGCCATCACGGCTACTGATGTGGGAGAAATGATGGCCTTGTGTCATGAAATTATGTCACTTCAGTGACAACTTTGCTATCATTGGGTTGTGTTGTGCCTTCCCTCATTATGAAATTTAATGACTGGAGTTGAAGCTATTAACTACCAATCATGTCTTCAAACATACAAATTCATGTTGGTCCGAGTCATGTAGAAATTTAAGATCTTAAGTCATGTCTCATTTGTGCATACACGGGCTGGATTTCTAAATCTAGTTCAACACAAGAGAAAAGTCTTTCAGCTTTAATCAATGTTTATGTTTAAAGGTCATATGTGGACAATTCGAAATTGGCTTTGTTAACTAAGGCAGGAGATAAGTAAGAAAAAATGCTCCCCACGCTTACTCGACTGATTCTGTAAGACAGTGCATGGATTGACATTGGGTAGATAAGCCACTTGGCAGCCTTGAACAGTGCAAGGGGCGAGCTCTGCATGCTGAAAGAGTACTAAAAAAAACTAAAAGAATGAATGAGCTGCTGCGCATTAACATGACGTTTTTGTCGCCTGCTCGGTATTTATTTTGCATGTTGTAATGTCGATCCCGTTTAACACTGGAAAAATGCACAGTACTTAACCCTGCTACATTATTACTGCTTACTGATGGGTGTTTGTTTGTTTGTTTGTTTTGTTTGTTTGTTTGTTGGCCATATAAACAGATAATAGCGATTTGTAAGGTAGTAGAAGGAAGTACAATCTAGTCCTACCTCTCGTTCTTGGTGTGTTTTAATTTGTTTGCTATTAATATTGTAGGTGTGGTGAACCAGTGGTTAGCACATCGACCTCACAGTGCAGAGGTACCGGGTTCAATCCCGGACGAGCCCCCAAAAATGTCAGGTCCATCAATTTGACATTCAGACATAAAACACAAGGAGGAAACAGGAGACTCAATTCTGGTACCAGGGGGGAACGAGGAGACGCGTTGGTTTCAGTTCTCTGCACGTCACCCAAGGATCTCCCCGCTCACCCTCTAATTTATTGAGAATCTAATACATGGGCGTGTCCAACCTAAAGAATGAGGGCTGTTGAAGACACACTGAACTTGTTTGACTATGTGTGTGTATGTGAGTGAAAATGACGTACATGTGTGCAATCGTTACAAAAACACCAAGTTGCAGCTGGTGTTGACAGTTCCGTCCATGTCCGACCTTGCTCTTGTTTTATCTTTCCAACCACTTTCTCGGGAAGGTGGTTGCGTCCCTCAACTGCCACCCAGTGCACTCAGCATTCTTATATTATAAATGTGTGCATATTTTCATTAAGAGCATTATATTGCTATTAAAAGCATTAGTGTTCTTCATTGCAAGCATAATCGATTTATCATTAATAATATGCTAAGGTATGATAACGAAAAACAATCAAGCTAACACATTTTTACGTCGTTACGATTAAGCCACGCCCCTGTGGACAGGGGCCTGAAAACCAAACAGTCAAAACAACTGTTCCCTGACCGGGAATCGAACCCGGGCCGCGGCGGTGAGAGCGCCGAATCCTAACCACTAGACCACCAGGGACATGTTGAAACCAGGACCAAAAGTTGTTTAATTACATGATCTAGTCAGTTCTCGGCATTTAAACTGCATTATTTTTTTTTTAAATAAAACAACGGTCTCATTTTTAATGACCGCTTATCTAGTGTATCTAAACGTTAGTCCTGATGGTGTAAGAAATGTTTTGGGGTGGTAAACAGTTTGAGAAGGCGAGTACAGTTGCGGCTAGTGGCCTACTAGAGGGAGCCACTGCACGCTAGGCCTCTTGTAACATATCGAAGCAAAGAAAGGAGGGTGGAACGAAGGGAGGGAAGAAGGAAGGGAAAAAGAAAGAACCTTACCCCACCCCACGATGGCGGCCACCATAGACAGCAATGCCGTGCAGGCATCCAAGAAAAAGCATCTCGGTATCCCCGAAGCAGTGTTCGTGGTACGTGAACGCTGGCCCGTCTCGCGTGTGTCATGTGCGGAGACTCACATTGGCTGTGGAGGGCCGTCTCTCTCGGTGCTTGTAGGAAGCGTTTTGAGAGCGTCATGCTAACACAGAGCTAACGCGCTAACATGCAACTCAAAAGTATGTGCGAGACCATTTACGGGTTTGAAACTGGAGTTATTGTAGTTCCGTTGCGCGGCCAGGCGTCCGCTTCCGCCATCGTTCTCAATGAATTTCAAAACCCTGAAAGCTAAGTTTAAATTCACGTATGGGGATGAGCATCTTTCTACCATCAAGGACCCACTGCAAATCATTTTTATACTCATTGCAATCCCTCAACGAGAAATGCAGCGATATATTTGAGTTGCATGCCACACGCGAGAAGCGGATGCCATGCTTGAACTGGGGGAGGTAGCGAAGTTGCCTTGCTCAAGGGCACAACATATAATTATGTACGAACAACTATAGTTTAATAGAAAATTTGAAAAACTGAAGACCCAGGCACTTTTCAAGGAGTCGGGCCAAAAAAGGGTTCTCCCAAAAGAACCAAAATTACCTTCACAAATTCTGTGATTTGAGCGATCAGGTCTGCAGGTTCCACGAGCAAGCCTTCACCGATGTTTAAGTTAATTGAAGTGAAGCTAAAGGTTAGGTCAAAAGAGTGTACTTCGCATACAAGCACCTGTTGTTAATTTGTATTCACAAAGCATAATATGTACTATTGCGGTGTAATAATGTGGACAATTTGGGCCTGTCTGTTTTCTGTACTGTGTTGTCTGTTTTTGCGATTAAATAACATGAAAGAGCTTTTTGAAAGACCTATTCAATAAAAAAAATGATTCTGCTAAAATGGACTCTTAATTACTTTGTACTGTTTAACATGGACTACCAAAATAAAAAAAATAAATTGAACCTAGAAATAAGAAAGCACATGAAGTTGCTCAGTGTTTTGCCTTCTCCCGTGTTGAAATTGACAGGAGGATGTCGACTCGTTCATGAAGCTGCCTGGCAATGAGAAGGCGGACTCTGCTCTGAGGAAGCTGGATGAGCAGTACCAAAAGTACAAATACATGGAAGTCAACCTGTCGCAAAAGAAGCTCAGGTAGGCGGAACGGGAGGCGCCGAGCCGGTTGGCCTGTCGGCCTTCCCTTCCTTATGTAATTCCATCCTCTGCTGGCTTTCAGGTTGAGAAACCAGATCCCACAGATCAGACAGACGCTAGAAATCCTGCGACACATGCAAAAAAAGAAGGTGCGTTCGACTTTTTCCGACGGCCGTTTTGGTCTTGAAACTCACGTTACTTTGTTGTCCTCGTCACCAGGAGACCACAGAGCCCATGGAGACGCGCTTTATGTTGGCCGACAACGTTTACTGCAAGGCTTCGGTACCGCCCACTGACAAAGTGTGCTTATGGCTCGGAGTAAGTCAACTGAGTGCGTGCGTGTGGGGGGGGGGCACACACGGGTGATCCTCTCACCTCATCTAATTGTACGCTCGGACGCCACCACATAGGCAAACGTCATGTTGGAGTACGACATCGATGACGCTCAGGCCCTGCTGGAGAAGAATCTGTGCACGGCCTCTCGCAATTTAGAGACCCTGGAGGAGGACCTAGATTTCTTGCGAGACCAGTTCACCACCACCGAAGTCAGTATCCTTCCACGTGTCGGCAACGCTTCTCTGTGTGTGTGTGTGTGTCTCCGTACTTGTTGCCGGTTGTGTATTGTACCTTTTGGCCCTTGACCACCCCCGCTCACCTCAGACATGGCGCGAGTCTACAACTGGGATGTGAAAAGGAGGAGCAGAGAGAGCCTTCTCAAATCAGCAGACAAGTCTTAAGATTAGATGAAGCCCGCCCCACCCCACCGCCAATGATTTTTCTCTCCAATCAATATGCGAGACGGATCGAGGGCCAAGTCTATTTTCAGGTCCAAATGAACAAACGAGACTTTTTCAGTTGATTACTGGAGGGAACGCAGATGCCGAAAACATGCATGGTGACTCTCATCGTGTGCTTCTGCTCCTTCTGCACTTATTTTTGTGCTTTTTCTTTGGGACTCTATTTATTTGTCTGTCATTAGGACACAAAGAACAGCAGTGGGCCATCGGACAGAACTGAAGTTTGTCACTTGGAATCTTTCAGCACGTGACGTATTATTTCCCCAAAGTCAAAAATTGGGCTGGGTGGGGGGGAGGCCAACTGGACACTCGATGCAGAATGTATTCACCACATTTCTCGTATCCCGAAACAAGACGAGCAGAAGTGCATGGAAGAGAGGCAGTGTCCCGAGATTGGGATGGGAGTCTAAAACAATGTCAGCAGGTCAAATAAAAGATTTTGAACATGACTTTGCCGCTGCTTGTATCCCAGGAAAAAAAAAAATCACAGGCTTGCACACATCATGGCCAGTGGTTTTATTTCAGAGACTATACGAACCAGCAAACCACACCTTGTTTTGAGGATAGAGGACACATTCCGGCAGCGATGGCAACGTCCACCTTTCTCGTTAACTTCCCGATGATGATGTCAGTCAGCCCCAATGGGGCTAATGGTAAAGCTTAACCACACGGCGCAGCGAAGGGCGACTTCATTTGTGACACATTAGTAGGGATGCACCGAAAATGGCCCTAAAAGTGCAGTTTCAGTTCTCGGCTAGCAAAATGACATGGCTGAAACAAGACGTGATGACGCAGGTGAAAACTTTTAAATAAAGCGCTCTGTCATCTGGGAGGTCTAACCAATGTAAAACCCGGCTGGTTGGATGTCATGGGGCACACGACCTTGGAGCTCAGGGTAAAATTCCATCCATCCATTTTCTGATCTGCTTAATCCTCACAAGGGTTGCGGGGGGGTGCTGGAGCCGATCCCAGCCGTCTTTGGGCAGTAGGCGGGGGACACCCTGAACCGGTTGCCAGCCAATCGCAGGGCACACACAGACGAACAACAATCCGTGCTCACACTCACACCTAGGGCCAATTTTGAGTATTCAATCAGCCTGCCATGTATGTTTTTGGAATGTGGGAGGAAACAGGAGTACCCAGAGAAAACCCACGCAGGTGCGGGGAGAACAAACAAACTCCACACAGGGAGGCCGGAGCTGGAATTGAACCCGGTACCCCTGCCCTGTGAGGTTGACGCGCTAACCACTGGATCACCGGGCCACCCAGGGTAAAATTAAAATATGAATAAAATAAAAAAACGAGGGGGGAGGGGGTCATGCCGCAATGGCTGCCCATGGTGCGACTTGGTCGGCCACGCATCCAGGCCCATTGAAGTTAGCAAAGGTGGGTGGCGAGATTTTTTTTTTTCCCTTGTAGGATTTTAAGATATCCTTTCTTTTGGTTTTGGCCAGCTATTTTCATTTTGCTGCATCCCAATAATGAATGATATGGCGAAAGCAGGTCACAAACATGTAAGGTGGGATGGCGGCGGAGGGTAAACACTGACTATACGCCAGCTGGACCAACATCGCTAGGTTGTACACTTGAGTCCGTCTCGTGTGGAAGGGCATTGCTAGCCTCCCAGAAACGCAACATCCTGAAAAGTTCAGTGTGACGCTCTGCCGACTCTTGACAAGCTTTCCGGCTTGCAATGTGGCTCCACCCGGAGTCCTTCCAGAAGTGAACGCAAGCAGAAAGTCAGTCAAGCCGATGGGACAACAATCCCAAGTGGATCAAGTTTGTGTGTGTCATGACCGAATTGCATATTGGAGGAGACCCACTTGGAGCCTGGACAAGCGCGTGTACTGTATTAGTATTTAGGAAGTGACTTTCTCCACTAATGATCCAAAAAAGAGCACCGCCGCTCAGTTGTCCTTCTGCCGACTTGCCCCCGACGAGCAAAAGAGGTCCGCCGCTTTGCGGCCAGCTGGCCCCGTGGGACACATCAGCAGATGCAGCGGCGGTCACTCTTGGTCACCTCCTCGGAGGAATGAACTACATTGGGGACGAAGCCGCTCTTGACGCCCTCCCAGCCCTCCTGGATGCTGATCTCTCCGGAGCGCACCAGGGCGAAGATGTCTTTGGTGAGCTCGGTGAAGGCGCGCTCCACGTTGATGGCGTCGCGCGCCGATGTCTCGATGTAGCGCATGCCGTACACCCCCGCCAGCCTTTCGGCCTCCTGCCGGCTCACCTGTAAGATTGGCCCAGAAAAAAAAAAAAAATGGCTTCTTTCACACAAAATTTGAACGGGCGCAGCGCTGTCTTTTCTTCCCAGTACATTCACTTGGCAAAGGGAATCTTGTCTGTTCCATTGTGACAAACTATCAAAATGGGTATTTAAAAATTTTCAAATTTTATATATATATAAAATTGTATTTTTTTTGGGGGGGACGGGGTGGAAAAAATTTTTTTTACTTGACTACAGTTCAGTTTTTTTTTTTTTTACTTTTAACTTAAAAAAGGACTCGAATCAGTCCTTTTTTTATTTACATACATTTATGTACAGAGAATATAAGAAGTCTATTCATCCCTGTTCAAATGAGGCATCCTGAAATTAAAAAAAAAAGACAAAAGTTTTTTATTATTAAAGGTAGCTATAACTTGTGGAACTCCATTTTTAATTTAAGCTATTTGATAGGGGAAGTTCTTTTTTTTTAAACCTCAGGTAACATGGTTGCAGAAGTGTGCACATCCTCATCACAACTGGGATATGGGTGTACTAGTCAGGGTCAAACTCATTAAAATAGAAGTCAGCACACACCTGCAACCATTTCAAATGCTTCTGATTAACCACAAACAAATTTCAGCTGTTCGAGGAGCCTTAACGGACATTTTTTTTTTGCTTTCTAGCATCCCCCTTAAGGTATTGTGGTAACTCTGATTAATCTATGGATCATAGTTCCCCCACTGGAGGTACGGTGTTCATTTGGTGATGAGCAACGTTGGGTTGGTATACAAACATTTGGAATTGTGGCCAAAAGGTTCAACCTTGGTTTCAAAATGTTGCAAAAATCTCCAAAACACAGGTAGGAAAATGTGTGTTACAGAGTCATGAAACCAAGGTCAGGCCGACAACAACATCTGAACTTTATTTGGTGTTAATCAGAGGCCACTATAAATAGTGGCAGTTCAGTTGTTCATTTTAATTCACCTTTAGATATTTTTTTCTGTGCAGCTATAGATCACATAAATGGTGAAACAGTTCAAAAGTGATGGATCTTGGTGTCAGTTTTGAAATAATAATAAGCAGGCATTTGAAACAGGGGCGTGTAGACTTTTCATATGCACTGTAAGTAGAGGATGCAAGTTGTTTTGCGAGTTGTAATTTAGCCGCACTACTTCCCCATTGTTGCGAGAGGCGGGTCAGCGTTGGCTGGCACGCACCTGCCGCTGAGCGTCCAGGTCGCATTTGTGGCCCACCAGCAGGAAGACGATGCTGTGCGGCTGCACGTGACTGCGCGCCTCCTCCAGCCACTCGTGCACGTTCTGGAAGGAGCGGCGGTTGGTGATGTCGAACAGGAGCAGCCCTCCCACTGAGTTCCGGTAGTACGCCCGAGTGATGGACCTACGGGCGATACAATTTCTCATAAGGCACTGCTGAGGAACTTAAATTTTTACATTCTTGTTTTCACCTCTGCCAGACTTTCACATTTGATGATTTTGTCCATCAATGATCCAATTTGACTTAATCTGTCCGGAAATGACAGTTGGGACTTGAGCTGGAGTTGAACTTGTTCCATCCGCATGCTTGTATCTCCAAACACAAAATTCATCTTTCCCTAATGAAATGAATGCAAATGCCATGAATCCAGGTCCCGCGTTAGCCCGTCGATGGCATTTTCCATCACGTCTTAGCATTAAGCTAGCTGGAGCCTTCCTAAGGCGACATCGTTTGGTTGTTTGAAAGATCCCATTTGCCATTTTCAGAGTTTTAAGGACCAGATATTTTGACATTCAACTTCAACTAGCAGCTTCAAGCCTCCAACAGAAGCAAATGTTCACCATTTGCCGAATGGCTGCTTAGCCGTAAAGTCACACGAGTTTCCCATCAGGCACCATTGCATTTATTGACCACAAATCATGTATCGTTATCGATCTATGCCTGTGATGTATACTGAAATAGAAATATTTAGTATTCTTCTATTAGATAGCAAAAGATAATTTAACTCATTGACTTTTTGTTGTTTTTTTCGGATGTGAAAGTGTTCCTCGGCTCACTCAAGGTTCGGGAAACTGCTTTGTATTACATTGTGTTACGCTGAAAACCGTACATTGTTTTATGTTGTTTTTCTTGTTGTGTCTGGACAGCTCAAGTATTTCTATATTTGTACGTAGGCACAATTTCTATTTGTTGACTTTCTTTGTTTGTGTCGTTTTAAATTAATAAGAGCTCGTTTTCCTGCTGGAGCAAACAATTGAGGTGGTAATTCTTGTTTTAACACCCCCAGGCTGCAACACGTCTTTGCCTGACGTTATGTACACTTTTCCTCACGTCATTCGACCCTCATTTTTCTTTCTTGCGTCACGCTTCTCTGACAATAATTGTTTTGTGGATATCCGCTGTGGGGTTTTTTTTTTTCAAGGACATCTACGCAGACACGGCCCACCTGAAACGCTCCTGGCCAGCGGTGTCCCAAATCTGCAGCTTGATCCGCTTGCCCGGCTCGATCTCCACCAGCCGAGAGAAGAAGTCCACGCCCACCGTGGGGTCCGACACCTGAGCGAAGCGGCCTTCGGTGAAACGGCGGATGAGACACGACTTGCCCACCGTAGAGTCGCCGATCACGATGAGACGGAACTGATACAGCCAGATGGCTTCCATGACTCGCCTCTGCTCGACTGTTGCTCGACCGGTTCTGTCTTCTCGTCTGCGGCGCCAGGGACGTTTCCCAAAGTGAGCGAGAGAGTGAGAGAGAGAGAGAGAGAGAGAAAGAGAAAGAGAACAACTGCAATGAGCCAAATCCGCAGCTCAAATTGAAAGTGCTTTGACATCCGCATCATTTGTTCCGCATCCATGCTCGTACCGCTCACATCCCAGATGATCTTTCCCCACCGAAATCAGTGAAAAAAAACATCCATCCAAAACAGTTTTGAACAACAAAAATTATACTCTGTAATCTTGTCCTTTATACAAATACACACTAATGGCATATTGAAATAGAATGCTACGAATTACAAAAACATTTTTTACTGAAGTACAATGGACATTGTGCTGGTCCTTCTGGTGTGCACACCTTAGCCACCTGGGGGCAGTGTAATACAGACGTACAGAGACACACACTCCTCAATGTGCCAGAGAAATCATCATTCGCTGCAGAGGATTAAGAATACATGCCTCTGAGTATTGCTGTATTATCTACGTGTTGCTCCACCATTTGTGTTCAAATATCCATCGCTTGAAGGGCTATAGCATCACGACACTGATACAATGCGTTAGCCCATTTATGGTGTTTTGCATTGTTTGTAGCATTAAGCTATATAGACTTTTCTAAAGAAAAGCTATGTGGCTGTTTTGAATACAAAACCTGTAATTCTTTATGTTTAATTTGAGAATACACTTCAACGGGGAATGGCAACAAACAGCTTGACGACACTTTTTTTTTCATGAATTGTTCAATTTTTGCCTGCAAGTCAAAGGAAAGATTCTTGAAAAACCCGCAGGTGGGGTCACCATATCTGAAGGCACTCCTTTCTTGTACATGGACACAAGAAGGATATTTCACCTCAACCGAAGGGCATGAAATATATTCTGGTCTACAAATTATTTTGCAGAGTATTTGTTCATTCCAAAGGTATTCTTCCACACCAAACTTGAGCTAGCATGGCTTAATGGACACTGGGAACCTAAAAGGGACTTCCCCAAAATGTTCCCACAAGGTTGGACGAATAGAACTTTGTCCAACATGTCTTGCTACGATGAAGAAAGAGATTCACTGTGGATGTGTGCAATATTTCAATACGAGTATAGTAGCAGTCAGTGGCACTTTGCGCAGCGTGCTATTGGGGAGGATGGGGGGGGGCGCAACAGGTCAACTCAATCACCAGACACAAGAGAAAAATTCACTCTTGCGCTTTTCACTCAAAGGATTTTGGAGAGTTTTAATACTTTTTGGATGACTGCTGCCCCCCCAACCCCTGGCCCCACCTCCTTTTCACGAGAATGTGTGACCTTCCCAAATATGGGATTCCACTCTCAGGAATTTGGCTTGCATCTTAGCGTGTGTGTGTGTGTGTGTGTGTGTGTGTGTGTGTGTGTGTGTGTGTGTGTGTGTGTGTGTGTGTGTGTGTCTATCATATGTAAAAATTGATGGCCTTAACTTGATTGAAGGATGCCAAATAAATTGGAGGATATGGCATGATACTAGTCATTCTACCAGTGCGCAGAAATATCAGCTGTACAAGGCAAGAGTGGTATAATCCTTACTAGTTACATAGCCAGTCTACTTGTACACTGAACTCTCAAAGTATTAGAAAGCTCTTTGCAAAACTTAACAAGTAAGACGCAGTAATACAATGACTGCTAACTTCTACTTTGTATGACTGTATGATATTTCTGCACACGAGTAGGACGACTACTCAGACAAATAATTTTTCATTCATTCCTACTAGTGCATTTGTATATAGAGGCAATTAAAAGCAGGGGGAGGATACCGAATAAATGCTCAGTTGGGTTTCCATAGGAGGATGCCCTTGGCGAATTGTGCACCTGTGCCTTGTCGACCTCCCACTCGATGGTCATAATATCCCACGCACGACACAATTTCTCTTTCACTTTCTGACAGATCACTTTCGACGGAGCGCACAAAACGTTGTTGAAATGACACAGACCTACTTGAGTGAACCGCTGGCGGCGACGACTGAGGCGGCCGTGTAGGCCCCGAAGTTCCGGGCCGGACTGGTGCACCCTCCCCGCTGCTGCTGGTGATGAGAACGACACTACAGGCGCACTAAAACGTTCAGGCTCACTTGGCGGCCGTACGGCAAACCCGCACAGTCATCCGCGTGTCATGCGTCCACGGGTCGAGGGGAATGGCAGGGATAGCAGCATCATAATGCCTGACTCATCCCGCATCAGTACCACTACCGTAAAAGACCGTCGTGACGCGCAACGCGGAAGTCATACACGTAAAATAAATAAATAATAAAACTAACACAAAGAATTTAAAAAAATAAATTAATATTAAAGAAATTTCGCTAAATAGATTAATCTACGAGGACCAAACGGTGGGTATGTCACAAAGACAGAAATATTTAAAACGCAAAACAAATCAAAAATAGCTCACAGTCCATCTGCGCACAAGACTTCTGCGCAGACCCAGAAAAAAAAATCCCCACAATGCTGGGATATGTAGTTCATGAGTAAATTAACCATATGATTGACGTCATAGACAGTGACATCAGGGGGCGTGGCCGTGGTTGAGGACGTGCACATAAACCGCAGGCAAAATAGATAATAAAATTACATCTCCATTTTGTCTCCTTCACTTAGTGCATGGAGAAACTTCAGCTGCTTCTTCTGCTGCTGCTTCTTCTTCATCTTGGAACTCGGGACGTTTTGCAACTAGACTCACCATAAAAGTAAGTTTGCCCTCAACAACACGAACAGCAACGACAACGCAACTTTCACTTACGAGTTGAATTTGTTTTCCGAGACCAAGCGCGTAACTCGAATTTACTTGCACAGTCTATCAAATTATAGTTCCCTATTGAAATGTAAAGAATGTGTTCCAGCAACCCCAAAATACACTTTTTTGGTTTTATGTGATTTGAATCAAGAAAAATAGCACACCTTTTGATGAAAACAGAAGAGACCGTATTAATCAATTAATTAATTTACTAACTTTAATTACTGTATTTTGGCACAAGCCGAAAGTTACATTTGGGGTGGGCGGCATCCACAGCCACAGACATTGCAACAACTGTCGCCAACAGGACTCGGGCATTGAATTGAAGCTACCACTCAGCATTTTTTTTTTCATGTCATTTGACCAGTGGCGTATCTGAAGCTTCTTGCTCGAATCTTAAATTTTGGCTCGCAACGCAAATAAAAAATAAATAACAAAATAAAAAGTACATTTGCAAGGAGTTCCGTAAGTTAGCGTGGTTGTAATTAATAGTCAATATAAATAATAAAAATCAATAATAGATAGTCACAACCCAGCGGATGGTGGTCAACTGGTTAGCCCGTCAGCTTCACAGTGCAGGGTTCGATTCCGGCTCCGGCCTTCCTGTATAGAGTTCGTATGTTCTTACGGTCCCGACGTGGGTTTTCTTCGGGTACTCCGGTTTCCTCCCACACTCCAAAAACGTGAATGGCAGGTTAATGGAACACTCTCAGTTGTCCCTCGGTGTGAGTGTGAGCGCCGATGCTTGTTCGCCGATGTATGCCCTGCGTTTGGCTGACAACCAGTTCAGGGTGTACCCCGCCCACTGCCCGAAGACAGCTGGGATAGGCTCCAGCCCGCGGAGCGACTCTTGGGAGGATAAGCGGATTAGAAAATAGATGGGTGGATGGATATTCACGACCCACTACTGACTCGCTGAGTAGCATGGCTAACACCAGTTGGTTTCAGCTCTGAGGTTACTTCACAAAGCAAAAGTCGCGTCTTCGCTGTAAAAGTTAAACAACATTTCAAAATAATACATGTTAGAGCTGTAATTGGAATATAATGGAATGCGATTTTTGCACGCGGTTATCAGACGATCACAGCGTGATTGAAGTCAATTTAGCACTGTACACTATTCGCTTTTCAACCGGCAATCCCCTTGTCATGTGATGAAGTGAAAAAGTGTTTTTGTGAGTGACCTCTCTCCTCACATGCGACATCATTAGAGAGGCGTGGCGGAATTTGAGCCTCGGCCATGCAGCCGCAGCAGCGTCTTCTCAAAGTGCTGGTCATCGGCGACCTGGGGGTGGGCAAGACCTCCATCATCAAGCGCTACGTGCACCAGGTGTTCTCCCAGCATTACCGGGCCACCATCGGCGTGGATTTTGCTCTCAAAGTGCTCCAGTGGGACCATGCCACGGTGGTGCGTCTGCAGCTGTGGGACATTGCCGGTGCGTTGCGCCACTTTTTTTTTTTTCGACCTTCCTCTTCCAACAAAACAGACTCCATCCAAACAGCAAAGACTGTAGATGATAAGATACCATTTACAATTTGTGTAGACTAGTACCTCTATTTACATGTTCAAGTCAAACAGTCGCAAAGCTCGTAATTCAAATTTACTTTTGAGATCAAAATCAGTGTTCGACATGGGAATGCTGTGAGTCACTTCCAGCCTACCTCCCTCCAAAAAAATGTAATGTGCTTTTAATAGCGGAAAAAAATTGCACTCCATAATATGGTGCTGGTAGACGTCGTAGAGTAATAAGCACATTAAATTAAATGTAAGAATTACACAGCTTGTGTGTCATTCATTGGCTTCTTTTGTTATGTGCGACTTCACCACTAGGGGCAGTATAATACAGACATAAAGACAAACAGAGAAGACTTTCACGACTACTTTAAGTTACTCAGTAAACTGCAGTAGTATTAGGTTGTTTTTTTTTCGCAGAGGATAAAGAACATTCCTGTGAATATTTTATAAGCACCTTTTATGTCTAAATAGCTGTTTCTTTATGTTATAACACAGTGACTATCGGTCTTATTTATCAGCCTGTCTATGGCGTTTTGCGTCGTGTGAGCATCAAGCTCGTAGAATGAAAATTTGTGTATTTTGAAATACCCGAAACGTAAAATGCCTTTGTTTTTTTTTTAGTCTTTGAGTCAACTAAAACTGGGAGCGGCATTAAACAGCCATTTTAAAATTGTTCACTATCTGCCCAACTGCTGCTTTTTGAGTGGAGAGCCCCCACTGCACTCAAATCTCAAATTTTTGCTCACAAGTCAAAGCAAAAGAATCTGTCGATCTCCTGCTACCGCGATAGTCCGGACAATGATTTTGTCTAGGCTTGCACGACGGCAGGCAGTCCACAAAGCAGAAGTCTCCTGGCGCACGTCCGGCCATGACGGCGCATGTTGCAAGTCAACATGGTCACAGTTTTTTCTTTTTTTATTTTGAGAACAAGGTCGCATTTTTGTGCTGATGCGACTGCTAGATTGGCATCATGCGGCGCACGTTAGCATCCACTACAGGCTCGTGTGCACAATTCACACAAACCCAAAACAAAAGGTGCATTTTTCCAAGATACTCTTCTCTGCTCCTTTTCATGATTCTGCCTTATTCCCATGAGTGGGAATTAAGAACACATTTGTTTTAATACATTTGAAACACGAAAATACATTTCATTAGTATTTTAATGTCTTGTTACTTTTTTTCATCTAGATCATTGACAAAAGCGAAACAAATCCTTGCTAGGCACTAAAGTTGAACAACCACTTGCTCGGCCCGCGTCCCGACACTCCATCAGGCTTGCTGCAAAGTAGCAATCAGATCGAAGCAAAGATGCACTTTATTTCCATGAGATGTTAAGCAATGTCTCCTTTTATGCAAATGACACTCGAATCTTTGCAGAGCTCACATTGGGTTCTGTGACATAAGCCCGCAGGATGTTCACATTATCTTTTGGGATCGAAGTCTTCTTTGGACCTGAATGTAATTCTCATCCTCCCTTCTCCTACACAAAGGACAGGAGAGATATGGCAACATGACCCGTGTTTACTACAAAGAAGCCGTCGGTGCTCTGGTTGTCTTCGACATGACCCGAATATCTACCTTCCAGGCTGTCCTCAAGTGGAAAGGAGACCTGGACTCCAAGGTGAAACAATGAGAAGGAAAACATTTGAGGCTTTTTCCTCATGTTGTTGTTGTTGTTTTGTCAGGTTGCCCTAAGCAACGGGAGGCCGGTTCCGGCTGTCCTCTTGGCCAACAAATGTGACCAGCGGTGCCTCGGTTTGTGCCCCAAACTCCCCAAACTGGAGAATTTCTCCAGGGATTACGGCTTTGTGGGCTGGTTTGAAACCTCAGCCAAGGTAAGACTTCAGGTCTTCCACCAGGGAAAGCCACTCAGTCCAAAACTGTTCTTCATTTGACTAAAATAGGGATTTTTGCTGGACTTGTTAGCGAAAGACATAGTTCCTTATATGCAGTGGATAGAAAATGCAAAAAAAAAAAAAAAAAAAAAAAAATGTCAGGGAAAGCCTACTAGAGCATCTGAACTTTATTCAGAGTTCATCATCGGGACTCTGAATTGTGGCAGGTGTGTGCCAACATCCCAAACGTTTGAATGTGATTGGGAAATTCTCAACACAGCCAAATCCCACTTCGAGAGGGTGTGCACACTTATGCAACATTATTTCACTTTTTTTTTACTTCACCTGCCAAAAAATTTCCATCGGGTCTCACAGATTATATAACAGGTCACAACAATGGTGGCAAAAGTTTTTAAATGACTGGGAAATGTCATCCGTACCCAGGACAACACGAACATCGACGCGGCCATCTTGTGCCTGGTGAAGAACATCATGGCGGTCGAGGAGGAGTGTGCGTCCAAGAGCGAGGCCGACGGCGGCGTCTTGGTGCTGCCGCGCTTGGACTACGGCGCCGGTGACAGGCCGCTATCGAAATGCTCCGGATGTTCTGGACTCAAGGCCCGTGACAAACATGGTGACTAAATCTCAAGCAAGAGACTGACGCTACCTTTCAATGACTATTTATTTATCTTGTTGCTATGGACGTTTCTCATCTGGAGTGGGGTCAAGATTTCAATAAAGCAGTGCCTTAAAATAGTGGTGCGCTTCAGACCATAGCCGCTAGATGACGCCAATAAACTTCGTTTTTGGGGCTCTCATTTCCTGCGTTTGCAACTAATGTGGAGAGCAAACGTTATTACTGTGTGTTTTATGATACACTACAATACAGTTGAGCCTAATGTCTCTTTTGAAAAAATGTAGAAATTCATTTTGTTTTTTTTTTTGTTGTTGTTGTTTTTGTTTTTTTGTTTTTTTAGGTAAGGGCTGCAATGGATTGATTGCATTTCCATTCATTTAAAATCAACAGAACTCGTAGTGCTTCTCCTCAATCGCAGCACGTTCAAGTTGTATTTTTATTAATTGCGGAAGATCCACCGCTGACGTTGATCCAACACGTAATTATGCAATTACAGCCGAACCTTGGAACAACGTACCTCGGGGGATCTCACAAATGCTGGTTCGTTGTAACCATATCCAACAAAATGGCCGCCAACTACGATATATATAAAACACAGTATGAACATTCATTCATTCATTCATTTTTCCAATCCGCTTATCCTCACAAGGGTCGCATGGGATGCTGGAGCCTATCTCAGCTGTCATCGGGCAATAGGCGAAGGACACCCTGAACCGGTTGCCAGCCAATCGCAGGGCACACAGAGACGAACAACCATCCTCACTCACACTCACACCTTGGGACAATTTTGACTGTTAAATAAGCCTGTCATGCATGTTTTTGGAATGTGAGAAGAAACCAGAGTAACCGGAGAAAACCCACACAGGCCCGGGGAGAACATGCAAACTCTACACAGGGAGGCTGGAGCTGAAATTGAACCTCTGCACTGTGGGGTCAACGCGCTAACCACTCGACCACCGGGCCGCCAGTATGAACATTTATAGATGTAAAAACATGATTATGTAATACAGTTTAAACATGTCAATTGCAAATGCAGTATTCAGAAAACATTTAGTCAGCAAATGAAAAGTGCCTTCTCCAGTTCGGGATGTGCTGCAGCACGAAGCGTTTACGATCATCTTTCAATCTGTTGGCCTGGAACTCTGCCGCGATTTTGTTGCCGTTGCGGATGATTTGTCGAAATCGTTGACATTGCCAATTCATAGTCTCGGCCGAGCTTCATCTGTGAGACTGAAGTGCGAAACAATTCCAGCCTTCACGAAGGCCTTTTCACTATTTTGTGGCAAAAATCTGGTCGGTATAATGAAGTTTACGTGTTGTGTTTGTTATAAAATCGGCAAATGGGAAATGAGTGACGTGAAATCGGGACTTGGAAATGTGGATGTTATAGGGGTGAAAACGTCAACTGGGTACGTTAAAACGAGGTTCGACTGCAACTGTTTTTCATTTCTGATGGATAGCTCAAGGTCAGAGTGGACAATAAATGACTGCAAAGGCAGAGCCGCATATTCCCTACACCGGGATTGTGAAATTTACCAGGGCGTTCTGTGACATCATTGCCGATAAATCCAATTCACCTTTTTCCACCTTTTCCAATTCAAAACTGCTCACTGGCCTTCAAGTCAGCTTGAAGTCCCAGTCCGCATGGTGAACTCGTGGGAACAGGGCAAAATGCGTTGCCCCCCGGGAGAGGGCGAAAATAGACACAGCATTAAGTACGCGCCCAAAAGTCTCCAACATTTTAAAGTCGCCACTGATAGATTGACAAACCGTAAACTCCTTTTGGTTCTTATCATTTTCCCCAAATTCTCCAGTTGGAATCTCACACCTTGCGATGACCTTCACTCGAGCTCTGCTTAGCCTCTTCACTTCCTGTTTCCTCCAAAACACACACACACACACACACACACACACACACACACACAGCTGGCCTATGTCAGCCACACTGCTTCCTGATGAAGTGTTTTCCCACAAGTGGCGAAGCAGATGCATGCTTTTGGTCTTCTGTTGGGCTGTTCTGCATCTTTCAGCAACAATGAGAAAGACGCTGTGCATATTGTGTTAAGCACAGGCTTTAACAAGAGAGATGATGAGGAGTTGACAAGTGTCAGTAAAAAAAAAAAAATGATGTCAGCGGGTGACTCTGGGCAAGAGACAATTAGCATACGAGGTGATAGTTAACCAAATGCGAGACTGTAGAAATAATGCTATTGAGACCTGCTTTTCGTTGCGGGCTCTTAATGCCTTGGCCCAAAAAAGGGAACATTACAGGAATACTCCGTTCCAAATGTGACCTCATAAATGTCACATTAGCTGCCCATTAAGCACAGGCTTTGACAAGAGAGATGATGAGGCGTTGACAAGTGTCAGTTAAAAAAAAAAAAAAATACAGATGTCAGCGGGTGACTCTGGGCAAGAGACAATTAGCATACGAAGTGATCGTTAAGCAAATGCGAGACTGTAGAAATAAAGAATGCTATTGAGACCTGCTTTTCGTTGCGGGCGCTTAATGCCTTGGCCCAAAAAAGGGAACATTACAGGAATACTCCGTTCCAAATGTGACCTCATAAATGTCACATTAGCTGCCCTCTAATAAATGCAAAGTACACATCCACATCTGGTTCTCCACGTTCATCAATAGGCCACTCCGGACTTGGTTGACTTTTATCTGAGCCTTTTCTCGCATTCTTCTCCTGGAGCCTGGCTGCCCTTTCGGGGGTCAAAGGGGGGGAAAAAAAGGTCGCGGGTTTGGGGTCACGTGTGCGAGCGTGTGCAGTGAAGGGTTGCAACAGGAGGCTCAGCAAGCCAGACACATTCCAGATGAAGAAAAATGGCAATTTGGGGGGGCTGTGAGGAGGTCATGAGAACAGCAGTTAGCGAGCGCGCACACACACACACGCACGCACGCACTGTTCTAACTTCTTCCTTTCTTTTTATAACAGTAAAAGCAGTGTGTTTGTTTGGTGTGCATGATCCTGGGAGGTACGGGTTGCATGAGATGAGTTGACAGCGGATGACGTTGACTGTTTTCATTGGGCGGGCCGTTCCAAACCAAAAAGTGGAAGACTAGCTTGATTCCAGACTTGTCACTGTAGTTTGTTTTGTTACCCGAAACTTTCCGCTTCAGCCTCGGAGCACGATCTGATCAGGGTCACTTCTATTTTTTCATCCATTTTGAAAATGTTTCCATCCGCGGGGTTGTCATTTGGGCTGATGTTTTTTTTTTTTTTTTTTTTTTAAAAAAATAAAATTTGTCCCTTCTGCATTTGCGTAGGCCCCAAAAATGGTTCCATTTCCATCTTGTAGTCGTCCCTGAGGCTTAGACAGACACCATTTTACCCATTGGCCTATATGCTGTGTACAAAGACAAAGCACACATGTAGGCAGTAAACAGCAGAGCAAAGCCACTAAAGAGACCAGTTGGCTTCGGTATCCACAGATCACATTCATCCTTTAGCTGAATTTCCTGCCGTCTGAATTAAAAGAGCGCTTGGGCTGAATATAAGTAAATTAAACCAGTGCGATGCGAGGGCCCAAGTAACATGCTTTTTATGACAACTTGGGAATTTATTAAAAGGGGTTAGGGAAATAAAAGCACAAGGTACAATGATAAATGGGGATGTTATTAAAGCAGATGTTTAATTTGATTGTTTTGTCTTTTAAGAGTAATGACATTAAGTCAAACCATATGGGTGCTCTCATACGGAAGGTCTACTGACCTTTAAACAAGTAAAGTTATTTAGAAAGATGAATTGGGTCCAATGAGGCACATTTACAATGAAATGAACACTGTGGACAAGGGCCCAATTGCAGCTTTTTTTTTTTTTTTTTTTTTTTTTTTTTTTTTTTTTTCTCCGCGGGGTGGTCTTTTTGGCTTATGTTTTTTTTTTTTTTTTTTTTTTTTTTTTAATCCAGCAGGTTTTTGATCTATGCGGAATCAAAACACATGCCAAGCAAATACAATTGTGCTTCATTTGTTTTCAACGAGTCAAAAAGACGACAGTGAATGTGAACATTTGAAGAAAATTCTCATCCTTGCAGACCGGGACCGTGAGCTCACAGCTCAAAGTTCACGTGGAAAGTTCACGTGAATATCGATCCTCGCCGCCTGATGCCGACAGATTGTGCTCTTTATAAAAAACAGAAAAAGGTGTCCTGGGATCGTCTCCGTGGCATTGTGGCTTCTTCTCTGCTTTCAGAGAGCAGTTGCTGATTTGACTTTAGAGGAGAGGACCTGCCTGAACCTCCTCTTAAGCTCCTGCATGTTGGGAGATTTGGGCCGGGCTAGGTGGAGACCTCCTCGCCGTTTCTCGCCGTTGCCTCCCCCCAACGCCCGGGACACCTGCGCCATGGATATCACGTGACCCACTTAAAAACCAAAACCAAAAAAAAAAAAACAACCTACATGGCGTCGGATAACGGAAGCCCACCTCATGACACAGCTGCAGGAAGGCAGTGTGGACGCCCTCGTGGTTCTCCCTTGCTGAGGCCTCGAAGTAAACGCCCCCTGTAGGAAGAGGCGGGATTCCACATCAACGTTCAACACACACTTTGAATCACCGCAAGCACTTTTTTTCCCCCACACCATCTCAACAGGTGGACTTTGTTTATTCCGTCAAATGGAACAACAACATCAAGCAAAATTAGATTAGATTAGATTAGATATCCTTTATTTGTCCCACACTGGGGAAATTTACAGCCTTCAGCAGCAAGATTGTGGGTAGAAAGAAGAGAAAAGAAAACACAGTTCAATTAAGTGCAATATAAATACAAACATGGATAAGGTCAATAATTAAGTGCATGCAAAGTTCATGCAAAATGAACAGGATCCGGGCAGGTTCCCACCTAGAGAGGACGCTAACGTCTCGCCTTCGTCTGCCGGCACTTGTCGCGCTCGTAGCAGGTCACTCTTGTTGCCGATCTGTAGCAGATTACACGGCGGATCGGATTAGCGCGATTATCAAAGGCTCACCTGCAGCAAGTGACAACAGCTCCCACTCGTCTGGGAGGTCCGTCATGAAAAAAGAGCGGTGGCGGGCTGTGAAGAAAGTGTTCAGAATTTCTTGACCAGAACTGGGTGCAGCCCTGCAGAATTATCCACAATGGAATTCCTTCTCCCCGATTATTGTCATGTTCATAGGGGATGTTGTATCCAAATCAAATTCCCATACACTTGTCTTTGATCATTTCATACATGAAGTAGTAAGTACTGTATTGGCCCGAATATACGACGGTGTTTTTTGCATTGAAATAAGACTGAAAAAGTGGGAGTCGTCTTATATTCGGGGTCTCGACATTATACCCATTCACGATGCTAGATGGCGCCAGATATCATTGAAGCGAATGCTGAACTTGACTCTCCAGGCCAAAGCGAACCGTTCACGAAGAATAAAAATAAAAATAGCGGTAGCACGAAGAAGAAAAATAAAAAAATAGCGGTAAGAAAGAAAAGAGAAGAAAATAATAGAAGAGATAACAGAAAATGGAGAAACGTAGCGACAATCTGGAGAAAAGTGGGTCGAAGATCGGCCAGGTTAACCGGCAGCTGAGGAGAAGTTATGATGTAATTTACATTTCAAAAACCAGAAGCCATTCATTGACGAATGTGATTGCACTTTAGATTTGAATGAGGCAAAATAACATGCTCTTTCTCTCAAATATATTGTTATAATCATTGGTTTCAGATGTACTGTAATTATTTTCTGTATAAAAATTAATTTGGTGTTCAAAAAGTCTTGAAAAAAAGGGGGTCGTCTTATAATCAGGGCCGTCTTATATTCGTGCCAATACGGTAGTAAGTACAAAAAAAAAATTGTAGAAACAGCACTTGCTATGCCGAAATCCAAAACGTGCCACTGACCAGTATGACAGGGATGTTTCCCGACGGGTGGATGCGTCTGACGTGCTGGTACAGTGGGCGGATGGTGCGATAGCTACTGTGGTCCGTGATGGAGAAAACCAGCACGTAGCCATCGGCCCAGTAGATGGACCTGCCGGTTGAAAGCGTGTAAACGGAGCATGCGAAAAGACAACGCGCGTGAGCTGGCGGGCGCCTGACCTGTTGATTTGCTCCTGGCAATAGAGGCCCTCTGCGTCGTCCTGCGCACAAACAATCATCAAGTGTTTGCGAATGACAGCGCGGAGGACACGTCTGTGGAGGGTAGGGCGGCAAAAATTGCAGAAACTTTCCACGGCAATTCAAGTGGATTTATGGAAGGAGCCAAAAATTTAGCAAGTTGAATTACAAAAATGGACACTCTTGTGGTGGCAACGAAAGTTAGACGGCTCGCCATCCGCGCCACCAGGAGGGGCTTCCTCAACAATCGTTATCTTGCCGCCGGAGGAAGCAAGCGTCTCCAAGGACCGTGCTTTGTAACCACGTCGCTCTCCTTAAAGTGCCAGCGTCCCAGCCTAACATCGCATCCTGTCGCTTCACACACATTCCTGACCTCGCTTGGAGATAAGGGTGCAAAAACAGAAACTGGCAAGGAGCTTATCTGCCAAACGTTGCCGGTAAGCGCCGCCACCGGCAATGGTCCGACGACAAGCAGCCGCTGCGTACCTGCAGAGCTACGCAGGGCGTGTCCTGGATCTGAAGTGACACCTCTTCACCGTCTAGGGTGACCTTTCTGGAGTAGAGCGCACCTGCATGGCCGATGAGCGGAGAAAGGGGATCAATCGTTTCAAATACAAGGATGAGAAGGGAAAACGTTGAGGGGGGCATTTACCTGTGTTGGCTTCATAGTCTCCAATAAAGCGTTTTGTCAGAAACCTGACGATGAGAGCTGGAAAAAGGCAGAGCGAGTTCTGAGAAAACAAGTCGGGCTGACCTACGTGCCACCCATTTTGTTGTTATCTAGGGCGCAATTTGCCTTTTTGGGAACAGTCTCAAACAAACAGGTTCAAAGTCCCAAGTGGAAAAATGACGCAACTATCACCAGGCCAAACCATTAAATACAAGAAGAAAATAATAATAATCATAATACCGGTAATAATAAGAAGAATAATACATTTATTTTGAAAGCGCTTTTCATAGTACTCAAAGACACTTTCCAAGAGTTTAAAACACAAATGCCAATGAAATGCTCATTGATGATCAAAATAAGCCAGAGGTGTCCAAATCACCCCTTGGTTGTTATTTGCAGCCCCCCCCCCCCCACTGCTATTAATTAGACTCGGGTCATGTGACTGTGTTATGTTTCAAAAGAAATAATATGCAGCACAGGAGAACAACATAATAGGTGCCTTGCGTACTGCACTGTTTGTTTGTTTTTTGCCGTACAATGCAACTTTTCTTGTGAAAGAAACAGGCTGAAAATATGCATTTTGATGGGTGATTTGAAAAACGAGTGACTCGAGATACGAGCGCGGTAGCGGAATGGAATGACTTCAACGTAATCGACTCAAGTTGATAGTGTCTGGAGAACGGATGGGTGGATGATTTGAAGGGGGTTTTGAACACCCCTGCAATAAGGCAACAGTAATCCTAAAGGAAGGAATTCATATCATCCCTCCCCTGTCACACTTGAGCCGAGCTGGGAATTCAAACGTTTGCATTGGAATCAACCCGCATTGCTCACTTACCAGTTTTGCCGACGTTGCTGGCCCCCAGCACCACGATCTTCACCGTCTTGTTGGGCACGCAGTCCGGCAGCGGGTACTCGGGAATGGGCAGCAGCAGAAAGTTGGCGGACCCGCTGTTGTTCATGGCTCCCGGTGCGGGGAAGGGGTCGTTCCAACCAGTAGCATTGACCTCGGATCCGTGTGGGAGCGAGATCACCCTCCTCCTCCTCCTCCTCTTCCTCTTCCTCCTCTTCCTCCTCCTCGCGGCGCCGTAGGGACCTCAGTCCAGTATTCCCAGAACGCCCGAGCTCTTTTATCCCTGTGTGTGCTTCTGCTGCAGGGCAACTGTTGAAACCTTCGCCAAACGCATGTCGTAATCCTCCAAAAGCGCCAACAGGCTCCAGGCAAACTCCGCGTGGACGTGGGGGAACGTGCGCACTGGGCACTGCACTGGGCAGGGCGAAAGACGAAGAAGAGGAGGACAAGGAGGAAGGAGGAGGCAAACTTCATTCCCCAGACCGCCCCCCAGGAAAAGTGTTTTTTTTTTAAATGTCCATTTTAGGTCGATTCCAGTGACAGAGCTACGTGGGGGGACCAGCGATTGTCATACATTCTGAAATAAACGGAAATCTTTGTATATTCTATTGTATATTCATATAAAGTATAGATATAATTGAGTAAATAGTGAAATATTTCAAAGTAGTCGCTGATCGTGTAGTGGTACAATAGCCTAACTTGCGTGGATCGGTTCCCATTCAATGACGGTGTGAATGATTGGTTGTCTCTATATGTGCCCTGCGACTGACTGATTTTGTCATTATGTTATATAAAATGTTATATATCAAAAGTACCAGAGGTATCGCTACTCAGTATCGAAGAGTGAATACTCGTACTAGAATCGTTCTGGAAAAAAAGTGGTATGAACAACCCTATTTCAAAACTAACTGAATTGAATATTGACATATAAAAATAGTTTAATCAATACCTAAATAAGCAAATTGGATTAATTACGTGAAACTACAAGAAATACTCAGAGATCTAAATATCAAATTAAAAGACTTAAATATTGAAATAAGCATTGAAATAATTTTAATGAATAGCAGAATAACTAAAAACACAACTCGTCATTATTTATTGATGAAGCTTCATTCAAATTGAGTTCTTTGTTACACATTCTTAATGGATAATCTTGATTTATTATTTTTTTAATTTTATTGAACAGATCAATCCATTTAAAAAATATCCTTTTGGGAGAAAGATGATCTCATACAAAACAATCTATCAGATTTCAAACGCGGGAGCAAAAAAATCTCCAAAATCATCACTGACTTTGAGTCCTAACACGAACCTCAAGTTAATTTGCAGAGGAATTTTATCACGTGTACAAAACTAAGGAAACATTTTCATGTATATAAGTTTCGTTATATATATCAGTTTCGTTCTCTGAATCTCGTACAATTTGTGTGTTGTGCAAAACAACCAGTCAAGATAAAGATAAGTGAACACCTCATAATGAGGAAAAACGTCAGGTCGTCCCTGATAAATTGAATGGAGGCGAGGTCAATGTATTCCACATGGCCATTACTCAACTGGGCGGTGTCCATTTCCTCCCCTATCTTTGCAGTCGCATCAACAATGGAATTGTGCTATTGCGCCTCGCCTGACTTTATGGAATCTGTTCGATAAGAACTGTGACCAATATAAAGAAAATAAAAACTGACATCGTTTAGGCACCGCCTGCGTTTTCTATTCTAATTACAAGCATCCAACACACTATCATTCGTCACTGCACGCCAGGTTGTAGCGTCAAGCGACACTACAACGTCATAAACACAATACAATGAAAGAAGTCTTGTCACTTTAACTTCAAAATAAAACGACAGTAAAAATATAAATAAATAAAATAAACAACATAGTACTGTAATAATAATCATAATAATAATAATAATAATAATAATAATAATAATAATAATAATAATAATAATAATAATAATATAATAATACATGAAATAACGTTTGAGCTGTGAGAAAAAGTGACGTAGGAAAATATGAATTGTTAATAAAGTATGATTGTGAATCATTAAGATGCGAGAGAGGGGAAACGTGGCGTGCCCTGTCGAGCTTGACAGACGTAGTAATCGGGGCAATCGAAACATACACATAGATGTAGAATATTTAGACGGACTACTTTGGTTTTGGTGTACATTAGCACCTCGGCCATACTGGATGTGTCAGCTCTGCCCGGTTTTTTTTTTTTTTTTTTTTTAGGGACACGGTAGTGCCATTATGGAACAATCTTCGTAGTGATGTTAACTCTCCCACACTGGCAATTTTTTAAAGACGGGTGGCTCAACAAGGTTGGGGTTAGGAGACCGGAGAGAGGCCTACCTTAGTCCCTGCTGGTCAATGTACTTGTTTGGATTTGTCATTTATTCATTAATTTATTTATTTATTTGGGGGGGGGTATAATGAATATTCACGTACAAATGCAGTGGAAACACATAAACACAGGTAAGGTAGCACGAGTCAAAGGCACACATTCTTCCCAAACAGTGAAAAAAACGAGTTTTATGTTGTGTGTTCTGTTGTATTGTATTTTATGTTAAATGCTTTGTAAAGCGCTTTGTTTCAGCTGCTGGTGTTAAGACAGTGTTATATAAATAAAGATGTATTGTATTTTTGTTTTTAGATGTATGTATATGATTTAGTTTGATGTTGCTGTTTGCAAAGTTTTGTTTATTGGCTGACAAGGAGAATAACAATAATAATAACATTGCTGGCATAACCACAAAACATTCACCGCACTTCAAAAGTCGACAGTCGTGACTTGCATTAGCATGAGTTTGAATGTGATTGGTTAATTCTGAACACAGCCACTTGTGCAAACAATATGTGGAAAAAAAAACCCACAATATGTGAGTTCATTTTTTAACTTCCTCTTTCATATAAATTAAATAAAAACGAAAATACACGAGTCTGTCCCCCTAATCGGGGTAATAAATTAAATTCAATCAAAAAATAAAGAAGGGACTTTGGTGTCGTTGGCCCCATCCAATGTGGCGGCAACGTAGACGTGCGGTTAAGTGTTTACAGCGTAATCTTGTCTAGGTGCATGATGCGTACGGGGCAAAGTAAGCTTTGAAGCGTTGGACCCTAGAAGCTTTCCAGCGTCTCCCGGAACTGGGCAGCCGCATCGGCTGGACATTTCACCGTCAGGGTTTGGTCCAACATGGCGGCGAACGGATGGAAATACTGATGACAGTCCGAAAGATCGCCTCGATTTGTACGATGGTAAGGATTTGGCATTTTGGGCTCCGTTCTTGGCTGTCGGCGATGGGCTAGCTGCCGCGCTAACTTGCTTGCTAAGCATCCACTACATAACAACAACACACTTTGAATGCTTAAGTCACTACTTTCGCTTTTGTATCCATGCCAGAAGCGTGAGCCCCGTAGCACATTAATGCTCGTATCCACCGCCCTGGGATACTATGTTTGGGTGAAAGTTGATTCTTTCCCCTGGTGATGCCTGTTGGTTTGGACGTTAGCACGATCAGCATTTCCACCGCCTGTCATGTGATGGAAGCGGTTACGTTTCCAAAGTGAGCTTTTGGAGCTGTTGATCAACATGTGCTGCATGTGGATGTCGAAGTTGAAAAGGGGAGAAAAAGAAATTAGAGCCTGAGGTGTGCTTGTTGTTTTTAGTACACAGATTCCCAATCTGCCGCGAGAGATCATCCAATCACACAATTTTATTTCATAGGTCGAGAAATAACGGCTTGTTAACCGGTGTTGGCATTTGTACAACACAATATTTATGTGACAAGGTTTCCACAAATTACAGTTTTTCAAAACTTTAAGTCTGGTTAGCCAGAATGGCTTCAAGTGGTGTCGTACGTAGCATGAATTTTGAACATTGGATGATGGGTTCCAGAGAAGCTGAGTTTTTGTCTCGGTTGAAAAAAATCAGTGGCCTTTTGGGGGACATTTTGTGTGATATCGCCCATAGAAAATCTCTATGCGGTGTAAAACAGTAGAACTTGATTATTTGTCAGCATATTTCCTCGAGTATTTCTTTTCGTCTGCTTACTGGGGTTTCTGCTAATTTGATTGGCCAACAGGTTACAATTGAAACTGTCCACCAATAAGATTGCAGGGCCAAAATTCCATGGGGTCCTTTCAGGCGATGCATCAGAATTACCATTTCAAACAGGGTGGGTGGCTTGCCACTGATACAGTGCAAATGGAATGTAATTGGTGAGAAGGGCATAGAAAGGTCATGCACTTCAATCATCAGTTGTTTCTCCTGAATTTTGAAGGATTTTAGAAGCATTTTTTTAAAGAACATTTGGCAAAGGGCAGCCACTTGTTATGTTGCTACTTTATGTTGAACTCAACACGCTTGCATTTCTCACAAAGCAAAAAAAACATTTGCTGCTAAATGAAGATGAGACGTTCTTCACTACCCAGACTGACATTTTGGTGACATTCTGTTGGATTGCTTCTGAATTTTATTTTCCCTCCATAGGGCGCCAATGCCTCTGCCTTAGAGAAGGAGATTGGACCAGAACAGTTCCCCGTGAATGAGCACTACTTTGGATTGGTCAACGTCAGTAATCGGTGGCTCCGTCTCCACTTTCCAGGGCAATTGGTTACAACAAAGTTGTCTGTCTGTTCCTCAGTTTGGCAACACGTGCTACTGTAATTCGGTGCTGCAAGCTCTCTACTTCTGTCGCCCATTCAGGGAGAAGGTGTTGGCCTACAAGGTAAAGCGACATTACGGTGAGGCTGGCGGAGTACCGCTTGGCTTGCTTCTCTGACACCTGTAGGTTTTGTGCTCGCAGGTGCAGCCCCGACGCAAGGAGTCTCTGCTCACCTGCCTGGCTGACTTGTTCAACAGCATCGCCACGCAGAAGAAGAAAGTGGGCGTCATCCCTCCGAAGAAATTTATCTCACGGCTGAGAAAAGAAAATGGTGGGCACTTTTTATAGACTCAACCGTTGTTGTTGATTGACTAAAACGTCAGCTCAAAATCCTGATTTGGGGAGCTGGGAATGATGAATTTGGTGCCGTATGAATAGTGTTGCTACAGTTTCCTCGAAAAATTACTTGACTGATTATGTGCTTGGAAAGTAACTGAACCGATTACTTTCTTTTAAAAGTAACTGAAGTTCGATTACAAGTTACAGTGAATTACATATAGCAGCTACCAACAACCGTCCTTAGTATAAAAATGACAGCCTATTTTGACACTTTGATTGGAAGTGCATTTTTAAACTGACATTTAAGAAGAGTAACAATACATTTTTAAAAATTAATTAAATAAAGACACCCACCGACCATAAATATTTGTTTTTTAAAAAATATATATTATTAAAAAAGTAATAATAATAATAATAAAGACGTCTTTCAAGACTTTACTTAACATAAATATATATATTTTTTTAAAATCTAAAATAAAGAGTATTTCTTCCTTAATTTGTTTAACTATTCATGTTGTACTGTTGTACTGGCAAAACTCAACATTTATAATGTCCATAAAGACCTCCTGTCATAGTCACAATCTGGTGGTACTTTCTCTTTAAACTTGAATGCATATTGTGCTGCGATAATACCGTAATTAAAAAAAAAATATATATATATATATATATATATATATATATATATATATATATATGTGTGTGTGTGTGTGTGTGTATATGTGTGTATATATATATATGGTGTTATTGAAGCACTCTGTCAACAGCACAGTATGAAAAAAATAAAAATAAAATAAAACTTCATCTTTTTTATTTTGAGCTCACAAACTCCAAAGAGCGACTGTATTTCCAGCTTCCAAACGTGACAGTCTATCCCCGTCCTCCCTTGCCGTTTATGGCCACGCGAGTTGTTAATGCGCTGAAAACGATGATGTCACTCCCTCTGACTGGAATGGGAAATTGAATACGGCCACATTGCATTTCACCATGTTCCAGTGAAATTGACCTCGTTTAGTGAGCACTGAGCATGTATTTTATTGTTCATTAACTACCATTCGTTTTACAATACAACCCGTGCATGAGGGAGGAACCGTGGCTTCGAAGTTTTAAGTCTTGCAAATTTGTTCTCACTGCCATATCCCGCAGGCGAATGCTGCCACTTTTAGAAATGTTGATGTTACTTACATGTGGAAGACGACACAGTCCACAAAATAACACTTTGTGGTATTCGGAAAGTAACTGTAGTCTGAGTACTTGACTGGAAAAAGTATCACGTTCGATTAGTTGCTACTCCAAATTATGCATATTTGGAGTAACACCTTCGTAACGCCTTCCCGTCAACACAGCACACGACACTGAGAGAGGAGTTGGGGATAACTTTTGTCACCCATTTAATATATGCAATATAAACAAAATGGACTTGCCTTCTTCGTGCAGAACTGTTTGACAACTACATGCAGCAAGATGCCCACGAGTTCCTCAACTACCTCCTCAACACCATCGCAGACCTGCTCCAGGAGGAGAAGAGCCAGGAGGGGCAGCAGAATGGAAAGCTGGTGCAGAATGGCGGAAGTGGCGGCGGCGAGGTAGTCGTACTAGAAGGAGGTGGAGAAGAAGGAGGAGGAGGAGGAGGAGGAGGTGGAGGCGGCCAAAGCGGGAAGGAGACGCAGCAGACGTGGGTCCACGAAATCTTCCAAGGAACGCTAACCAACGAGACACGCTGCCTCAACTGTGAAGCAGTGAGTGACGAACTAATGCCGCTCTCTCTCATCTCAATTGACATGATGTGGGCCATGCGTAGTTAAAATTTTATGCCAGTTGCCGTACATCGCTGTCATAGATGGACAGCGATTCCCGCGTTCCAAGAAAGTGCTGCTTCCCCAAAAGCTTTGTAATTGCCTTTCGATGCCTCAAGATGGTGGCAATGCACTACTTTTGTCTAAATGAAACTCTTCAACTCATTGACAATATTTCCTTGCTGCCAAGATGCCACAGGGTGGTGGCAAAGCAATACTATTTGTCTAAAAGAACCTGCTCAATTCACTTCAGTTTAGGTCCGTGACACCGAGATGCCAAAAGTTAATATCCATACTTGCTTTACTCCATGTTTAAAAAAAAAAAAAAAAATTGTCGTCAATGAATCAATTTCGGCCCGGTTTAGTGATATTGGATAATTTCCCACGGCACCAATGATGGATTCTCAAGCCCCATGGTTGGGAATCACTGGCATAGGGTACCGAAACTCCAGCGAGAGGACTGCATTCATGCACTGTGTGGATGAGGATGATGGTGATAGTGATGATGTCACATCACTGTTGCAGGTCAGCAGCAAGGATGAGGACTTCCTGGATTTGTCGGTGGACGTGGAGCAGAACACATCCATCACGCACTGCCTCAGGTGATGGCAGCCTCTGAGTGTTTATTCCTTATCCAGGATGTACTAGAGCACGTTTTGACGCACTGGTAGCACCACTGGAGTGCATTAGTTGAACGTCATGTTACTCGTGAGGCAAACCTTGACATCTGCGTGTCACGAGTATGACTAGTGAAGCACTAGATGATAACGATTACAAATTTATAATGTACACAGACCACAGTAGTTTCCTATTAAGGTTGACATTTGTTGGCCAAAAGTGCACAAGTAGTGAAAAAGGCAGTGGTTCTAATATCGTGCCCAGGTGGTTCTGTAAGTGTGCCCAATTGTCTAATTTCTTGAGGACAAATAGCAGACTAGTGCTTGGATCTTAAGCAGGATCACAAGGTTATAGGATCCATGTGACCTTGGCTATGTGGCCGTCTCCTTTTTGGACCTCGCAGGGGCTTCAGCAACACGGAGACTCTGTGCAGTGAGTACAAGTACTACTGCGAGCAGTGCCGCAGCAAACAGGAAGCCCAGAAAAGGTTAGCCGGTCGTCCTCCGTTGTTTTTTTTGGCGGCTTGTTGCACGGGTTGACAGGTTTCCGCTGCTCAGGATGAGAGTGAAGAAGCTGCCGATGATCCTGGCGCTGCACCTCAAACGCTTCAAGTACATGGATCAGCTGCACCGCTACACCAAATTGTCCTACCGCGTGGTCTTCCCTCTGGAGCTCCGTCTCTTCAATACGTCGGGGGACGCCACCAACCCGGACCGCATGTACGACCTGGTAGCTGTGGTGGTGCACTGTGGCAGGTGGGACCCGACCTTCGACTTATGGCTCGCCTTCTCTGTCACTTTCTGTCTCACTCGTTCATGCCTTGTTTGTCCTCTTCAGTGGGCCCAACCGAGGCCACTACATCACCATCGTCAAGAGCCACGGCTTCTGGCTCCTCTTCGACGATGACATCGTTGAGGTGCGTTCCCGGGGCCTGTCGTGACTTTGAAATCTCTCCTTCCAGGAAGCGGCCTGCAGTTGTCTTGTGTCTTTGGCCTGTGATAGCAAATAACCTGGCTTTTGTAGTTGGTAACGTAGTCTTATGTTTGTTTGTTTGTTTTGTTTTGTTTTTGTGGGGGGGCTGGTAAGCTTGAGAAATTAAAATTTGAAATGAAAATGACATTTTTCGCCACCACGTGTGGCAGGTGACTCATCAAGTGTTGAAAAAACTCAAACCAGTAATTAAGGATGGACAAGTGCCGATACCGGCCTTATTTGAAGCTATCGAGTCCTTGCGAAGGATGACGATACCTGCCACTGATACTTACGGCAAGAAAAGAGAATCTGACATCGAATAAACCTGCTTTAAAGCACTATACTGCGGCCGTTTGACAAATCAGTGACTCTGTCATTATGTTTTTTGAAATTTTATGTCGTATTAGTGGGTTTGGTACTTCGTGTCGCCGATTACTAATATGAATTGCAAAATGGGTTGTGAACTATTCAAAAATATTAATTGCATTTCAGAAGATGAATTGCTTTCTGAAATGTTGGGAAGTTCCTCCGTAGTTCAGCGTCTGCCCGGCATCCAAACATCAGGTCAGGACAAGGTTCTGGTTTTCTTTTTCTACAAACAATCTTGTGTTATTCCTGCAGAAAATCGACGCGCAGGCCATTGAGGAGTTCTACGGCCTGACGTCGGACATTTCCAAAAACTCAGAGTCGGGATACATCCTCTTCTACCAGTCTAGAGACTGAAGCGACCCGTCATTGAGAACCACGTCACAGCGGGCATGAGGACAGACCATTCTGGATGTTTTTTTTTGTTTTTTTTTTTTTTTACCCACGAAGGCTGAGCTTAGTGCCACATCGCTGGCTGGGATTGGTCGAGACGTCCCAGCGGCCTCGAGGAAGACGGACGTGAGCTTTGCCCAAGCTCAGCAACTGACAGGACTCCTATTCAATGTGCATATTCAAGTGTGTGAAATTAGCCGGGCGGGGTTCCGTTTAGCGACACGCTAATGGCCCACGCGACCCCTCCCTCCCAGGTGACTCCAAAGAAGTCCAAAGTGAACTTGCAAAGTCTTTGTGTTGCGTCTCACACACGTTAACGTCGCCGAAGGGCTTCTGGCCGGTGTTAACCCGACACGCAGTCGTTCCGTTGCCAAGCGGCAAACACTCGTAGCTCGGCGACGGGTCCAAGCAGGGCACGACGGCAGTCACGCTTCCTTCCACGACTGCTGCACTGAACTGTACAGTAAACCCCCACAACCACCGCGCACATTTTAGTTGACTCTGCTGTTTGCAGCAGGGTCAACATTGCAAAATGAGAATGTGTTCTCCGTTGCCTTACCTGAATAAATAAAGGTTAAATCAATAGACAAGTATTCGGCTTTGGTGGCTTCAAAGTCACCACGTGCTAGCTAGCCACACGCTTGCACTCAAAGTGCACAAATTTAATCAAGTCAAATGACATGATTATTTAAATATTCATGTTATGATGAATGTTTCACTTATTTTACTTGGATGTCACACTTCACGAATGCCCCTGGTCTCCCATTGTTGGATATGTGAGACTTGATTTTTATTTTCTTTTGGTGAGAGTGCATGTGTAAATATATAAAGTTGTTCTCGGAAGCGAGAATAAATGTTCGCTTGAAATGAGATGGAAGATGGAATTATTCAGCGTATGAATCATAATAAGCATCGAATGTGTAGTGTGCTGACTACAGTAGCGACGCTTTATTTGAATATGTGTCAAATGCTGCTCTATCATGGTTAAACTGTACTTAATTTGAATAAGTAAAAAAAAAAAGTTGAAAGTGACAGGAAAAATTCTGTTATTGGGTCAAAGGACACAGAAGGATGGAGAGTTACAACACAATTTTGATCAGAACCACAACCAATGTGCAACTTGTCGGAGGATAAACTGTGCAAACACTGCAGCTCTGCTTACCTTCTGGCTTTTCACATGATCTGTGCTGTCCTGCTGTATGCAGCCAAGTCACTTTTTATATAACTTTTACATCATATTCCCTCACCAAAACAAACTGACGGATGCTTTTTAGGTCATATGTACAGTGGACACTTTATTGCATTTTACCGAAAATAGATTGAACAAAATAGCTGGAGTTGTTTGTGTGGCTCTTAAAAAAAAAAAATGTACGTTACAGTTTGTACACAGAATGATTCCTTCATGTCACACCCTCAGATTGTCAAAGGAAAAAGTCAAGTCAGTCGCACACATATTTCGTTTGTCCGTCAGCATCCCCTCGATTGTGTTGATAATCACTCCCAAGCCTTTATATTGTGAGGCAGCCATTTTGCAGTGTTCTTGCAATGTGATAAGACTATACGGGAGTAGGGAACAAGTCACCGATTCAGAACACAGCCCACCACCATCACACCAAGGTCTCGGAGCCCGAGCCTTTCCCTGTGAAAAAGTCCCAGAAGCTGGCTTTGCTTTCCTCGGGGGGCGCCTGTCTCACCCAAACGCTGCTCGCATCCGCCGGGTACTGCTGACTGGAGGTGGAAGACACGGCACATAAGGCAGGTTGGGCCAGACTGAGCAGGTTGTGGTGGGAGTGGAACTGGCGCATGTGGCGGATGGATTTGCTGGGCCGGACTTCTGTTGGAACGCAGTACTGCGTTAAAGATCTTGGGCTCGTTTCCAAGGGCTACGAGGCACTCTCTTAGAATACTGATGATGTCATCGGCAGAGGTGAAAGGAGAGCATACCGTATCTGCTGTTGTGCTGCTTCCTGCTCTGGTTCATCTTAAGCACGCTGAGGAAGACTTGGCTACTTAGGCCGCCCTCAAGCGATGAGCGGGGCTCCATCGGGGTCGGGGACAGACTCCCAGTGGAGGCCCCGACAGAGTCCAAAGACGCTCCCGTGTCCCGGCGGCCGCCCAAGCCGGCGCCGCTCTCCGTCGTCACGTAACTGCCGCTGTAGGGACGGAGTCGAGCGGGGTTAGGGCTGCGTTTGTAAGGCAGTCAGTCGTCAAAACGGTGATTGTCGTCACCTGAGTTTGCGGCGGAGGAGATAGTCGATGATGTCGGGGTCGGTCTGGATCAGACTCACCAGGACTTCCTGTTGCAGCTCGGCTGACACCTACGAAACATAATTTGGTGGAACTCAACCACGTCGGATTCACCATGCTTCATTGAGAAGTCCCAACTCCTCTCTCACAACATCAGTGCGTCACTAATATTAGTCCTTCTCCGTAGAGGATAAAGAATATGTGACTGTGAGTCAACTTTACCTGGGAGTAGCACTGAAGAGCTCGAGCTTATTTTTCATATATACATATTGCTCGCCATTTGCCAAGACTAAAGCGAATCACCATGAAAAGTCTCCTGTAGTTCTGCATGAGCGCCAGAGTAACGTTAATAATAGCCGTGCTGTCCTCGATGCCCACGGCCTGTGGACCGGCCTCTCCTCCTCGTTCCCTTTGGAGCAGGTTGGGTCCAAAGATGACCGCCAGGTTGGCGGCCGTCATCTTGTTTCCGGGGATCTGTGCCGGTCAGAGAGGAAAGTTCATGAGCGGCGGGCTAAAGATCGAATCGCTATCCGTGCAGGTTGAAAAACGTAAGGAATAGAAAGTACGGATGTCCCTTTTCAAATGTAGGGAGTAAAATCCAGATCTACTCAAGTACAGGAGCAAAACATTTGCACTCCAGGACGTGGCACCACTGACCTCCTCGTCGTTGGCGCCGACGCTGTCCTGGGCGAAGCTGTGCACCGTGTGCAGGAAAGTGAGGAGGCGCAGCAGCGTGTCACAGTTGCAAGGAGGCAGCAGGTAGAGGAGGTGCTGCAGGTACTGGAGCTGCTCTTCTCCTCCAAGAACTGGATGACATCCACAGAAGAAAAATCATCAAGTGGAAATGAGTTATCGACCACAAATTATGTATCTGAGGATAGTTGTGGTGCATGCGTACGGTTGGCGTGCAGGAAGGCGGGGTACAGCTCTCTGGTCAGCAGAGGGTCCGGCATTTCTCTCAAAAACTCTTTCAGCAAGGCAGCCACGTCGTGCACGCTGTGCTCCTCGTCCAGCTGGACGTCCATGCCCGCGTCAAAGTCCTCCCTCAGCTGCGCGGGGGGGAGACAAGGACGGGATGGTAACGGCGTCTGTATTTGTCAACGCACCCACCAAGAAGTGAGCTCACCTGCCGCACCCTCTTCTTGGAGCTCCCGACTCGGAAGATGCCCACAGTCTGAAGACCTGAAGGGAGGACGGAAGGCGAGTCAGGCATGCTGACAGAGCGCAAGATAAAGAGAGAGGAGGACGGCCGCCTCACCGTGGGCCTCGATGTGGCCACAGCAGCGCTCCAGAACTTGAGGCACCTGCGGGTAAAACGGGTTGAGGCTCAGCCTGCTTTGGCTCCTGCCCTCTGACGAGCCGCCGCCGTTCTTCTTCAGCTCCAGCTCTGCTGGATGGGAGAGCTGCAGCGCCTCCAACAAGCGGGACTGACTGTCCACCAGATCGGAGATGGAGTCGACGGAGAGCCCACCCTGGGATCGGAGCGAAGTAGACAGAAGTACGGTTTCTATTGTGTTCTGCCGCCAAGTGATTCCCGATTAACTGATTTACATGATGACGTCATTCTCATCAATCAATCCGAGATTTGAATTGACCCAGCGCTAAGGTAGGAAGGCGTAAGTGGTTCAGTATTTTTATTTTATTCGCGCGGCAGTTGTCCAAATTGTACGTAGGTTAGGGGTTAAATACCATATTGGCCCGAATATAAGACGATGTTTTTTGCATTGAAATAAGACTGAAAAAGTGGGGGTCGTCTTATATTCGAGGTCTTATTATACCCATTCACGACGCTAGACGGCGCCAGATATCATTGAAGCGAATGCTGAACTTGACTCCCCAGGCCAAAGTGAGCCCCTGCCATGAAAAATAAAAATAAAAATAGCGGTAGCACGAAGAAGAAAAATAAAAATTAGCGATAAGAAGGAAAAGAGAAGAAAATAATTGAAGAGATAACAGAAAATGGAGAAACGTCATGACAATCTGGAGAAAAGTGGGTCGAAGATCGGCCAGGTTAACCGGCAGCTGAGGAGAAGTTATGATGTAATTTACATTTCAAAAACCAGAAGCCATTCATTTACGAATGTGATTGCACTTTAGATTTGAATGAGGCAAAATAACATGCTCTTTCTCTCAAATATATTGTTATAATCATTGGTTTCAGATGCACTGTCATTATTTTCTGTATAAAAGTTAATTTGGTGTTCAAAAAGTATTTTTTCAAACTTGAGTCCTGAAAAAGAGGGGGTCGTCTTATAATCAGGGCCGTCTTATATTCGGGCCAATACGGTAGTTCAAGATTTTTTGTTGATTAATCAATTCTCTCTATCGAAAATTTGCTTGCGCAGCTTTGATCGTTGCCACGATTCATCTTTTTCGGATTACCATGACTTGGATGACTGAAGTTTTACCCGTCTCTGTCCTCGCCCAACGGTGTCCAAAACGGAGCGCGGCGGCGCCGGGGCCACGGAGTTAGCGGGCGTTGAGGGGCGCGCGCTCCCCGAGAGCAGCTGCCGCTGCTCGGCCCGGAACCGCAGGATGCTCGCCTCCAGCTCCAAGCAGTCCCGTCGGCTCTCCTTCACAGCATCCTGACGGCGTTTCAAGGCCCGGTCGTTGGCGATGACCTGCGACAGCGGGATGCCGAACGCCTTGGGGGCAGATTCTGACAAACAACGTGTGCCGCTTTAGACAGAGCGATCGAGAACAAATGACACTCAGTTGGGGGGAAAAAACGGATTCCCATAGCATTGTTTTTGGCAAGTTTTTTTTTTTAGCAGTAGTAGTCAATGAGTGAATGATTATTCACTAATTCTCTACATAAAAAAATGAATACAAACAAAGCACTTTATGTCTGTGTGGTGATTCAAAGATACAGTGGTACCTCTACTGACGAATGTCTTTTCATTCGAAATTTTCAAGTTACGAAACGTCTCACCAGGAAAATATTGCCTCTTGTTCCGAAAGAAATTCTTTATGAAAGGTTAAAATACAGAATTGCCTGATCCTCACAGCTCCGAGTATCCTGAATGCAACATTCTTTTAGCTGCTCTGCCATTGGCTATTACTGAGCATCATCCTGGCATCCCATTGGCTAAGAGGGACTTCTACCGTATATGTAAATGCGTGGAGATAGATAGATCGGGATCGATGTAGCATCCTCGTCTTTCGCCCAGGAGGTGTTCCGATAGTTTTACTAAACTGTGAATCACCCAGAAAAAGTGTTCACCAGTCGGGCGATGGCTCACTCTGCTGATGTTTGCCTTGGACATTTTCGAAGGATTGTTAAAAGCCGACAAAAGCAAACGTCCTTGGATCAGGTCTTTACAAAACGCCAGGCAAAAACCACTTCTGAGAAAGAACATGGACTAAAGAAGGCAAAAAAACAAGGACGCAGTTAAAAGTTAAATGACCATTTTTATTCTTTACTCTTTTCTTTGTTTTTTACATTATAGACAACTGTTATTTATTGGGCAATGATCTAATAGTAACATGTATTCGTGACATATTTTGATGCATTTTATCCTTTATGAAACATTTTTTGTCTGAATTTTGGGGGGGCTTGGAACGAATGAGTGCATTTACATGGAAAACGCGTCTCTACTTACAAATGTTCTAGTTCAGAAAATTCTTCCAGAGCAAATTAATTTCGTAAGTAGAGGTGCCAATTTATTTTCATGCTTCAACTTTTTGCCAAAAACCAAATCCAGTGTGTTAGGTGACATCTGCCGCAGCCAGCGGAGGGCGCTAGCAGGCTTTCATGTGCCGGTCTAATCCAGCGAAACCAACTGGAGGTCTGCTAATAGGTGCACTCGGTGGCCTGCTTTGGCCAAGCTTGGCTTTTAAGCTCCTCGCTGACCCCGACGCACGCCGTCTGACTTTTGGCCACGTTTGCTGGCGAGCGACAACAATGGCCGCTGAGCCCTTGTTTGGAAACATCCTTGGCACCTTGTTTCTTTATTGGGTTTGGTGCAGATCTGGATCATGGGGTAAATCCACTTATGTGAGCATGTTTCAGCCTTTTACTTCAATAGTTTAGGATGGCGGGGCCTTGGCAAGGTGTGTTTCATTTGAATTAATCTTGATCTTTTTTTTGGGGGGGGTGGTGGGGGGGGGTGATCCGTTTTTAAATCGAACACAAGAACTAAAAATAGCCTGATGGGTTATGTTTCAATTTGTGGCTCGGATCAAATATATCACATGATAAATTGAGGGCTGTTAACAAGGTCACGGCTCTTGAGTGATTAATGAAATAAATCATGACCAAACTTTTCCATCATGTGAATCCAACCATTTGAATGTTAAAATCCAACTCCAATTTTTCTGATCTAGCCTAAAATTGAAACATGGAAACCTGGCATGTTTTTTCGATTTTTTTTTTTGCACTAAATTAAAATAAATAAATAAATAAATAATGAGTCCATCTTTCAATTTTTGATTGACAATTCAAAATGGAAAGAATAAATGATACTGTACTTGGATTTTTGTTCTCCGGCTTCATTCCAGTTTGGCATCGGTTGATGTCTGAAGCTGGATCATGAATTGCCTTTTTGTAATGTGGGGAAACACTATCATAGCTTCCAAATTCAACATGGCTATTACCTCCGCCAAGGAGGATGTTCAGTGGCGGCGAAAAGACGGGCAGAGCCAGCAGGAGCGGGGCCAGCTCCCGATGTTCCAGGTTTTCATTAACGGGGTCAGACTTCAGATAAGTCTGTACGTGCGGCTAAGCGGCAACAGGTGTTGCGTCTTTAAAGATTTGCATCATCGTTTGTTGACCTTCATAATGACGGATTTTTTCCCTGTCAATGCTGCAAAACACTTATGTTTTTTAAAATACCATCGCATTTGCACCCAAAAAAAAAAAAATGTCATAAACTGGAATACTTCTGCCACCCTGACAGGAATTCACTTTTTTTTTTATAGTGTGTCCATTCAACTCACCACGCTCTTTTTTTTCCTTGGAAAATGAGTCAAACTTCCTGCGCAGCGACTTTCGCCGTTTGCGAATTTCTGTGGAGGGAGATAACATTCATTGAAATTGTTTCCCCCCCCACACAAGTGCAGGTTTGCAAACAAAGAAACTTTGGTGAGCAAAATCCCGAGTGAGCATGTCATTATATGGAGTGTTCATTTAAATAATGTGTCTGGGTCATTCTGTGGCATCACATGCTGTGAGAAGTTGGGGGCGTAAGGGTGGTCTCTTTTCCTGAAGCAGCAAAGCAGGAAGCCCGCAAAAAGGACAAAGAGGAGCATGAGAACAAGCAAATAAGAGAAAAAGTCTCTCAAGTGTTGACAGAGAATTCCATTGAGCTCGCCAGTGGCTAAATATGTCGGACAACTTTCAACAGCACAACCCTCAAAATGTCAGCAAAAGACAACAGGAAGTCAAAGAGGGCAGCGGGGGGCGGGGGTGGTGGCGACAGATGTGACCCGATGTGCTCACCTCGGGGGAGAAAGTTGTACGGGAAGATTCCCACACTTGCTTGGGTGGAAAATACGCCAACCCACAAAACTCCAACAGAGACACGAATTACCCGACCTATTAGTCCACTAGCTCAATGCTAATGCTAACACGATAACACCACATACACCCAACCAATGCATCCATTTTCGATACCCCTTATACTGTATATACACACACACGACAGTATATAGCCCTTTAAATAACAGATATTTGAACATATATTCTTTATCCTCTGCAACGAGCTGATGAGCTGTTGAGTTTTTTTTTTTTTTTTTTTTTTTTTTTTTCCAAATGTCAACCACCGATAAGGTACTTGAATATATCATTTCAGAACGCCATTACATTTTATGGGGGTTTTACACAGAAAGATTGCACAATATTCTGACGTCGGGTTATTTCTAGTGGCTCAAAGGTTCGATAAAAATCTCGTTGAAAATCAACCGCTTCTTTGTGACGTTATTTTCCGATCCCACCCTGTAGGCAAGTGCGGATATTGAGCAGACTGGGTTACTTTCACCCCATCCAGAGTTCAGTATTTTGATCCGGCAGATTGCATTTGAGTGGGTCGAAGAGCTAAACCTGGCCACCAATTTTGAGTTTTGCGTCATGAGGTTGCAGTAGATTGAATGTAACACTAAAAACTATGCCAGGCAAATCAAGCGAGTGACCCTAGCAGGGGAAAGTTGCTGCTGCATCTTAGCATGTGTTGGTCAGAAAATTTGAATTGTTTTCAATCGCTTCGACTGATGGAGTGGACGAAAAGCGCATCCATTCAGACGATTTGAGATACGAGTGACAAGTATTCCACTCATATCTCAATGCACCGCTGTCCTGCCACATAAAAAAAAAAATCCCATCTCTCATAATCACATTTTGTCATCAACATTTGTATGGGCACCAAAGCGAACGCTTCACCGAGAAAGACTTTGCTCAATGGACAAATGAGTCCAATCCACAAGGTGGAACGAAAGCCAACACGGTGCCGTCACGGGCTAATACTTGCAGACGTTGAGCTATACATACATTTATACTCAGAAGTTAATAGTTCTGAGAAAGGCAGCCAGCCAGCAAGACGAGGCTGAGAAAAGCAGCTTAGAAAGTCTCATAGGACACACAAACTCGCAAGAACGATCCCTGTGGCCTTGCGTGTGACGGGCCGTCTTCACCGGAAGAGTAAAAGGACCAAAAGTTGGAAGCAAACAAGTGTCTGGATGCCTCACTTAGATTCGGCAAAACTGATGGATGAGCCATCTCAGTTCATTTTTCAAAGACGGAAGCGTCGATGATGTCTGGAGAACTTGCCGTGCATCTTTTGAAGTCAGCGGTTCGACTTTGCACATCTGGAAGCAAGTTTGGATGAGGAACTGGACCGCGGCCAACAATCATCCATGCATGTTTACATATCAAAGAGAGCTCCAAATCGCTGGCGCAACAGACCTTGATTAACTCATTGCAACTCAACTTTATTGTGCAAGCACTTTAACAAGTGCAGCTGTAATAAAGTGCTGCAGACCAAAAATTAATAAAAAATTTAAATAATAAACTGTCGGCTTCTATCATTCTCTGAAGAAGGTCTTGGGCCACGCTGATAAGAAGATGAACTGAACTATTTTCTTGTAGTCTTGTAAAATGTCCTTTTCATCATTGTTTTCTCCTAGGAGGATTTTTTTTCCTATTACCGTAAAATGGGGTGGGTGGGGGGGGGGGCTCATATTTTTGCGAAATGCCCCATGTGGCTTAAATTAGCACTTGTTTATAGTTTTATAAATAGCCTGGCTAAAGTCTTTCAGCCTGCCTTTGGTCTTTTGCATCATTAGCATTAAGCTAGCAGACCTTTGGCCAATACAGTATACTGCGCGTTTGAAAATGTTAGCGTTGAAACACTGAGTGTGGCTCATTCTCTTTTGTGTTAAGATGAGTTTTACCGTGACCTTAACTGGGGAGACAAAAGTATTTTCGATCCATGTTATCCTCTGAATTAGCTTGTTGTGTTGAAATACATTCACTACGTGTTTAAAAATGCTGTTCAGTGCGTATGGGAGGGCTCAAACTGTTTCAAGAAGATTTTCACCCAAGGTGCGCGGCTCTGGGATTATCCCGTGCAAAAAGTTGGGGTTCATTGCATTTACATATGAAACAACAACATTGGTCTCTTTGCTCAATGTGCTCGCCCGGGATGTCCAAAGTTTTCCCTATTCGCAGTTGTTCCAGCCTCTCCTTCCAAGTTCTTGAAGCCGTCCCCCCCGACCATCAGCCCATCAATCAGTTGGCTTTGTCTTGCCGTTCTCGTGCTCCGCTAGTCATAAATCTGAGCACGTCCCAAATCCTCGCCTTACAAAAGCATCCACAACCCGCACTTGGACAGGGATCCCCCATATGCGAATGTCACCAACAAGTAGGGAATCGTAGTCTTACACGTACCTCTGGGAATGCTGATCTTCAAGTGGAGGTCCTTCTGGTCCAGGTGGAACAAGGCCACTTGCTGGAGTCTCGCTCGCTCCACTTCGGATAGGTTCTGGATGCTAACGGACTGGAGTCGCACGCTCTGACCCAACATGTTGGCCCACGTGAGGCCCCCCTGGCCGGACCCCAAGAAAAACACATGAGATGGCGAGTGGAAATGCAATGCACCGTCATCTGGGAATATTTAGCGGAAAAAAAAAAGATTGCCAGGCTGTCCGTCACCAAGTTCGGGCACACGGATGCCGGTAAATTGTCTGCAACGTGACATTTGGTCAAAGTGAGGTGGAATTTTCCGCGACATGTTTAAGCTATACGAATGGATTGTCGGGCGGGCGCACAACAGTCTGTCTCGGTTTTCTCCAATCAGTTTGTAGTATGAATGCAAATTTGGAAGCTAAAGTTGGAGTTGGAGGTCAATGTGTCAAATCTCTCTTCATATGGGAATTATAGTGGAAAACAATTGGGGTAGTTTTATGATAAAGAGCTCCCAAGATGTCCTGAACATTTTCAAATTTGAATATTTTAGGGGATGGGGTAATGCGAAAGGCAGGGGCGTTGCCAGAAAATTTTCAGTGGGGTCGCCAGGGTGAGACAACACCTCCGTGAGGGCTGACCGTGCGTGGATCCATCTTTCTTTATCATAGCATAAGTAACAAGCAACATTCTGCTGATCTTAACTTACTCGATCATGCCATTTTCTTTGCAGTGGATTTTCATGTGTGTCGTCTACTTCAAATCGAATACATTTTTGCACTAGCTAACAGATAATCAAATGTTCTTCACTAGAGACAGACTGTACATTTGTTCTTTAAATGTGCGGTTAGTACAAAAAAAATTAATAAATAAAAATAAAAACTCATGGCACAGTATCTGACAAGAGGTGTCCTTGGCTCCCCATGGCCACCCTGTAGCTCCGCCCCTGGTGGAAGGAGGTGAATCTGTAAAAACTCCCCATTTGTTCATTTTACCGTGACTCTTTGCGCAAACCGGTTATCACATTGGCCAAATTCCTACTGTCCTGACTAAGATAAACATTTTCGAGTTGGAATGATTTTGGAAAGTGGATGTAAACATGTAAAATATCTTGTCAGTCGGGAACTTTGCCTGATCAAGATAGCTCTCCTATCTTGAACATTAATTATTATCCAAGCACATTGCTCTCGTATATGATTGAGCGAGAATGACGGTGAAGCAGCCAAAGGGTGCTAGGTATGCGTGCATGTTACGCAAGTCTACATGAGGGGGAAAAAAAAAAGTGGAACTCCACTTGCTTATTCCTTGGATAAACAGCAACTGAAGAGCACAGAAAGACCAAATTTGCCCTTGCAGACCAAAACGACACACGAGTACATCCAGTACGTTGTGGTGCCGCTTGCACCTATCAAGGCCATCGATTTTGATACCATCCAAGCAAAAATTATACGGTGTCGGATTACAGTGTCCGACGTTAAATTCCATATTTCAACAACTTTCAGCCAGAAAATAAGACATTTGTGGAGACAACAAACAATCAAAATATCATCTGTTAAGGCACAAATACCTGGATTGAGAGTGGGCTTTCTTTTCCCGGTGAATAGATTTCCAAAATGTGTCCCGATGGGCCCCCCCCACCGCCCCGGCACCCGCACCCGCTATTCGGACACCATTGAGGCGAGTGGCACGGTCTGACTCCAAGTTAGTGAGCGCGCAGCATGAGTAAGGCGAGAGGGAGGTCCGGAGAAAGGAGTTAGATTACAACAAGAGGAGGAGGAAGAGGACAAGTTGTGACTTCCACGAGCTGGAGAATATAAACACCTGGGGGGTTGGCAGACAGAGGGAAGCAAATTGGGGAGAGGGAGGGGTTGAGGGGGGTCCCAAAAAGCCGCCAATGAAGAATCTCTGCAAATACGGGACAATATGAGGTGGGAAAAAAAGGAAGGCAGGGCAGGTGAGTGCCAAGATGAGCAGGATTAAAACGTTGGATTAAAAAGGACGCAAGCAAAGACGCAGGAGGCTGAAGATGAGAGCAGACGTGAGAGGGCTAAGCATCGTGAGTGGGTGGGTGAGTGAGTGTGCACGTGCGTGTGTGTATTCCTCTCTACCGGCCTCTGCCTGACACCCGGCGTCACAGGACGGCGCCGCCTTACATTTCCAAGTCAAAAGGTCACATGATTACAAACCCGATGGCCCATCTGCTTCAATAAAAACAAACAAACAAAAAAAAAAAACAGGATGGAAGACACCGACACACACACACCAGACACTTTGTTGGACAACAGTGCACTCTATTAACTTTAGCGCTCCCATGAGACAGCCAAGTGTGTGTTGAGCATTCCCTTGAATGTGATGCGATTCAGAATATTCGAAACAGATGCCAGTCTGACGACGCAGCGCAGTTTCAGAAGCACAATAATAAGCGACCCCCCAGACGACTACACAAAAGCTGGACGCCGTCGATTCGCATTGACTTCCTTGCAGCGCAAGCACGATATCAGTCAGTGGGCGCTAATGCACCATCATGTTTTCATCATATGTTATGAGTGTTCCTTTATCTGTTTTTTTTTTTACTAGTGTGCACAATACACAAATGAAATTCAGAAGAAAAACATGCATTTTTTTTGGGGGGGGGGGTGGCAAGAACAGAGGAATAGCATTTCCATTCATTTCAATGGGGAAAATTGACTTGAAAGACAAGAAAAGTCATGGAAAGAAACAAAAATGCCATTGGTCAAAAATGTTACATTGTCACATCAAAAATGTTACATTACATTACATACAACCCTTACATTGTTACTTTTCCCAAAATTGCAAATAGCTCCTGAAACGTCTCCGGGCGAACAGCACAAAAGAAGCGGAACCAATTGTGTTTCCCCCTTCATCGTGAACGCTTGCCTACTTTTCAGCTGAGCCCCGGCAGGAAATGCCGACAGCGAAAAGGAGATGGGGAGCAAGGATAGGGACGGTCTTCTCACTCCGCGACTGCCTCCGTTCTCTAAACAGGACGTTCACACCCTCAGCCAGGGCTGGACCGGCACAGCGAGCCAATGCCTGGTGGGCCATCGTCTTTAGGGGGCTGTTGTGTTGCCATTAAATTATTCGATTCAGTTAAAAAAATTAATCATAAACACGTGGCTTGAACCATTGAAATTAAATAAGTGTCTGACAATGGGAAAACAGAGAAGTGGCTGGAAAAGGCTGAACTGAGAGACTAGACGGAGATGCTGGCGAGCAAGCTTCATAAGGAGCGGCATGACCAGGTAGCACGAATAGTACACCGGAACATCCGTAACAAATAAGGAGTATCCCCACAATCAAGATGGCGGACACTGCCGAAAGGTGGTTGAGAACAACCCGGCCACGATCTTGTAGGACTTCCAGATCCAGACTGGCGAACTGGTGATGACCAACCAGCCTGATGCAGTGGTGGTGGATAAACATCAAAAGACGGCAGTCGTGAAAGATGTCGCAATCCCGAATGATCGAAACATCTGGAAGGAGGAACCAATAAGGTGGAGAAAGACTTTGTGTAGAATCCTCCTCAAGCTCCCAGGCCTCTGGATGAGGACCCGGACTTGAAGGAGATACTGCTCAAGTGGGCGAGAAAATTGTTTTGTTTTTAACTTGTACATACACATATATAGTTTGGAGTCAGATCTTAATTATACCTCAGTTGAGGAGGCCACTCGGGTACAATGAACCCCCTCCCCACCCCATTGTCATAAAATCTTCGATTTTTATTTACTTGGATTTGATGCTGCTCCGTGAGCGTTAAAGTAGCAGTTGTTTGAAGGTACATAATCACTAAAACATGATGCTAATTTCTGATTACTCCGTCAATGGTGTTTGTCATTATATGTTAGCGTTAAGCTAGTGAACTGCTAGTTATCTACGGTTAGCGGTATAGGTAAAAAACAAAACAAAAAAAAAACATTTGTCTTTTGTTTTTGTGTCAGTTTTACAATAAACATCAAAAAGGAGTGACAAATCGTGCTCTGCCTTTTATTACAGCGCAAGGAGTTGATTCTAAAACAACACTACTACTCGTCCACTTGAAACCTTGTCGAACCCGATACAAGGTGACACCTGAAAAGGGGCGGTGATGACGTTACTCGATTTATCAACCGTTCAAAGGTACGTCGCCACTTTCTTCGGCTCACCTCTAAACACGTCATCAGACACCACAACGCTACGCCCTCTAGTGGCTGTCAGCGTCACATACACAGGAAGTGGACCCTTGATTTTCTTTTATCTTGGCCGAATTGGTTCCAGTAAGTGAATGAATGCTGTTTTTTTTTTTTTTTTTTTTTTGTCCAATCATATTTCAGCGTCCTCGTTTTGTCATGTCAATTCAATCTCCCCAGAGCCTTCCCAATCACAACTGCTGACCCATCGAACAAACAATATCAGAAAGGGGACTGTTTCTTTCACCAATCACATTTTAGATGAATCCTCACAGGGCCAAAGCACTGTCATGCTGAGCCGAGTGTGATGCAAGTGAGGCGCTAAGGATGCTGACCTGGTGATAGAAGTGCATGTCGGACGGCGCTCGGCAGACTCCCGAAGGCCTCGATGCGAGCGGCTCGGGTCCATCCAGCGGGAACGTCTTTCGGGTGCGACGTCCGGTGCTTCCGTTCATTAACGGGAGAATGGAAGCCGCCCGTGTTGCTGCTGCTGTTTGTTCTTCTCATTTCATTTTTTCCCCCTCTTGCTGCTTTCCATCACATGATTTGAGCCCCTCCCATGTCCAGCTTTCAGAGTCACTTTCATCTGTGGCAGGATCCGCTGCACATCACTTCAAGTGGCTTCTATCCTCCTCTCCTTTCCTGGAAAAAAAAATCAAGCAGCACACACACACACACACACACACACACACACACACACACACACACACACACACACACGGACACGCCGCATGCCACCCAGCCAGTGGTTGTCAGCCCTTCCTGTGTGTATGTGCGTTGTAGATAGCATGGCGTGCTCTGTGCTGTCAGAAACAGGAAGTGGGAAGCTTGCTCGCTTGGCCCTGATGAGCCATCTCCTGTGTGTATGCACATGAGAGACACAGGACACAATTACCACAGCTCAAAAGCTATGGCAGGCCATTGGAGCATTATTTCGATCATCTACTAGTGCAACGAATTGTCTATCTACGAGTAGGCTCTAAATATTCATTCGTAAGTAGATAGAACAGTTCTGAATAGCAGAAAGACGAGGGCGCACAGGTAGAACAACTACATGTGACTAGCGAGGCAAAACGGCAAACTAGTTGAAAACTGCATGTCACCAATTCTGACAGTGACATAAAAATTGTGAAAATCTAGCATCTCTCGGGTAGTGGTAGTATACAGATATTCGTGCATAGTTTTGCAAAGGAGTATGGCAACGCTTTCTGACTAATGCGCAGAGATTTTACACAGGAGTGGAAGGCAAAGGTGCAAAAAAAAAAGCTTTACTAGTCAGACACTATTTCTCGAGTGCCCTGGTTGTTCTACTAGCATGTTGAATTGTCTTACTAGTGAGGACAAAAAGGATACTAGTGTGTGGACCTTTAGCTGGATATCACTCATATAACGTTGCTGTACTAGTACGCTCTTTATCCACTCTAGTGGACAATTTTGGCACAGTAGTGGGACAACTACAGAGTACAAATGAGGCACTGAAGTGTGCACTATTTGGCAAGTGAGCGCATATTACAGTGCACTAAAACGACCCAAGTGCAAGGAAATGCAGATTTGATTTTTGTCAAAGGTGATATGTGGCATGACTCCTCTGTGATTTTTTTATTTTATTTTTTTGTTTCTGGCATTTCAAAAATATTTAGAAGAGTGGTCCGGCATCGCTTTCCATACCGATTGCCACAAAAAAATCGGCCATTGCAGTTTTGTTCCGATTTGATGAATCACATTGCAGATGTTAAATTCCATTTTCGTATATTCCTCCCACAATGCAGAAAATGAACTGCGCTGGATTTTAGCGCGTTTGGCAAACACAATAATCTGTTCCGTGAGCGGTCAAGATTGCGCCCGTTTTTTGCACATTGCAAACCTCAAGCAATCAAACAAAGACTAAGAGTTTCTACGCAAGAAAAATAATTTATTTATGATAGAATCACTTCATGGCACTGGCATGTCGGAATGTGGCGCTTTTCCGGACAGCTACACACCAAACCACTGGATGGGCCACGAGGGGATTTAATACATATATGGAATATTCCTTTAAATGTCTTTTTTTTTCCATAAGGAATAACAAAAATAGAACTCCAATAAGTGGTCTGACTCTATTGATGTCTGTTGCTATAAGCTGCCCCCAAGTGGCGGTTGGGTGCTATTTTTTCCCCCTGATCTCGTGAGCGGGTTGGGGGAAAGTCTGTTTTACAACATGGAGGCATCAGCTTGTGTGGTGTGCAGCATGCTCGCGTCAAATGACCTACAACTGAAAGTTCACGAATCGACGTACAACACAACATGGCTGTAAGATTATCTGATGCATCACACGCGCACACAAGAATGTCAAGAGAGGCCATTTTAACATGGTGCAAAGTACCTGTATGTGGCCAATTACTGTATATCAAGCGAATGAATCAATGGGAATCTTTCCTGAAAATTCTTAGGAAGTTTGTCAACATTGCAGCTCCCACTGCACAGACACAAAATAACAGCATCAAATAAAAGACAGAGTGCTGCAGTCAGACTTTGCTATACAAAGCAAACAAATACATTTGTTCAGGGTTTCATCCACTAAATCTTCCAAAAGAAAGCATCACTTCACGATTGGTCAGAAGCAGCGGTGCGATTTGACGTCACGATGATGGCGGACTCAAGAGAAGAGCGTGTGGCGCTCCATCCTCGCGCCACCAGAGGGAGCCCTCACACAGCGGCGTCAAGAGGATGCAAAGAGGAAATCTCACGATCTTACGACAACCTTCACATGTGCGTCCCGATCCAACCCAGGGTTTGGCACGAGAAAGTAGTAAAAAAAAAAGGGGGGGGGGGCAAACGTCTTTTTGTAACTGGTCGCTCGTTGACATTCAGCCGGTGTAAACGAGAGAATGGTCAAAAAGGAACAGTAGGAGCGAGGGAGAGGTCAGGAAGTGACGTCATGCGATCGGGTAGAGAAGCGCTCGACGAGCCAGTTGGGCTCCCTTTTTGTGGAAGCGTGCCACCAGACACACACACACACACACACACACACACACACACGCACGTGCTCAAGCACAAACACACATCTCTGGTTCGTTGGGTGTGTTTATCCTTCCAAAACGACAAGAAGACACCGCCCCCGGCCCCCAACACCCTCCGCTCCCGCGCCCAAAGGCCTGCTTCATGCTCTCCATGCAGAAATTCCGCAGGCACGATGATGATGATGATGGTGATGATGATAATTATTTGTGCGCACACCTACTCATGCCAACACACACACACAGGCTCGTGCAGACATTTCTGTTCTTTGTGTGTCTCCTGGGCAGTTTGTTGTTTGTCGTCTCAAGATGTTCTTTGTACACTACACATACATTATAGTGTATGGGTACATCCCACCGGAGCAAAAGACACAAAACAAGTGGGGGCAGTGGCAGGTGGGGGCATGGGGGGGGGATACTGCCTCCTGACATTGAAGAAAAGTGCTTTAGTCCATTTGTGGGGGTTCTTAAACGTAATCTGATTTGAAAGATCTTGTGGACCAGTCAGCCATGGATTATAATTATTATTACACGGGTTCCTGAAAATCACATGACTCATGCTTACATTGCCATCTTCATCAGGGGTTGTTGGTATCATCCAGGAGAAAAGAACAAATGTCTACCCTTCGATTGGTGATTTTTTAACACTGTTTTTCCCATCGATCTGTCCATCTGGCATTCCCATGGAGCGAGTTGTGGGATCCCCGCTCTGCTCTTGCACACTCTCCCAGAGCTTCAATAGGGAACGATACGACTCCAACCAAGCCAGGGACCATTTGGTCCAAAAGTGTGCTCTGATAGGATTGGACGACGCAAATGGTCAGCTAGTGGTTGGAGCAAAGTCGTGAGCCGCTAGCTTATCCACACTAGAATTGACCTCACTGATCGCTGGCTTTGCCTTGGCTGGCCTGGACTTCTCCACCCTCGCCGGAGAGCTCTGTGACACGTCGCGCCAGTGGGTTTGTGCTTTTGAGAAGTTCGGCGGCGGACACCCGGGCCCCCGCGTTGGAAGATTTGTTGCCCTTCTTCTGCAGCAGGGCCATGAAGTTTTCATTGCGGGAGCTGGACCGCTGGCCGCCGCCCATGGGGAGGTTCATCTGCTTGACAGGGGATGTCAGACTCTGGCGGCTTCCAAAAGAGTCGGAGGGCTCCTTGCGACCCAGAACCTTTCGCTTGGACCTGACAGAGAAGACAAAGAAAGGTACAATAAGGTGGTCCTTGAATTTACAAGCATATCCAGATTCCACTGTGGTGGGAAAAAAAACAAACAAACAAAAAAACGGGATTTAAGAACTAAAGACAATAATCAAGTTGGACTAACTCTTCCCCAGTTATTAAATCTTCCGCACACTAGCAGTCTCTGCTTCCTCCATCTCATCCTCAACCTTCCTTAACATTATTTCGAGCTATTTTCAGCATCACTCCGAAAAATGATGAGCTTCTGTTGCTAAGAGACTAGCGTCGTGTGTGTGCATGGATATTGATGTCTCTGTGAGGAAAGAAATGCGTACACGGCAGAGAAAAGTCAGAAGCAGTGGTCGCTGCTCGAGCCGTTGCCAGGTAACCTGGTTCTCTCTGCCTTGTCGCAAGTTCCTATTGAGCTAATCACTGTGCACGGGTGGTAAGAAACTGGTCAAACCTACCTGTGTATGATGGTGAACAGGTCTTCGGTGGTGTGTGTTGCCGCCGTGCCAGCCAAGAAGTCTTCGTCCGTTTCCTCCACAATGTGAAGCACCGTTTTGTCACTCGCCGCACTGTCATCTGAACAGGACATCAAGTCATCCAAATTATTGACGCTACATGTGTGTATCAACCAAATGTAAGAATGGAATGAGTAACTTGTTTGTTTTATCTTGGAAGTCCACCCCCACTTTCTATAAACATACCTGCCCCAGTCCCTGTGGTAGCACTTTTCCCTTCCAGCTCCACCAGGTAAGAATCCAGCTGGGAAGAGTGACGTGAAGACTCCATCAAAGCGTCTGCTCCCAAGGGATTCTCATCCTGTATTGACATTTCAGGACTGATAGTAATGTCTGGCGGGAAAACATCTCCAGGAGACGGAAGGCCCAGGGGACTGTCGGTCGGTGTAGTCTGGCGGTCTGTACCGCAGTTAGCTGAAGTGTGGCCGGATGAAGGCAGTACGAGGACGTTCGGCTTCTTGGGCACAGGAGGAGGAACCTGCCGAGAAATTGTTTTGAGATCAAATTGCTAAACAACATCATAGAAAGACTCTACTACAGACGCTTTTCGCACCTTGGGTTTCTTTTTGTCAGAGAGCTCTGCCAGACAGGAGATTGTCATTCTTGAAGGAAGGGTCTTGCTCTTGTCCTGGAGTTCCAGGGTCTCCTGGTTACTGCAGGGAGAAGGGAGAGAGCCTCCGTCCTCTGGTCCAAGTTGAGGGCCGGCATCAAATTCTGGCTCCAAAATGGGATCTTCCAGAAGCGGCTGGGGCTCTGGAAGGGGAGGGAGGTCGAAGAGGCACTGGGTATAGGTGGCATGTGGGGTGGAGATGGAATTACAATCTGGGACCACAGATGGGTTTGAAAGACTTGGGGCCTGTGCTTTTTTGGGTTTAGGTTTCTTCATAACTTTGTAAATGTTGCCAAGCGGCACGGGGCGTTCCACGGGTGACGCTGGGGGCGAGTCCAGGGTTAGAGGGGGCGTAGAGGGCTGGGACTTCAGAAGCAGGTTAAGGGGTCGTTTTGGCAAGGGGGGTTTGACAGCAACTGGTGGCTTGGGTTTGGGTAGGATGGGAGGTGGGCTGGCGTCGTCCTCAAAGTCTTTGCACTGCTGTTCTTCTTCAATGGTATCCGATGCACCATCTGGGCAGTCCTCCAGATCGCCTCGTGAGATCGAACGAAGCCGAATTGTTTTCAGCTCATTCTGGGTGACCATGGGGATAACCTGCGAAGAGCTGGGGCAAATTTTTCCAGGTTTTGCCGCTGTGGATGTATCCGAATGCCGTCTGCTGGCCTTTTGCTTTGGCTTGATTGACGATAGCTCCAGGTGGGCATTAACTGGCATCTCAAATGATAATCTGGACCTGGCGGTAGGATCTTTGGGTGACGGTAGTGAAGATTTTCTTTCTGGAATCTTTGGCCGCATCTTACATCCCGATGTCCCGTACGACCCTGGTCCTCCCGTACCTGCTGCCTGACTGAGCGGCACAGTAGGAGTGGGGGTTTCCGACTGGCTGGAATAGCCACTTGATGGGGACATGAGTCCAGGGGGCTTGAAGGGCGAAATGGGCTTTACGTCCGTTTCCGTGAGGAGGTGCATCGGTGACGTGGCTCTGGAGGTGGTGGGCGAGTTGAGCAATGACTCAGAACTGCCTCTGATTTTCATACATTCAATCACAGTCGTACCCGTCGCAGTGCTGGAGCCCGATAGAGATCTGAAATAATGAATAAATGAAAGCTGTGAGGGAAAGGAAAACAACCAGAAGAGCCAAATCTCAAACAACCCTACCTGTAGGGATCATTGCTCCTCCAATCTCCGAGCTGCCAGTTAGAGGGCAAAGTTTGTTCTGCCTCCCTCTCTGGCGCATTAACCTCAAGGTTTGGAGGACTGTCGCAGCCTCCTGGGCCGAGCTCCCCAGATCTGGAGGCGGGCAACAGAAAATCTGGCCGGAAGTCGGGGGGATGGTCCCTGGGGATGTGCAGGCTTTTTGGCCGTCCGCCCCGATGCAGACCGCCCTCATGGTGGATCCTCCCCTCAGCCTGGCCGAGGTTCTTCATGAGAGAGACGCTTCTCACCGGAGGCGGTGGCTTGCGCTTGGACTTCTTGAGCGAGATGGACCGCGAGCGCAGGCACAAGCGTCCTTCGGCACTGTAGTCCGACGCCGAAACAGAGATTGTGTCGGCGGTACTGGCACTCTCTTCTGAGCTCCCTCTGGGATAGAGGAGTGCGTAGTTCTCACCGAGACCTAAAAAGTTCTGATGATGCCACTGGTGTTCTGCAGACATCACATTTCCATTGCCCGTGGATGCCAGACTCCCATCCGCTTGATCTGTGCCAATTTCAGTAAAGCAAAAGGAACCAGAGTCTGTGGGCGTGGAGAGAGAACGTTCGCGGAACTTGAATGCATTCGCCGCAGCTAAAGA